GTCCTAAACGGACCGTCCGTCATAGTTTCCAACTGCATATAGACGTAAAACGAATCAATCAATCAATCAATCAATCATTAGCTACGAACTAGCTATTACTAGCTTAACTAATACCGCACGAGAATAGGCTAGATTAATAATAAATAATATAAATACGGAGAAGTCGAATTAGTTCTCTACGTTCTCCTCTAGTACTTCCTACTCTAGGAAAGCCGACAGAGAATACTCTAAGATAGTAGACTAAAAAAGAATAGCCTATCAGCCTTACTCGGTAGGAAGCTACCTAGTAATACCGCAGCTACCTAGAGTAAAGACGATAATTAGAGAATAATAGCATCACAGCTTCAGGCCGTGCTACCCTGGCCAGATAATGATTGTCAAGGGGCGGTAGAGAGGGAAGAGATGATTCAGGATGGGCTGCCCGCGTATGAGGATGTTGTAAAGTGCTCGTGGTTTAGGCGCGCCGATCTAACACTTGCTTTTTGCGCCACCGGTCTGAGTCAGCATCTCGCTTTGCATGTCACTTTTCAGCTGGCAAACGTTAACCTTTCAGCTGATAGAAGGTGGCCAACTTGATCTTATGCTTTTGGTAAGAATGATTAGTTTGGCGTCGGTTGTATGCAATTACCCCGCTTTGATATATGTCAGCTTATTCGGTGTAACATGGATAGCATTTTCGTCTATTGATAGATTAAGATTATACTCGAGGCTTTCGCATTTAAGTTGAATAGGCGGCGCTGAATCTGTCAGAAGCAACCCATCATCGTATCTCCTTAGTTGAAATGGCTTTTTCAACGTTTGTAATCCCCGCATTCGTAAGTTTTTCCCAAGGTGCTACTTCCAGATCTGATTTATCGAGTTTCACTGACCGATTGGGAAGCTTTTGTGGTACTGCAGCAAATGCATTTACAACCTATACATTCATCCGTTGAGATCTTATCCCGGCCCGCTTCTTTGCCGCGCATCCTCAATCCCACGAATTTGGCATCGCCTCGTCGGCACAAACCTCTATCATGCGCATCAAGCACACCAAAAGTATGGTCCAGTGGTGCGACTCAGTCCTACGGAGCTAAGCAACATCACCAGCGGGACATGGGATGGTATGCCAAATCCTTTCAACGAACATAGCACAATCTAATTGTCATTTAGACGCCTACTCGAACCTCAACGGTTACACTGCCCTACCGAAAGAGCCTGCTTTTATCATGCCGGTAGCAGGTCTTCCTCGTGGTGTTGTCCAGACTATTGATGGCCTGGAACACGTACGCCAGCGCCGCGCTTTCGCGCCTGCATTTACTACTGCGGCACTGCGGAAACAGGAGACCATGATCCTTACGCATATGCGGAAGCTCATCGACAGGCTACAGCGCGCTTGTAAGCACGGCAACGGAGAGACAGTGGAAAACATGGCCGACTTGTTCAACTTCATGTCTTTTGATGTCATGTCGGAACTTGTGTTCGGAAAACCGCTGGGGCTCTTGGACGCTGGTGTCTACTCACCTTGGGCAGATAACGTCTTTGCGGTCTTTCGCGCCTCTTCGATACATGGTATCGTGTGTTACTACGCGCCGCTGTTGCGGAGACTGATGATGCGGGTACTGGCTTCGAAACGAATGGTTGGAAAGAGGGATGAACATCTTTCTTACTCGGCTGACCTGGTCAATCAGCGGTTGGAACAAGGAGAAAATACGGGATTGCCGGATATTTGGACGCTGGTAGGAAAGAAACGGGACGCACTGACAAGAGGGGAAGTGCATATTAATGCGTGCATCTTCATGACTGCAGGAACGGAAACAACTGCAACCGCTCTTTGTGGAGTAGTGTGGTACCTTGCGACTCATCAAGAACAGCTCAACACATTAACAAGAGAGGTACGGAGCATGTCCGTCGAGGAAGAGCCGTTCACGATGCAAACATTAGCACGACTGCCGTACCTCAACGCGGTAATCAATGAGAGCTTGAGGCTGTATCCCCCTACCCCCGACATGCTGTATAGGATCGTCCCAAAAGGCGGCACGGTCATCTGTGGAAAGCAAGTTCCTACAGGCGTAAGTATAGATCACATGGCTTAAATATTAAGATGGATCTGATAGGCTTTGGAAACAGACCGCCGTAGGCATCCATCAGTGGCCTGCATATCACTCTGCACTCAACTTCCACCGACCAGACGAATTTATCCCGGAGCGGTGGCTGCAGACAGCTGAAGGCGAGTTTGCCAATGATGACAGGAAGATTTTTCACCCGTTTTCGAGGGGTCCAAGGAATTGCATTGGAAAAGAGTAAGCAGCTTCATTGAACCTCAGGAAGATACTAACACGGATTAGCCTTGCCCTTCATGAGATTCGTTTGGCGCTGGCCCAGGTCTTGTCTCATTTTAACCTCTTGACAGTGGTTGGTTCTGAAGATTGGATTCGACAGAAGTCTCATATTGTATGGGTGAAGCCGCCGCTTATGGTGAGAATGAAGGCGGTTTAAACGTAGATTATAAGATGAAAATCGGATATTGAAAGACTTGGAGACGGGTATTGATTATCTTAGAACGTATATAGTAGAAAACGATGATTTAAAGACTATATTCTCTATGCAGCGCTGTTATTCTTGAAGTTCCTTTGAGCCGACGTTTAATTATCATTGGGATTCGAGGTTTCGACTAGGGATGAATGCTGAAATCTGACCCAGCGCAAACCAAAAACAAATATCTTAGAGCTTAAACATTGTAGCGTGTCATCCCATTTATCGCCGCTGGATTCGATGGACTTGAGTAAATAGAAGCAGGCTTTTTAACTAAAGAACTTCAGCGAAGATACAATTGTTTACTAAAGAAATTATATTTGCCTACGATAGCCCATGAAGTAATTAGGTATGAGACAAATTTGGGGTTTTCCGGATACGCCTACCAACCTCGATACCCCGCACTGTACTGATGCTCTCGTGAGCTACAGTATCACAAATTTATTGGTTGTTGTGCGCTTTTCCGCTCACTAATACTATTCGGCCAGTAGCAAGAGCAGATTTAGCGAAGGTCGGAAGCCCGCATCTAGACATACCCGAAAGGGCGCTTCACAACACGACGTACAGCCTCGAAGGGCCGGGAAGCTGCAGCACGAGTATTAGATGCTGCATGTTCCCTTAGCAGATTGAACAAATCGACACAACATTCATGCTACGCTGTTAAACCCGAATCCTCGAATTGGCATACAAATCCGTTCCCTGCAAAATCTCAATGCAAAGTGACGAGATTTGGAAACATAGATCACCACTCATGCATTTTTGTATCCTGCGACTGCACATAAAACCCCGCTCTTGCAAGTGTCTCTTCGGTGCTCAAGTCCAGAAGAAACTCATCCTAGCACCACTAAACAGAAACCTCGCAAGATGTCATCTCCCAAGCCAGCGACAGACACGATCAAAAAGCAACAAGAGGATGCGAAGAATAATCTTCCTTTCTCCGACACTCAGGACTTTGATGATGCACAAAAAGGCCTCATAGGCCGCCGCGTACCGAACACTGTGGTCAATTCGGACGGCGTCACAATATGGGACAACGACGTATACCAGTTCCTGCGAACGAAAGACTCTCCCGACACGGCCAACCCGAGTCTATGGCGCCAGTCGAACCTCTGTGCTTACGACGGCCTGTTTGAAGTCACAGAGGGTATTTACCAGGTGCGCGGCCTCGACGTCTCGAACACGACCATCATCGAAGGGACTGAAGGCATCATCGTCATCGACCCCCTCGGGTGCGCCGAGGTTGGTGCAGCTGCATTTGAACTGTACCAGCAATATCGCGGCACGAAGAAGGTCAAGGCGGTCATGTACACGCACTCGCACATTGACCACTTTGGCGGCGTCAAGGGCTTCATATCTCAAGAAGACGTCGACTCGGGAGCTGTACAGATCCTGGCGCCCGAGGGCTTCCTTGAGCATGCCGTGTCGGAAAACGTGTACGCCGGCACAGCCATGGGCCGCCGCGCAGCCTACATGTACGGCGAGGGTATCACGCGCAGCCCGCAAACCCAGATCGGCGTCGGACTCGGACAGTCAACGTCGACTTTTGGCACAAGCTCCCTCATTGCGCCCACCCTCGACATCACAACAACCGGCCAGGAGGAAACTATCGACGGCGTCAAAATGGTTTTCCAGATGGCACCAGACACAGAGGCGCCGTCCGAGATGCTCATATTCTTCCCGGACTTCAAGGCTCTCTGCGCTGCCGAGGACGCGACGCACAACTTCCACAACCTACTCACTTTGCGCGGCGCTCTAGTACGGGACCCACATGGCTGGTCGGGATACCTGACCGAGACGATCAACCTCTTCGGCGGCAAGACTGACGTGCTCTTCGCCTCGCACCAGTGGCCAACGTGGGGATCTGACCGCATCATTAGCTTCCTTTCGGGACAGCGTGATCTCTACGCCTACGTGCACGACCAGACACTGCGCCTGTTGAACCAGGGTCTCACCGGTCCAGAGATCGCCGAGCAAATGACCCTTCCGCCCGCTATTGACCAGACCTGGAGCTCCCGTGGATACTACGGCTCCGTCAGCCACAACGTCAAAGCCATCTACCAACGGTACATCGGCTGGTTTGACGGCAACCCTTCCCATCTTTGGGAACACATCCCAGTCGAGCGGGCCAAGCGCTACGTTGACCTGGCTGGCGGTAGCGGTCCTCTGGTCAGTAAAGCGCAAGAAGCCTATAACGACGGTGACTTCCGCTGGGCCGCCGAGCTGCTCAACCATGCCGTTTTTGCGGACGCGACCAACGCCGACGCGAAAAGCCTGCTGGCAGACACGTACGAGCAGCTCGGCTATGGCGCCGAGAACGGCACCTGGCGCAACTTCTTCCTCTCGGGCACCCAAGAACTGCGCGTCGGTAGCTTTGGCACGCCGGCGCTAACATCGTCGTCGGATATGCTGTCGCAGCTAACCCCCGAGATGCTGTTCGACGTCTTCGCCATCCAGATCAACGGCCCGAACGCCTGGGATGTGCAGCTCGCCATTGATGTGGTTCTCACCGACCGGAGCGCCGACGCTGGAAACAACCGCTACCGCTGGTGGCTCTCCAACGGCGCACTCATTTACACCACGGGCAAACAGTCGACAAGCCCGGACGTGACGCTCACAACGACGACTCGTAATCTGCCTGCATTGGCCATCTATGGTCTCGACCCTACGGAGTTGAAGAAAGCGGGGATCCAGATTGACGGCGACGAATCGGCGCTTACAAAGTTGGCGTCTCTTCTGGATCCAGGTAACCCTGGCTTCAACATTGTTACGCCGTGAGCGGTATGACCTTCGGGACTCTCATCGTGTGAAGGGAGAGCGTGCATATCGTACTAGTTAGGGCAGGTTTTCTTTTTTGCGTTCCGCTTTTGGTTCAACACCATGTCCCTACCCAGCGAGCACCTGACTGCTCGGTTTGGTCTCTTTCTGAATTCACAAGAGGAAAATGAAAACCAGGAAAAAGACAATGATAAAAAAGCGCGCGCTATGATGTTTTTGTTGGAAATCAGGGTTCTTGAATGTCTTTTGAGTTACCATCCAGATGCGAGTGTGACTGAAGGTGTGAATGCGGGTGCAACTGCGGGTGTGAGCAGCGGATCAGTGGCTTTCGCATAAGTCACACAACCCAAGGTGACACAGCAGGAGCCCGTGTATCGTCGGTAGTCCGGACTAAGAACCGCGAAGATCCTTAGTGCAGACATCTTACCGAGAATCGCCCAAAACGTGTGAGCTTTCATTGAGCCATCGTAAAAAGAGCCGGCTCCGGACCGGCACTCCACGATGTGCAGTGCAGGCTGACATGTGTCTTGGCGAAGATTGGTAAACTGCTAGAATTCGAGGCGATCTGCTCTGGCGGCAGACTTACTCTTTATAGGCAGTTGGGACGTCCTATAAAAATGCGTTGATATTCTTCCGAAACATTCGATAGCCCACCAACTGGGCACGTGTTACGAACAACTGAAGCAAGCCAGCGATGCCCAGATCGATGAGATTGAGAGTCTTCGTAACGACGTCCAAGTGAAAACCGAAACCATTCAGCGCCTCGAGGATTCTGAAAAGCAGTACAAGGAGGAGTTGGACCAACGTGACTCGGAGCTTCTAGACATGCGGAATATTTCTGCTCTAAACAATGAAAACCACTTAAGCGCTCTGAGTTCTTTGGAGAGCGAGAAGCAGACAGTCAAAGATGAGCTCGTCGAAGCTCAACGCCAAACAGGCGTTCTACAGTCTTCCCTCACGGATGCTCAGGAGCAGCTTGTTCAAGCCCGGCTCGAAGCTGATGCACTCCGACTGGTTGGAAAGGACACTCAGAGAAAGCTCGATTAAACCCAGGAAATGCTCTCCGGTAATCAGGGTCAGCGGGACGAAACTCGACTTCAACTCGAATCCCTCTAGAAAGTTCAGAAGACGACCAAGGATCTTCTCGACGACGCCTCGCGCCAAAACGGCGTTCTACAAGTTGCCAAAGATGACGTTGAGGGTCAGCCGGATGCCGTTCGTCGCCGCTTTGAGACTTACCGGACGACATCGCGGCCTAAGGGAACCACTCTACAGGAGCAGCATGATGATATCCAGTTGCAGTTGAAGGAAGCCAACGCGACGTTGGATAGCCTCCGGCGCCTATTGAGCGCCTCTCACGCAACCAACTCGAAGTTACGTGGAGAGGCGACAAAGGTCCAGGAAGAACTTGATGCCACCAAGCGAGCGCTTAGTGAGTCTGAGGAGGCGGTTGCCTATCTTAGTCGTCGCAACGAGGGCAATCAAAAGCAGTTCACCGAAGTGCAGATGTCGAGGACGACGTTCAAAGAGCAGCTTGACGACACCATCGTAAAGCTTTCCGCGTCGAAAGTCGAATCATCGAGCTACAAGCGGTAGTACAGCTCATCCAAAAAGAATCTCCGGGAGTCACACGCAACGAATGCCAATATTCTGGAGCAGTTCAAGGATTCGCAGCACGACCTTCAGGTTTCGCGGGGAGAAACTTTGAAAGTTCAGCGCCTACTGAGCGCTTCCAAAGAAAACCTTGACGCCGCGGTGATCTCCAAAAGAGAGGTCGAGACGCGTTTGTGCGAAGTGGAGAAGAAACTCGAAACCTCCGAGGAAGAAGTCTTGGGTGTTCGGGGTCAATCGTTCGCTCTTAAAGACTACATCGATACTCCGAATGGCTCGAAAAGTACACTCCAATCCCGCATCGACGATCTCGAAATGCAGTTGGCTGAGTCGCAGTTTGGCACATCCAGGGCTGAAGAGCGAGCGAGAGGTTACAAAAAATCTCTCGATAAAGTTACCATCAGGAAGCGAAGTCTCGAGAAAACTTTTGATGACTTGAACAAATTGACGGACGACCACGTCATCACTCTTGCTGGTCTCTAAAGCACGATTGATCGGTTGAAGGCTGATCTCTCCAAAGCCCGGGGCGTCGCCGTTGAACTTGGAAAAGACTTGAAGACCAATGTGTCCTTGCGGAAGGTCGAAAGCGAACGGGCTGACAACATGCTCGAGGATAATCGCCGTAGGACCAGCCTAGCCGACGCCGAAAAGAAACTGGCTGACGTAGAGAAGCAGTTGAAGGCTTCGAAGAACAGCAGGGAAGCCTTGGAACAGAAGCTTGAGACGACCCAGAGCAACTCTGACCGTCAAGAATCTGAGCTGGACAACCTCCGACAATGGTCCGGAGGGTTTTGGCCTCGCAATGGACGCTCGAAAGTCCTAAAGCGCCTGCAGAGAGCCAAAGCAGATGCCGACTCGGCGAAGGATCGCTTGCCGATTGTCGTTGGGGAGACGCGGCGATGCTTCGTTGGGACGAGGCAACTTGAGATGCGGTGAAACTCCGCAAGTCCCATCAGGAGTGCAATGCCAACAGCGATGCCATGCGAAAGAGCTCGGAACCTCTGTCAAGGCGTACGAGGCGTGCGCGATGGCCCGAGAGCCCGGACGCGCTGACGTCAGCGACGCGTCGACACGTCGCGACCGCCAGCACCAGCACCAGCAGCATTCTTCTCTTTCCTCCACCCCCCCACCCCTACGGCCGCGCCACGCCACTCAGGTCAACCACGAGAGGAAGAGGAGCAGGATCGCTACCATGAAGTAGGCCTCTCTCTGACGCTCGATTCCGCCAATCGCGCCTACCTTGTCGACCGCGCCTGCCGCATCCACCTCCCACCTCGTTCACCACGCTCTCCACCGCGCCCACTGTGCCTACCTCTCCCCGGATGCCGAGATGCTTGGCCAGTCACCCTGAATGGGGCGTCCGCAGCACAGCTTGCCGACAGGAATGGCGGTTTCCCGCGCAGACTCCATGATATAATCTGGGCGGAGCTGGCGGCGCCCCGTCGTCGTACGAGCATAACTGCAGCGGGATAGTATCCGTCGCGCCGATGTCTATCTGTTCAGCAACAATCCTTGGGCCGTGATCTTCTCCGTGAGCGGACCACTTAACAGCAAATCAACGCGCGCTTCCCCATGCCCTTTTATCCGCCTGCCGGCTGTGTGAGGGTCACTACGCCCGCAGGCCAGTCCGAGCCTTTAGGACGATAATTCGTGTGCAGATGGAGCAGTCGTATTCGTGGCCGCGGCCTCGCAGGCGGGTGGGTGGCGTGCGAGAACGCTGAGCGGAGGAGGGGCGGGAGTAGTTCTCGACTATTCGGGGAAAATAGAGCGACTACGGCGTAGAGGGAGATTAAAAGAGCAAGAAGGTGATGCACAATCGTTGACTGATTTGGTTGTCAGTGTGCTTGGTGATGCAGTCGCGCCAATCTCCGGGTACGTTGGTGGCGGAGGTGAGAGGGCCTTCATTCCCAAGACCGGCCTCGCTCACTAACTCCAACCTCAATAACCTTTTCGTGCGGTATTACCGTCAAACACTCCGATCCCGACTAGTAGTAACATGCCAAAAGCCATCTTTTCCGCCGGCGTTAACAGCACCATCCACGAATTGTCCGCAAACACAACTACCTTTCCCTTTTCCCCGATTGAAGCAACCTTAACAGCAGTAACAAAAGGAATGGAAAAACCCGTTTCAACCTTAACAAGCGTCACCGGCGCCTCGGAAGCATTTTTCTCGTGAGAATCTGGCGCGTTTCCGTGCGCGGCTTTGCTTGTGTTGGCACTCCGAACAAATCCACGGGGAAATTGGAATGGCACTCACTATGCAGGCGAACGTAGGCGAACCGTTCATCATCAAAGAAATTACGGCCGGATCCCCTCCTTGGGCTTGCAATCACACGATGGCACGGCGAGATATACAATTGCTTCAAAAATACTGGGGTTCCGGAAGGAAAGCTGTGTTTTGGAGGGGATTTGTTGAAATCATTTGACGTCCTCGACGCATATCTACACGATTGTACAATAAACGCTCCAACTGCGCTGTTGGCTTACAGTCAACCGATATCGTATTCATCTACCACGACAAACAAACTGCTCATCGGCTTCGGCGTATTTTCATTGTCCGCGTCAAACCGCGGTAGTTTGACTTGGTCCCCAGCTACGGGGAACGGCTGGCTGTCCTCGCTCTCAGTTGTCCTCCTCACATGGCTGCCCTTCTCCGGTAGACATTTATCCTCACAGCTCTCTTACGCTCATTCATTCACTCAACATCAAGGATAAATAACAGTTCCTTGTCCAGTCGTACATTCGTTTCCTCACTGGATCGCAAAGACCTTTAAGGCCTTGCCTAACTCTCTTCACGAGAGTCCCGAAACAAACTTTAGGGTCCTGCAGCTTGTCGCCGATCGTCGTCTGCCATTGTCTCAAGCCGTTCGTGTGGACATCGGGGGACTTTGTTGCGAAGACTTTTAAAACCTTGCCTAACTCTATTCTCGAAGGTCCCGAAACAACCTGAAGGGTCCTGCAGCTCGTTGCCGACCGTCGTCTATTATTGTCTCAGGCTGTTCGTGTGGATCTCTCGGCGGACCAGGTCCCAAAGACCTTTACGACCTTGCCTAGCCCTCTTCTCGAGAGTCCCGAAACAACCTATATGGCCCTGCATCTCGGTGCCGATCGTCGTCTATCATTGTCTCAAGCCGTTCGCGTGTATCTCTCGGCTGCACCTGTTGGCTGTGCAGCAGACCTATTACATAACGATGTAGTCAGTACTACCATTCGGCAAGCAACCAGCTTGCGTCCTGAGCGCAAAAGACCCTGGAAAGAACTACGAGCATCGTGCTGCCCAACGACAAGCGATGGATAGGTTGGAGGCCGTCAAGCTGAAAGGCGTGTTCAACATTAATTAATACGAAGCCCAAATCAGCGAAACGTCCAGGCTCGTTCGCACCAAGCGTCATCCGGTTCAACAGAAAATTGCAGATACAGAACAGTTGGTGCATTTTTCAGCAGCGGACCTTGACAGGTTGGCAGAAAAACTCAAAAACCCGATCAACAAAGCCACAGGTGCATTGGAATCCAGATTTTCAGACCTGAAGCGTGACTTTTTTGAGCTCCAGATCAAATACGACATGGAGCACACGACCTCGCTAACAGAAGACATTGTTGCGGGAAACGAGAAGATGCAAGAGATTAGGTCCTTGGAACGACGATTGGCGACCAAGTCGTCAGAGCACACGATCGCCCAAGTGTCGCTTGAGTGTCTGACACCCGAAAATTTTGATCTCGCCGAGTTCAACAAGCACGTTGTGGCGGCAAATGACCATGTCGCGGCGGAGAACACAGAGTTACGTTTAGAGCACAGCACTCTCAATCTTAGGAACAACTCTGACCCGCAAGAACCGGAAGACAAACGCAAAGTACGTGGCTCTGCTAGAGAAACGTCTTCACATTGAAGAACAGTATCAAACGCTCGAGGTAAACCACGAGGCGCTTCAAGATGAGCATACTGCACTCAAGGAAATGATGGCCACAAAGGACCAGGAGATAACTAACGAGAGGTCAACAAAGAAGAGTGTGACCAGGTGGTTACTGAATGAAGCTATTCAACACCGTCTGAAGCTCGCCGCTAAAGAGCGCGAATGCCTCGAGTTGTTGACGCAGGTGGCAAACACCGAGAAAGAAAAGGAAGATCTGAATTCTACTATCCGGCAAGGACTCATGATGATTGGCGTGCTTACGGTTCGATCTGAAGCCCAACAAGGGGAGGACAGGGCTAAGATTGAACGTCTAAGTGACGCCTATGAGCGTGAGGTAGCACTCACGGCCGAATTGGAGCGATTAGCCTTCGAGAACAACAATCACTTGGAGGAGGGGTCCCGTCAAGACGAAGCCCACATCAAGAAACTTCAAGCTGAGGCCAACAAAAGCGCAACGGCGACTAGAAGCATGGAGGTAAAGATCGAGACACAGGCGAAGACGACTAAAGAGCTTGGTAAAAAGGGCACGCAAAGTGCCGAAACCATTCGGACCCTCGGCGAGGAGAAAACGAAATTCGCTACTCGCATCCAAAGCCTCGAATCGGACGTACAAGTAAAGTCTGACCAAGTCACACGCCTAGAAGGCGATGCAGATAAGGCCGCCACCGAAGCCCTGCGCTTGGTAGGAACATTCTCCAAGGAAAAGCTAGGATCACTGAGCTCGGACAGAAGGTCACGGACAAGTCCATCGACATTGAAACGCTCATCGCCGCCGCTACGGATGACGCCAATCGAATTTCGGAACTAGAAACGGACCTCGGCAAGCAAAAAGAAAAGAACAAAGAGCTTTCTACGAGGAACGAAGAGCTCCTACAAAATGGTACGCAAAGTACCGAAAAGATCAAGCAACTCAAGGATTTCGCTGAAAAAGACGCTGCCTCCATCCGAAAGCTAAAGGAAGAAGTCGAAAAGTTCCAGTCAAAGGTCAACGAGCTTACGACAAGCAACAATGAGATCCGTGGAACTGGCACGCAAAGTGCCGAACAAATGCAACAACTCAAGGCTTCCGCTGCAAAAGACGCAACTTCCATCCGACAGCTAAGGGAAGAAGTCGATACACTTCAGTCAAAAGTCAACGAGCTGACGGCGAGCAACATCAAGCTTACGACGAGCAACAATGAGCTTCGAGGAACTTGCACGCAAAGTGCCGCACAAATCCAGCAACCCAACGATGCAGCTGAAGATAACGGTTCCCGTATCAATGAACTTGAGGGACAGGTCCGCACCCGAAATGACAATATCAATGAATTTACTACCAGCAACGAAGAGCTTGAGGAGCATAGCAGGCAAAATGCCAAAGAGATTTTAAGACTTACGGCCGATGTCCAAATCGGACTTGACATCATCAGTGACCGGGAGACAACAAACAGCGAACTGATGGAACTTTACCAAGAGTTGGAGTCTGAATTTAAAACCTCAGAGGCGACGCTTTCCTATAAGATCTAAGAGCTTGAAGATTTGAAGAAAGCAGGCACGTAACATGCTAAAGAAATCCGAAAGCTCGAGGATTCCCTCGGAAATAGTACTACTCGTATTAACGAATTAGAATCGGCCGACAGCGAGCATGTGGAGCTTATCGAAGAGCTATAGAAGTCGCTTAAGACCTCAGAGGCAAGCCTTAAAGAACTGACCCGAAAAGACAATGATCTTGAAGCCCTGAAGCTTTCACACAAGAAGCTCTGGGCTACAAACGACGAACTTCTCAAGAAAAAATATATAACCAGATCCTACGCGATAAGACCGGCGACAAGACCGTTGATTGGAGAGTTGAAGTCGACTGTTAAGAAACAAGAAGAAAAGATTAAGAGGTTGGAAGATGTGAAGCTGGGCGCGAGGAATTAGACGCCGCTTGTCCCCCTAAATTACTACTACCTATGGAGGTATATATGCTGCTATCTAAAAGAATACGTTTTCTCTTTAAGATCCTTATTCCCTTGTAGTGGATAAACGTGTGGTGTAAGGGGTAAGGCTGTAGTGTAATAACTAACTATAATAAGGCTAATAAAAAGAGAATTATCGGAGTGATCTTGGCTGACAGAAGATAATCTTAAGAATAAGGGAGCGGAGTTTGAACAACTAAAGACATCCAACAACGAGACTATAGAGTGTTGCAGATAATAAAGCATCCTTTACAGAGTCCGAGCGGACGCATAAGGAAGCCGAACATAACCTCCCGAAAGACTTCGAAACGGCAAATGGCATACGCGACGCAAAGTCGAAAGAGCTTAAGGATAAGCAAAAAAAGGTCGATGAATATCAGCAGTCACTCGGAAAAAAAAAAAGACATATCCTCCAGTCGGAGAGTAAAACTGAACCTCTAAAGATCCAACTAAGGGAGAAGGACCGCAAGCATGCCTGTCAAAAGAAGACTCTTCAAGAGAAGACCATTCGTCTTAATACACTCAAAGAAAGCTTGGAGACGCCGCTATAACAGTATAAAGGGCAAGTATTAGAGTAACTCCGAGTAGTATCTCCATGGAAGACTCCGGACCACATCATGGACCCTTATAAGGCTCTCATGTTCTTCATGAAGGAAACAGTGTACGTCGTGGACTCTCTAGAGGAGTACTTAGGAGACGTCGATGCCGACCGCACAGACATCCACGCCCTACCCAACATCTTCTCCGCACACCATACCACCACATCACCAACTACAAACTCCTGTCCCCAAGTTTTGCCTGCAAAAGGCATTTAACTTCTTCAATTCAGTAAACCACTGACCACAGACTCTCTTCCCCAGGTTATGCCTGCAAAAGGCATTTAACTCCTCACATTCAGAAAGCTATAAAACCTCGCAACCACTCCTATCTTGCTGCACCGTCTCACTTTCAACCTACTAGAAAATGGGACCAAAGAGACGCGGTCATCCTCCCGGAGGCGGTTGAGGACGCGGTCGCGGTAATAACGCAGCCGAAGAAGCTGCTCGTTAAGAGGAGGCTGCTCGCCAAGCTGAAGTCGCCCGTCAGGCTGCCGCCGCCCGTCAAGAGACCATTCGCCAAGAGGCTGCCCGTTAAGATGAGGCCGCTGACCAAGCCCGTCGGGATCGTGAAGCAGAAGCCGCCCGTCAAGAGGCTGCTCGTGAAGCTGAAGCCCGCCGTCAAGAGGCCGCCCATGAAGCGGAGGCCGCTTGTCAAGACAGGGTCGCCGTCGAGAGGCTACTCGCCAGGAAGGGGCAGCTCTTAACGCAGATCGTCAACGACAAGAACTTGCGGCTGCTCGCATGGCTGCTCGCGAAGCTGCTTGCGAAGTCGCCCGGGAGGCTGCTGAGGATGCTGCGCGTGCACGTGGTCCTGGACTGACAGTAGTCGCTGCAGTAAGCATGCCGTCAACCCATTACTCGAACCATACTGACAACTCATAGGTCAGATACACTGACGGGCCTGGCACCCTTGGGGAGCGCATCGGCGAGGCACTCAATGCCATCAGAGAAGCTGGTGGACACATTGTCCGGCTCGACTTTGGCTCGTCGACCGTTCAGTACGTTATGGTTTTCTCCTAAGACCTTAGTAATTACATTGACAAACTTGCATTTACGAGTACAAGGTCAACACTGACAGCCCCGTTGACATCACCACGGGCGATTGGGATGATTTCAAGCGCATCAAACCGCCTGCATCGGCTGCGGCTGCCGACGTGAGTGAAGACACGGAGTGAGGTTCGCAGGATGTTCCATAGGGGCAAACCCTATTCAATGCAAGGGTTTTTGGCATCTGGCGCAGGGTGAGTGTGGGCTGGATAGCTGGGGTAGCAAGCTCGAATCCATGGTTTCATGATCTAAACTCTGGCATGTGACAATCGTTAAGCATTTTGCCATGAAAAACGTCAAAGGAGGAAAGGTAATAGGCATATACAAGGTCGGAGCGGGCATGCTATCAGCGAAGACGGGAAACAGAGATCTATTGTAGGCCTTACGGAACTATCTAAACATGCAAAAATGCTGCTAGCCGATCCGTCCTATTTTTTCATCCACCAGAAGGCTTCAGCAGCACATGCTCAAGACGCAGCTGCTGGCCGGCATTAGCATTACCGTACTCGGGAGGTCAGGAGGGGATGATAACGTTAACATCCGCAATGCCTCTAACATTCTTGGATCAATGCCAAGGATTATCCTGACGCTTTCTTCAAAGCAGTCAAACGCAACCCTTGCCGTCCGCCGGGGAAGTTAAACCCAATGTTGTAGACCTCGACGACAGGCTGCCCGGCTAGGATAGCCCTGGCTTGAATTGCACCCAGGGCGCGAATGAAAGCGTTGAGCTGGTTCGTGCCGTGGCCCCTTCACGCGTCTGGAAGGAGGTGTGGAGCTGGATCGCGGCAAAAGCATTGATCTGAGTGCGATTAGGTATGTGTGGCTAGAGATTAATGGTCTCGGCAAGCAATGAGAGAGATGAAGCCGTGTGGCTTGGAAGCGTGTGTCATTCAAGACACAAAGATAGATTTTCGATAGCGGAAATGTCAATAATCACAGTGAAAAACTTATTATTAACACCTACGATGGGTTTGCTTGCATCTGGACAAAGCACACTTAGGACCAATAAGGGAAATCAGTATGTTCCCCTACGGAATGAAGTTAATGGGAATGGTTGGCGCATAATAAATACACCTTGAATTACTTTTAAAACAGACAAAGAAATGAGTATTGCATGTATAGTAGTACACTTAGACACGGACTGTGGTTTACCTTTTATAGGTTGACAAGTATCTTGCCTTGATTATGGCTCGTGAATTTGTAAAACACGAGAAATCAGTTGGGTAGGGATGAACATCATATCTCTATAGCAACTTAGACTAACTCGAAAGTAGAGGAGTAGGCATCTTTTACAGCATGAAAACAAGCCTCTAATAATGTTGTAATATATATCTATGGAATAGGCAAAGTAAATTTAGGGGAGATAGGATCCATACCTTTACAACACCATGACGCGACTTTGCATAGGTGATACAACATCGTATGCAACAGGCGAAGTATCTTCTACAGTGTATATGTAGTATATCTACGAAATACGAGAAAAAGGTCTTCGGGGGGTTTAAGCCTTTACTTCCGATACAGTAGAAATCGGTTACAGATCGATAAAGAAACATACTTTTTATCACTGAATTTGGCTACGGAGACTGCTATGACCTATGCCCCTGTAGCTGTATGATTTGATTTAGCGGAAGATAGAATGATAGTTTCTTCAACATGAAACGCTTTTTAATTGGGGTGAAGATCGTGCTTTCATGGATGCGTAACTTAACAAAGGATGAAAACTTCGATCTTATGGGAACGATAACGGAGTCGACTATGTTGTGCGGGGAGTGCAACGTTTCCGTGCTGTTGGTGTAAACCTCTCACCAACTACTTGTGTTGGACAAAGAACGCTCGACCTGCATCGGGTAGAGCCGCGAGAAGCGGAGAGGGAGGCTTGACAGTTGCGACCTTGCGTCGCGAAGGACCACTTCCAGAATGCGCTGAAGAGCCCCATTGCTGGGGGCAACAACCTTGACGTTGAGGCCGGCGGCCGCTGCTGCTAGTATAATGATGGAGAGTACTATCGACTTTCCTGTACCTGCAGGGCCTTGGATGGTGCAGAGTCACTGCCTGCAGGACTCTAGCGCAGCCTTGAACGCTTTCAATCTGTGGATCGTTCAGCTTTGCCCTCAGTTTTCTGACGACGTCATTCCTGAGAGCGATGGCGTCGTTGTTCAGCCACTTGCGACTGCGAGCTTCCTCGAAAGCGAACTCGACGAGGTTCGTTCCGCCGGGGATGGTGTCCGTGACGGACCCGAACATCAAGTCCTTGGTCCTGAAGAGGTTTGACGGCGTGTCGAGCTTGAGCTCGGAGTGGTACTGCAGTTGCCTTGTCTGGTCGTGGCTGATAAAGGCCGTGGTATGCAGCGTTATGAAGCCGTTTTCCCTGGCGGTGCTAGATGCCGCCACCTTGCTATCCGTCGTCGCGAAGATGACAAAGTCGGCGTCTTTGCCAATCTTTGATGAGACTATGCCCATAAAGGCCTGTTCATTCTCTCCGGGCTTGACGGCGCGGTCGACGCGGACATGGGTGCCTGCCTCTGGCGCAGTGAAGTCGGTCGGAGCTGACTGCACCCTTACGAGAATGCGAAAGAAGTCCGACATACCCTACCGCGAGAATAGGCAGTCTTGGGCGGTGGACGGGTTAATGTGACTTCTGGTGACGGTGTCTTTGAAAGCAAGATCCCGATATAGACCTTGCATGAAGACGGCTTGGAAGTCCGTCCTCGACGCCAGAGGGACAACGGTCTCCGTAGAGAACGGGAGCACATTCTGCATGGTGAGGCCGCCTTGCGCGGCAAACGAGCTCGTGGTCAATTGCCACGCAGGGAAGCCAGGAATGTACGGGCTTCCAAGAGGCAAGGAGAAGTATCCCCAAGCCGCTGTCTCGAGGAACCTCCATTTTGGCTTGTCGGCATCGACGTACGACACGGTTCCATCGTCGTAGTCATGATCAATCTCGTGGAAGAATGCCTCTTTCTGGGCATAGTGCCAAAAGTTCGAGCCGAAGAGGGACACCCTGTTCGAAGCGATGCTCGATCCTGGGTGGATGACCAAAGCGGAGTGTCTCATGTCGAGAAGGCCCTGAAACCACCACAGACGTCGCTCGAACTTTTCATCGACGTGGAATAAGCAGGTTAGCGACTTGGCTTTGAGCAGTTCCCTAATCGCACATTTGACATCGTGAGATATGATGCTGCTGAACGGAATTCCACTCAAGACGGGGCTCGAGTGTTCGTTGATGCGGAATTTTAGAACCGCCCAATCTCTCTTCTGATTTAGCCCCCTTGCGAGGCGTGCGTGCTTCTTGATGAGCGCCGGGTCCGCTGCTGCCAGTCCATTGCAGCCAATTAAAAGTAGAGTTTATGGGCAAGATATACTTAGTAACGTAGAACTTCAGCCTGCAGGAAATTAGGCGTGATGTCTATCTAAGCCTAAGAACTTAGGTAGATAGAACCGACTACTGCGCCGCGAGCCGAGGCTCCATGTAACCGCGTGGAAGTAGAAAGGTACAAGGTATACTTGTAATTAGATACACGCGAAGGCGGAATATTTGTAAGTACCTGGGAGAACTATGTGGCTCTAATAACTAAACTGTTCGAGGGGTACCGAAGGCATCCTGGGTACGCGAGGACCTAAGGTATTAAGACATATAAAGTATACTGCATAGATTCGATGACAGGAATCGCCTGGGGCGGCTGAAATATCTATAGCTAGGCGATCCGGCTAAGCTTGTATCCTCGTTAGAGTCATCGCAGAGTCGCGGGGTACGGTTTTCTACTTTACCTACAAAATACTCCTTAGGTGATTATAATTCGCTACTTCGCTACCAAATTCTTGGCTTTCCCGAACGTTAATGCACCCCCTGCATGTTCGTTAGACACCTTGTAGTATATTTCGCCAGGTCGTCGTATGATTGCTGGAGTTTCTGGAGTTCCCGGCGACGGTCATCTGCATACTCGTTTTGAGACAACACAAACTGCTTGCGAACGTCCTTCAACTCGGCTTGGTGAGCCTTGATCTGATTTCCGTAATGCCATTTGTAGCGATCCACGGTCGCTTGACCTAGAGTTATAGGTGGCGAAGAAGGATTAAGTCTGTCTATGTGGTTGGTTGTAGGCTTTATACATAAATCTAAGGTATGTTGTCATAGAAAGCCATGGCATGATGTCCGGGATTGTAGCAAACACACGGTTATAAAGAACTTAAGGCTAACTCGGATCGTATAATCTAGGCATCACAGCAAAGTTGTTTGTCCATTCTCTCTCCTCTCATCAAAGCCTTTCAAAGAGCGATTTGGGCCGTACAGCAAAAACACCTAGAGTAAAATTCAAGGGCTCTGGCATGCACTACAAAGTCGGTGCCACATCTCGGCAGGTCTACCAAAAGACCTTTGCGGCCTCATACAGGGCGCATCTCAATGCCGAAGCTCGGAAGAAGTTGATTGTAAAGCTTCAGTCAGAGATGCAGCAGAAGGAACGAGCAGTTCAGCAGCGCCTTGCCGACTCGGACGTCATGGGCAGACTCACATCCCGGGAGCTGGACAGCATGGCTCGGATTAACGATGAGCTGAGTGGAAAAGTATCGGTGGTATTAGACACCCGGTTCCTGGATATGGAAAACCATAACAAAATCCAGAACAACGATCTTATCCACAAGAGCAACGAGCATACCAAGATTCATGATTCGCTCCTGGATGCCACCGCAAAGTTGAACAGCTCGACTGCCGCTCGTGTGCAGCTATCGAAGGAGTTGACCGAGCTAAACAACCTCAACAGTACGATTATGGGCGATCAGGCGGGTACCATCGAAGAGAATGCGGCCCTTCGAAGCAAGGAGGCAAAACTTGCGAAGAGTGACGAATGGCTCACCAGCGAGCGGGAAAGCCTCCTTGTAGACGTTCGGAAACTCACCGAACAATTCTTTAAGGCCATCTAACGCAAAGATCAGATCAACGAAGCGCACACTGCGCTAATCGCCGACAATCAAGCCTTGAAATCCAGCTATGCCGCCTTGGAGATGGACAAGGCTTCCTTCGAGACACTCGCGAATTCAGTTATCCGCTTCCTCTTAAAGGGAGGCTGTCGGCTTGATGCCCATGTCCGCAAAGTAGACGCAGATTTAAAGATCTACAAGACTGAGGCACGATTACTGAAGGAGTACAATGGGAACCGAGCGACGTCCCATGATTTGCTCAATGAATAGCATCAGCAGCTTCAATCCGAACACAAAGACTGCCCTGGTACGATTTCTGCCCTTCGTAAAACAACAGCTCGTCAGACTTTGGAGATCGAAAGCCTCAAAAGAGGTTGCACGGCTCATATCACTCGCATGTCCACTCTAGAGAGTGATGGCACACACATTGCCGAAAGAATCAAAAACCTCGAGGGTCAGCTGCATGTTCGCGACCAGGCTTTGTCCTCGAACAAAACCGAACGCCTGCTTCAACTGGCAAGAATCAGTGGCCTGGATACCGAAAGCAAGAAGCAATCCGAGGCTTGTAAGCAGCTTCGCAAGGGACGGGCAGTACAAGATAGGAAGATTTTGAGTCTTGAGTCGGACGTCTCCAGTCACAAATCACGAATCTGCTTTTGGAGGGCCAGTGTGCACGCAGCACAAATGAAATTGAAGCCGGGAAGAAAACTTGCTCGGAACGCGATGCTGAGATTGAGGACCTCAAGCTGAAGCATCGGAACTTTCAGACTCAAATTGAGGCTCTCGAAATCGACGAACACCGCGTCAGAGACGTCAGCCTTGCTGATCACAATGAGGTCAGAGATCTTCAGTCGAAATGCTGGAGTCGCGACGAACGGATTAGGAAACTCGAAGCAGATGTTAAAAGTCAAGACGGTAAAATAAAGCACCTTAAAACCCGGGTATCGGCTGGCGAGTCAAAATCACAACAGCTCGAAGCCGACAAGGTCCAGCAGGCTGAACGAATTCATCGTATAGAAGACTGCAATTCGAGATACGAAGCCCTCATTGGAGACAAGGACAATCAGCTTCATCGGGCAGAGTCAGGTTGTTGGAGCTTAATGAGACTCTCTACTATTGCAGCGGTTCGGGACCAAATGATTTCGGCAAAAAATGACATGGAGTTCGAGCTCCTGGTAGCGCTGCTGTAGATAGTGTGAGCTTGAGAAAGTAAGTAAAGACATGCTCCTTCCTGTGGTGCAGGACGGGAAGGTGAGGCTTGACGAGGCAGAATCGACCTGCCGCATGGGCAGCGCGGCAGCAATAGGAAAGCCTGCATGATGGAGCGTCTTGGGGGTGATTCAGATGTTGCGGTGCTGAGGAGGTTAAAGGGCTGAAAGAAGTCATGTAGGGCGGTGTTTGCTTCCCTTGAATGCAGTTAGGCTGTGTTAAGCAGGGCGTTGTTTGTTTCTCTTGTATGCTGTTAAGCTGTGTAAAGAAGGGCGATATGGCCTCCCACGGAAGGGCATGTCGCACTGCATATGTTGTTAGCCGCCAAACGTTACCGTAGACTTCAAATGCTTCTACTCGAAGTAAACTGTTCTCTGTCGTAGGGGTATCAAACAAGCTAAGTGTAGATGAAAATCTTTGAACCTTATAGTCTGATAACACTCGGAGCTACCTGGGGTACGACCACCGCTGTGGCCTTCGAACCATTCCCGTCATGAGGATGATGTCCAGGATCAATAGGGTCAAAAGATCTGCTTACCCGATTTGGCCCTCCGGGTAGCTTTCGGGGAAGCGGTAGTCGGTCATGTTTTCGAGGTTCTATGCCTCGCGGAGACTTGGATGGTGCGAGTGAGAGTGAAAGCTGGGAACTAGGCAAGGGTTCTTGACGCCGCGGCTGATGGAGAAGCCTCTAAGCCTCAAAGAGCGAAGTCAGTAGTGAGGGTGAGAAGTGTGAAGTCAAGGGCTCTTACGAATCTTGACGTCGCGGTTGATGAAGAAGCCTTTGAAGCTCGGAAAACGATGGAGAAAGTGAGGACGGAAAATGTGAGCCAGTGGATGTTTGTCGAGGACGCGGTTGGAACAACCGGGCGGACCCAGTGACTGGCTTTGTAGAGACGGTTAAACTGTGAAGGCTCGCAACGGAAGCAAGGCAAGACGAGATAAAGGGAGAGGGAAGTTGGTTGGTGGGTGGAGATGTCGTAACTCGAGCAAGGCCTGCCTCGGAGCCTAAATCATGTGACACCCCCCTCCGTCTAAAGCAGAAGGAGCGAGTTGGAAGCCTTCCACAACTCCGAAGCATGGGCCTCTAAGTCGTAAAGGTGGAAATAAGTGTAGAGGACATTGAAGGTTTTGTCAGTAGCAAAAAGAATGCTTGTACGGGGCACCAGCAACGCTTTGTCTGAATGGAAGATGGTGGTTGGTGTCAGTGGTAACAGTTCTTTATGCTGTTGATAGCTGCCGAGAGTACTGAAGAGAAATAGATCAAACAGTTGCTCGAAGAAACCGGGAGAGATGCCGCTGCTTTGATTCTCCTCGGCATACTAGGCACAGTACCAAAGGGATACGGTTATCTCCAGCTCCACAGGCTGCCTCCTTCGGCATGAGCAGTAAATTCAACTTCTATGACGACTGGCCTGCATCTCAAGATTTTGCAACCTCCAGCAGTACAGCCTGCGCGCGCTGCAACTCAAAAGCCAAAACGCCTTCCGCGCCAACCTCCACCCGCTCAAGCTTCTCCTCGCCCACCTTGGCGCCCGCAGAATCAAACGACACACCAGAGACATCAACGCTGGACTTTGCATTCGTGCCCGGTGCACTAAGCCTCGTCACCTTGACCTCAGCGCCCTCCTCCCACGGCGTGTGAACGCGCAATCCGCTTGACGGCCTGGTGCCGTTGCTCCGAAATGTCGAATCCGTCGCCGTCAGCGTGGAAGGGTTGTGCAAGCCCGAGCTTGAGTTCCAGACGCCCATGTCCAGGAATACAAGTTTCTGCAACCCCGCCTCGCCGAAGATACCATACCCGCTCAGGTCTGAGGAGTTTACTCCAGGCAGAGCGGCGATGCTGTAATCTAAATCGCCAGCGATGGCTTTCGCGAGGAAGTAATGGCCATAGAATCCGGCCCGGATGCCGGCGGTGAGGTTCTCGCCTTTGTAGGTGTACGGGATGGGCGTGAAAGAGGAGTACTCGCTCTGGGCGCCGAGGTGGAAGTATACCTTCTCGATACCGATACTGGCGGCCATGAGGACGTAGTCGACGCCCCAGAGCGCGGCACCGAATGTATCGCTGATGCCGCTGCGCCCGCTGCAAGATATAGAGTTGGTCTCGCCGAGGACGAAGGGAATACCGGCGGCGTCGGCGGCGGCAACTTGCGGGACGTACTGTGAGACGTTCAGCCACAGCGTGGTATGGTTGGACAGAAGATCGAGCCGCATGCGGTACCATCGCTCCGTGTCGCAGGTGGACTGGGGATAGAGATGCATCGCATAGGCGTCGATGATATCGGAGTCCACCAGGCCGGCTGCGGTCAGATTTACCACGTCAAAATCGTCTGTGTCATCGTGCTGGTCCGGAACCCAGGGCGGGTCAGCAAAAACAGCAGCCTGGAACTTTGGAGGATTTGCTGCCTTCTGGTACCACTCGGAAGCAATGACCTGGCCCGTCAGATTGTGCCATTGGTCGATGTATTGCGCTACGTCCCATCCCGGCGCTCGCCAGCCCTTGTTGACGAAATGATCAATCTCGTTGCCGAGCTCCAGCAATTTCAATTTATCCCCAAGGGCTTCGTGCACAGCCTCCGCTTCTGCAACTGCGTTTGCCCAGGCGCTTGTATTGTCACGCAAGTTGAGGGTGTACAGCAGATCTGTTCCTTCCGGGAAGTAGCTAGCCCAAGTGTCGTACCATGCCGGAGTGATGTTGAAGGTGGTCGCGGTAGAAGGCGTGGGATATGCAATGGAGGTCTGATTCTGGTCTGGACGGAGATACGTCTGGTCGGCGGTGTTCCCTCCAACTCGGATTGGCGGCGGCTTTCCCGTGATGTCGGCAATGGCGCTCAGCAGGTTCGTGGCGAGGTCGGATTTCAGATAGTCATCAACCCAGACAGGCTCAATCGAGTAACCGTAAGCATCATGAAGCAAAGCGCGCGATGAGAGGTTTGTTGGAATGGATATCTCAATGGCATGCGCCGCCAAAGGCGCAAGAAACAACACGCTGTACATGATCGGTAGCCGTTAGCTGAGCCAATGGGGAAGTTCTCAAAAACGAAGATAACTGACCTTTATAAACGTACACAATACGAGGTTCGCGAGGCACTCTGCATATTTTTCCGACTGGCGGCTGAAATTTTGATCTGCGAATCGATGCGGGGAAGTCGCGAGCGGAGATGGATCTCGGCCCTCGGGACAGGACGCACCGAGCAACGCCCGCGTCTTGCTAAACCCGTTTAGGCATCAGGGTCTTCGCAGGGCTGAATGACGTGCAGTCAGGTCCCAAACCCACAGCACGTCCCAAGGCCCCAGCATTGGACGCCCATTCTACAGACCAATCAGGGTTTTGGGGCTTGCGGCATTGGAAGCTGGACATTTTTGTAAACCAGATTCAGGGTTGGAAATATCGCAGCCACCCAACTACTTCTGCATTCGCTTCTACAATGGAAGTAGTCAGTGTAGGTAGGCAGCATTTGCTTCATCTCCATCCCCATTCCCCATCCCTATAAATATATGCGGCGGTTTCACGGTCTAATAGCCCCTTAGCGTTTGCTTTGACCAGTTGGGATTTCTAAGCAACCACGCAATCAACAGCATAAATCGCCATGCACTCGTGGGCTAGTCTGCAGCATCGCAGAACCTCCCAATCAACCACAAGCATTGCAGACGCCGTTCTAACCTCCGCTCAAAATGGCCTCCAACCTCTTCAAGCCCCTCAAGATCGCCGCCGGTGAGCTCAAGCACCGCGTGGTCATGGCCCCTCTGACTCGGTTCCGTGGCGACGAGAACGGCGTCCTCCTCCCCATCGCCATTGAGTACTACACGCAGCGGTCCTGCGTTCCAGGAACGCTCATCCTCTCCGAAGCGACCCCAGTCTCGGAGCGCTTTGGCGGAGTGCCCCACGCGCCGGGCATCTGGACCGATGCGCAGATCCAGCGTTGGAAGGAGGTCACCGACGCCGTCCACGCCAACGGCTGCTTCATGTTCTGCCAGCTGTGGGCGCCCGGCCGCGCCGCGGACCCCGCAACCCTCGCGAAGCAGGGCTTCCCACTCGTCAGCTCAAGTGCTGAGCCCATGGCCGACGGCGCGCCCGTCCCGAAAGAGATGACCGAGGAGGAGATCCAGATCTGTATTTCCGACTTCGTCAAGGCGGCCAAAAACGCCATCGCTGCCGGCTTCGACGGCGTTGAGATCCATGGTGCCAACGGCTATTTGGTCGACCAGTTCACCCAGGACAACTGTAACAAGCGGTCTGACCGCTGGGGCGGCTCGGTGGAGAACCGGGCACGGTTCGCGATTGAGACGGCCAAGGCCGTGGCCGAGGCGGTTGGCGCGGAAAGGCTCGGGATGCGGTTGAGCCCGTGGAGCGTTTTCCAAGGGATGAAGATGAAGGACCCGCTTCCTCAATTCTCATACCTGATCAAGGAGCTCAAGAAGCTCAAGCTTGGCCATTTGCACGTCGTCGAGTCTCGTGTCACCAACAGTGAAGACATCGAGAAGGTCGAAGGGATTGAATTTGCTCTTGACATCTGGGACAACCAATCCCCTGTTTTCGTGGCTGGCGGCTTTAAGCCTGATTCGGCGAAGAAGGCGGTTGATGAGGAATATAAAGACAAAAACATCGCCGTGGTGTTTGGAAGGTACTTCATCTCAACTCCAGATTTGGTCTTCCGGATACAGAATGGCATTTCCCCTAACCAGTATGATCGGAGCACATTTTACCTTCCGATGGCAGAGCAAGGATACCTGGATTACCCCTTTAGCGAAGAGTTCAAGAGCCAAAAGTCCGCTTAGAGGCATTAATATCTTGCAGCAAATTAGAAACCACATGCAGAATGGTTTGTACTTTAGAAACTAGACAATAGAAAACAAAGTTTGACTAATGAGATTGCTGTCTGGAGGCTGGAAACGCAAAGAAGGGTATAAAAAAGCACAAGTTTCTTTGAATCATAACACCGTTGCGCATCAGGTCCTCAGGTACCTGATACTAAAACTCCTTAATCATCCTTTAACGGGAATGATTCTGGCGACTTGAAGCCCTGCTTGTCTCTTCTAGCCGTCGTTCCAGGGAACTGGGATGACTTGCGGTCGAGCGTTGGCTGCTTGCACGTGACAAGGTCACAGTGACCTGAGCTTTGTACGTATTGTCAGAGGGGTGGGGAGTAGTGGGTTCTGGTCCTTGTTCGACGTCATACTCGACTTGATGCCAGATTTCCAGAGGCATGCCGTGACTGGGATTATTAATGTTCTCCTCGCTTGTTGAGTAGCCTGCGTGCCGCCGATCTTCGCTGGTATCCTTCGAGCCGAGAGTGTTGAAGGCCTTGTCTCGGAGAACAGACAACATAATGTTCGAGCCTTTGTTCGTCGCACGCTTGCCTGTGCCTTTGACTCCACTGGCATCGTAGCCATAGCCCGGACTCTTTTGCTTGTAGCTGCCGTATTCAAAGGATTTGAACTTGAACAGCTTGCGGAGTAGAGGCCACCAGCAAGCAATGTTGGAGACGAAGATGCTCGTGCTGCATTCCCGAATGTACCACAGCATATACACCGTTTGCCCTGACCTGTCAGTATATGAAAGCTCGTACTCAAAATAAACCCGTACATACCTGGCAATGCGAAGTTGTAATACTTGTTTAAGATTGCTGCAATGATGACGAATATGCCGAGGCTGAATACGGCACACAGTATGGCCTTCTTTTGGAGTTTCATTTGAGCCCGCATGATTAATGGAACGGGAATCAACAACATAAGGGCATCCGATGAGATGTTGAACGTAGCCCCCATTATCAAGTGATTGGCGTAATTCGCACATTGTTCGTTGTCCGGAGGAACGGCCCAGTAGTCTTGGAACGGGCGACACCAGATTCCGAAATAGAAGATTTGCTGGACGACGTACGTGATGGCAGTATAGATCGAAACTGCTCTGACAAACTTGTTCTCTTTCAATGATGTTGTCATCCTATCGTAGAGGTAAAGCAAACATGCTATTTTTGTCAATACATGCTTTGTACTCAAGTGTTGCTTTATGGCCGTTCGTCTTACCTTTGATCAACCAGGTCGCTGAAATCATGCATTGTTCGACGGCGACGGTTACTTTACTTCCGTATATGCGGTTGGAGACGTCCTTCGGGTTGGCAAGGATGGACTGCAGTTGCGACTTCGGGAACAAATTTGTTTCGTATCGGGAAGAGACTTGAAGCAAAATCAAGAGTGCGGTCCAGAATATGACAGCAAGTGCCATGAGGTAGTCATCGGCTATTGTACAATTAGGCATCATCCAGAAAAGCGGGGTGACAACTTACTCTGCAGGTTCCGTATGCCGCCGTTGCTTATTGCACGAGACCAACTACAATGCGGGTAAGCCTTTGAAGCCGTCTCGAAGCCGTCGTTCTCTCGAAAAACTTACATTCTACCAAGAAATAATATGAAACCAATCACCCAGAAGATGATGGCTTCAGCCAGCATCTGCGCCGGAGTTGGTGACTGATCTGTCATAGCGGCCGACGCTTTTCTGGAGCCACGCGCGATAAAGTTGGGGAAATGCTTAGATGCTTCGGGGTCGGCCGCCTCCGCGGGTCATCTCAAGTTTAAATGGATCGAATCGTCTCTCGCTGGGAAGAGATGCCAGGGTCGGAGGCAAACGCCACTCAAATAGTTTACCAAGTACCATTGCAGAACAAAGCGGCGAGAAAAGAAAGCCTCCCGGTGGGATTGCGTGCCCTGGATGTTCACTATGCCAGAAATTGAGAGTCGAAAGGGGTCAAAATAGGTGATTGGGCCGGGAATTAGACTAGGCATGCGACTATACGGTCAAGCGAGGGATCCTAAGGCGGGAGCTGCGGGACACTTGGACCTAGTAGAGACGATTAAACAACGATAATCTTCCGAGGGTCCAGATCTGTTCGCCGTCTACCTCGTCCAGGCCAAGATACAGAGACTCGATGTCCTGATTCGTCATTTGCGACCAATAGTCGCGTTGAAAGGATTTCCAATGATGCAAAGGATGCGTGCATGGATGGTCCGATCACCTCCATAAACTCCGCCATGGATTTGCTCACGCCAGCGGTGGTTCTTTGGTGGCATGCTCTCCTGGAATCGGCGATCGTGCCGGAAGTGAATTTTTGTTTTTGCATTGGTCTGGCCAATGAGACTATTAGCGGGGGCTTAGATGCTAGTGCGGAGATTGACTAACGCAGGTACGCCCCGGATGATGGCGCGCTACTCCTACTCCATGGCTGCATCCTTCCAACTCCCTCTCTTTCTATACTGAAGCAACTGCGAAGTACGAAAACTCGTCTATTCATCACCAATCTTCATCAGGCGCATTGTTGCGACGACTTAGTCGAAACCCGGCGACTAGCGTCATCAGATCGATATTTATACTGATGTCCCGATGAGCATAGCGAGGGTCGAGACGAATTTTCGAGTGCGTGGCTGAGCTAGGTAAGTGCCGTCGACGGAAAACTGGTTCGGTCTTCCGTGGCCCACACAGCAGGCGTTCGCTACTCAAAGCCATCAACCGAGTTCTTCAGCTGCCCATGTCTCCTGAAATAATAGCCAGCGGCGTTCAACGAAAGCCTGCACTTGTTGAAGCCCTTGTCCTTCCGCGAAAAAGCGCGTACTTGCATTTACCGGTATGTATCAATGCGCATACTCTGTTGACTGATATAGATGAACTTTCGTGTCTTTCCCGATGGTTCGGGTGGAGGAAGATGATGAGATGTCGTCGGCACACGCGCACCATGCGTCGGTTATTCTCTGGGTGATCCCGCAGGCAGCCTCCGGGTACTAGCACAGCGGATTAACCCGTTCAAAATGCGGAGAATGACTGACAAAACGAACAATCGCTAAAAGAAAAGGAAATCACGGACTCTTTACATTCTTACTTCGTGCCCGCAATCATCTTTCCACGGGCCTCGATATATTCCAACCATCCCGGGTTCAGCTCGCGCGCAAACCCGACTTGCTCTTTCGTGGGCTCGTGCGCATACTCGCATATGGTGGCGGTGCAACTGCCGTAGTGTGTATGGTTGTAGGTAGCTTACTCCTCGAAAGACTGGCTTGCTAGCGAAGCGGGCTGGCCACTGATGTGAAATTTCTTAGATGCCGAGGTGTCGGTAGTCGTGACTCGTCTAGGGGAGAGTCGGATGTTCATGAGAAGAGCAGGCAGTGGCTGAAGGCGGTGGCATGAGCGATGGCCTGATGGCGTTGATCCTGTGGTTAAGTCAGTCCAAACACAAGTTTGGATTTGGTTTCAGACGTGACGCGTTCGCGTTACCATGCACCTAGAAGACCTTGTCGTCTTTGAACGGATTCGGCATGATGCTCGACATTGGAAAGCCAGAGTAAGATTGAGGAAGTTTCTAAGCAGCCAAACCATAGACATTGGATGCTGCGGGACAGGTTAGTGCTTCTCGCAATGTTGTGTGGCAGTTACGTCAAACGGGAAAGTCCAGTGCCAAGAATGGACATGTGTTAAAACTTGCCTGCCGCATACAAACCCCAAGCTCTTTCCTTCTCTCATTTTCACCGTCCGACAATTGCCATGGCGTCCGACAAGCCAGAAGGGCCGGACAGCCAGCATCACTATCAATTGCCAGCTGCCGCCGAGCAGCGTCACCACGAGCCCCATAGGAGCTCGTCTGTTCCGCACCGCGACGAAGTCTATGTGAGTCCGCTTTCTGCGAAGAAAATATTTCCACTTACTTCACATCTCGTAGGGCACCCAAATCAAGATATTCAACTCTCGGCGCATGTCAACATCCACAGCCAATCCGTACCACCGAGGCGAAGAAGCCTACTATGACTGGGAGCACCATCGGCTGGCTGCCAAGATCGAAGTGCAGCGAGGCCGAGTCGTACAGGCCCATAAAGACTTGGCTCAACAAGAAGCTCTCCTCGACCGAGCCAAAGCAGATCTTAAGTCACTGGAAATGGAGCTCCAGGACAATGAGTACTTGTGGGAGCATGCGACACGTCATCAACGTTGGGTATCGCCCAGGGCCGAACGTGTGCACTTCCCTCGTGGCGAGTATCCTCTTCCTAGCCACCGGTCTCGTCAGGTGGATCGTCATCACGATCGCTATTCCCACACCCGTCGTTCGCGTTCGCCCCGTCGGGAGTCTTTTGTCTCTCCTCCTCGCTCGCGGTCAATTCCCCCTCGTATGTCTCGCCATGCTATGCCGCCCCCACACGTTTCGGCTCTTGGGCGCCGTGGCCCGTCAAGCCCATTCCAACACTCGCTCCCCGAAAAGCCTCGCCTCCGTCCCAGCGAGATTCCCAGACAATGGATCGGCCTTTACAACGGTAAACCCGTTCCACCCGGTGTATGCTTTAGCCACAACGGAAGACATGGTGGTAATGGTGGGCACTGCGCTGTAGGGAAGATGTGTCCCTTCAGCCATGACCTCACGCCCGAGCAGGTCGAATTCGCAAAGGCCAACAATCCTAAATGGTTGAAGGATGTACAAGCGAACCGTGCCGCTGCAGACGATAGGACGATGCTCTATAAGCTCGAAAGGAAGATTTCTCACTGAGTGACTAGGCCTTCCGGGCTATTGGGTTTTCATCTCAGCTTCTCGGGGGAAAGTTTGAAGTGGACTCAGCTTCTTGACCAAAAAATTGAAATGCCTGTTCGCTAGCCCAAGGTTTCGAGGCAGGCTCAGTGCTTTGGTTATTTGAGCCGTAGTGAGCTCTAATTTCGGTCTTCAAAGCCGTTATATATGCTGGTTTAAATTATTGGCTCATGCAAATCTAATGTGTGAATGCAGTATTTCAACGCGTTGTCCAACCTAACCTCTTAACTAGCCATACATCTTCAGGGGCTAATCCAGCAACACTTTATATTCTATCACCAGCTTTGTAAGCATCCAACTCAAGATTCGATGTACAGGTATTAGCAGCCTGAGATACATCACCATTCACTGTTTGACAAGGACGGCATGTAGCATTTGACTTTACCACATTTCCAAACTCCCCGCCCTTTCCCCAGCTCTTACCTTCACAAAAAGTTGCCTTTGCAACTTAGTTAATAGATTCGTAGACCAGTCACAGGCGTTTGGCTAGGTTATATGCCCCGACCTCCGAGGAGATACGTTATTTTGACTTTTTCAATCACTCACCATTACCGTCAACGCATCCTGCTCGCCCAGCACCTGGATGGCCAATCCAAACTACCTCCTCTTTTTAGCATCAAGCACCGCGACCAAAGGAACGGGGGCGCGACAGTCCTCACTGATGCCCCCGCCAAGAAGGCGAAGCGCTCTGCCCACGACGATGATAGGGATAGCGGCGACAAAAAAGGCGTCAGGGAAGACCCCCAGGCTCTGGTATTTTAGAAAACATCGTCGACGAATTTTTCTTGGTGCGTCTAAGCGCATTCCGATGGCATGGCAGCGGTACAGGCTCGGGCCCTCCGCCCTTGCATCCCGTTGCATTGGAAACGCAAGTTTGCTTCGCCGTGGCCTTCGTCATGCATGCGGCAACAGACAACAAAGCCCCACTGCGCACGCAGCATTCCAGCATGCATGCACTGTTTGCATAAGACTGTGTTTGTGTTTGTGCTTGTGATTTTTCGCCGTTGCTGCTACACTTACAACTTTACTTGCCCTCATCTGATATTACTGAGCGTATAGCGCGGAATCCTCTCACTCCCACTTCATCTTTCGCTGTATGTAACAGTCGGAATGCTCAAACTCTTCTGCACTATAGTGCTGTGCGCGCTGGTAGCGCGAGCAAACGCGATGTAAGTGGTTGCAAACCCCCCACGTCACAACACCAACACTGACGCCGATCTTGCTTGCAGTGGCAAGCGCGACACCACCTTCACCTGGGGCATAGATAAGCTCCGGGGCGTGAACATCGGAGGGTGGTTGATCCTAGAGCCGTAAGCACAGCAGTTTCCTACTTTCACCACCAGCTCTGACCTCCTCACAGCTTCATCACTCCCTCCATCTTCGAGCGCTTCCCCTCCGAGGCCGGTATCGTCGACGAGTACACACTCTGCCAACACTTAGGTCCCCAAGTCGCACGCGACACTGTCCTAGCCCCACACTGGGAGGCATGGGTTTCGCGCGCCGACTTTGAGCGCATTGCTGGCGCCGGCTTCAACTTCGTGCGAGTGCCCGTCCCATTCTGGGCCTTTGACGCTTTCGACACACCATATGCCACCGGTGCAGCCCCATACCTCGACAAGGCAATCTCATGGGCGAGGGACACTGGGCTCAAGGTACTGGTGGACCTGCACACGGCGCCGCGCAGCCAGAACGGATATGACAACTCGGGCCAGCGGATGGATACACCGGGATGGGGAGAGGGGGAGAGCGTGGGCCAGATGCTGAGCGTACTGCACACTGTCGCAGCTAAGTACGCAAGCGCGGAGTTTCGGGACGTCGTCTTGGGGATTGAGCTGCTGAACGAGCCGGCGGGGTACACTCTCGACATGAACATGGTAAGGCAGTTCTACCGCAATGGGTGGGGCGAGGTGCGCGAGTTTGGGGATACGGTCGTCATCTTGCAGGATGCATTCAATGATGCGGCGAGCTTCAACGGATGGATGACCCCAGCGGACGGTGGAGTGCAAGGCGTGGCGATCGATCATCATGAGTACCAGGTGTTTGAATTGGATATGGTGAAATGGTCGCACGAGCAGCACCGTCGGGGTGTGTGCGATCGGGCGTGGAAGTGGGAGGGTGCCGACAAGTGGACTTTCGTGGGCGAATGGAGCGCTGCCATGACGGATTGCGCAAAGTGGCTAAACGGTGAGTTTAAGATGATTTCCCTCTCTTTCCCCATCATCCCTCACCAACACCATCTGCTCGTCCTTCCCTCCTTCCATCCCCTGCTCCGCATACAAAAACACCAACAACACTCACCGCTCCTCCTTCTCCCTCCCCCATACTCTAACCCCCTCCCTCACACCACTCGCACCCCGAACCGCTCTCTTCTATCTTTTCCTTGCCCTCTCTGACGTTCGATGGCTTCCAGGATACCTCCGTGGCGCCCGCTATGACGGGACCTACCTCACGACGGACTACATCGGGGACTGCACACAGTACAACAACATCTCGTCCTGGAATCAAGAGTTGCGGGACGCTACGCGCGCGTATGTCGAGGCGCAGATAAATACATTTGAGGCCGGGACGCAGGGCTGGGTGTTCTGGAATTTCAAAACCGAGTCAGCCGCCGAGTGGGATCTGTTTGCATTGCTAAATGCGGGGCTTTTCCCGAACGCGGTGGCAGAGAGGCAATTTAAGAGGGTGTGCTGAAAGGTCTACATCTGTATGGGGACGAGGAGGGTTGGGGAATTGTGAGTCGTCTGTGGGTAGGTATTGAGATGTTCCTTCAGATGGAGGAGGGTGTCTGCAAAATGTACGGATTGAGGAGAGTGACGATGAAGAAGGCCGCCGCGTAGGATACTGGCAAAACTGGCTGCCGATAGAAGAGACGTTTTGTAGAGGGTCCCGATGGATGAAAGCATAGGTGGAGATTTGGGTTTTCCGGTCGCGGCACCAGCAGTACTGGCCTCGTCTAGATGACGTCAGTTCCCTTGAGCTAGAACGAAGAGATTCCTAGTACGTACTCACTACACTCAAACTCCATGGACATCGGCTTTCCATCGCCTTCCAGCAAATTCATCAAGCCCTGCAGCAGATGAGAACAGTGATTGATATCTTCCTGCGGGGCCCTCGCTCTGCTTCATGACAAGAATGCATAGAGACTTCCAGTCCTTGAGAAGCTTGATTGTGGCTCCGAGCCGCTCTACACAAGTCTTGTTGCGGTCTTGCTGACTGGTTCTGTTCAGCTAATTTGACGCAGGGGAGACGCGGGGACAAGACGTATGAGACTTTGTCTGAGGCTTCTGGATCGCAGGCGTGGCGAGCAAGTGGGGTCGGATGGTGGTGGCATGCTGAGGGCATGAAGACGGAGGTGGATGGCAAAGGCCGGCTAAGGGTGTAAAGACGGGGCCAGATAGTGGTGGTTTGCCGCGTCCGGGAAGATTGAAATTAGGTGATAGTGTATTTGATGGGTAGTCGCTTTTGGGGATGCTGAGAAGAGGGCTTGGGTCTGCAGGATTGACATACCCAGCAATCGAAACGGGACTATGGTGTTGGGCCAGACGATGGTTTTCAGGATTATGGAGCGCTCGGTAACCGCAGCTGCAGTATTTCTGGTCATCTCAAGCCTAAAGCCATCGACAGAATGACTTACAGATGTCTATACTGCTGCGTGTAGCACTGATATGATGTTGAGCGACCTGAGGATGAGTGGCTGGGACTGAGCGACCTGAGGTTGAGTGGCCTGGGGCTAAGGTGCAACTTTGACCAGCGTTGTTCTTAATCTGCCTCTTCGGCCGTAAATGGCCATCTTACGGTGGGGCAAAATCGTCTGGGTTTTGTCAAGCTCAATTTCTCGTTATCATCCTGGTGGGCCGTTGCTAACTTGCCATTCAAGCAGAATCCCTCAGTTTACGACAATCCCATCTCGAGCTGAGGAGCAGGAACATCTCGGCAGTGTATAATCAGTGGCTTGGCTGTGGAGCAACGACTGGTAGATAGGGAGAGGTGGTACGGCTTCGGACGCTGGGAGGTTCGACTCATTAGTGGTATTCATCTGCAGGAGCGAGGGAGGGCTTGGTTGCAGGCCGGTGCCGTCACGGGTATTGGCTGAAGCCGTCAATGGGGCGGTTACGTCTGCGCACGAGAGTGGAGGTATACTTTGCGATTGCTACGGGTGCTAATGTAAACGGCCCGTTAGTGGATGACTTTTCGAGGGAAGGGGGAGAATGCGATGGGAGCTGACCGGAGCAGATTGAGCATTGCTAGAGTTGACGGAGGAGTAGAGGAACGGTAGTATGTGCTAGCTGGGTAGCTCGTCGGCGGCATGACCGTACTGGCGCTCGAGAGAGCTCCGCCTCTGTCGAAAATGAGCGATATTGCGTGCTGGCGGATATCGTGCAGCTGCCGTTCTGGCGTGTCAATGGCGCTGCCCCATCTCGCTCTACGACTGCCTCGCTTGGGGTATCTGGATAACGCCCAGGACCTCAACGACTTGCCCATACGTCGAACCTCGCCGCGTAGCGCCCATGTCGAAGATGCCTATGATTGGTAGGTCATTTCTTTCCCGCATTGACAGCCCGGTACTGACATTCGAGTTCTTGGCAGATTTCGTTTCATGCCGTCATCGCGGATACCTGCAGTGCAATCGAGCTTAGCCAGAATCCCCATGTCAAACGCGGCGCTGACACTCCTCGCAAGCAGAATATCAGGGACAGCGACCAGAACTACCCAGAACTCCAGAGAGCAACTCACTGGCCAGCCCGAGCCCATGCAGCAGCGTGACCAGAAGAGCCGGACGCGTAGGGGAAGAGAGCGATCAGTGAATCTGACATACGCCAGTTTGATGATCGAGATAACTGATAACGGGTCTTCCTGGATTTTTCTCGTTCAGGCGTTTCCCTTGGGGTGCAGTGTTGGACCAAACTTTCGTACCTGATGAGACGGCACACCAGTTGACCTCAGCAAGACATTGCAGTCATTATGACGGATGGCAGCATTCAGCCGAGGATAGTGAGTCTGCATCTCGTATTCTTGGGACGGTGTTACTCTGACCTCGTCGATGCCGATCTCGAGGAGCCAGTGCCTATTCTCGGAATCAAAAAATCGCAATTGTTAACTGCTAAGCTGGCATTCGCTCATCGTCGCCAGATACGACCTAATGCGAAGGTTCGCTGGGCAGGCATTGCTGTACATGGAGACCGCAATAACGTTGAAGTTGCATTCCCGACGATTCCAGGAGGGCGTACATCCGCAGGTTGAGCCGAGTGCTGCTCATATCGAATGCTGCCCATGCTCTGGCAGTGACGCTCTCTGGCTCCTAGGCATTTAACTTCATCAGCCTCGGTGTTGGCTCCGAGCTGGATCGGCGTGTCAATCCTCCGTCCCATCACCCCCTCTCTTACTTCGTACGGCAGGGGAATCGTCACTGGATCATAACTCCAGCCTCGACCTCACAGTACGGAATCAGCACCAGCAAAAGATCCCCGATCCAACAATGTCCGCACTACGGAGCTCAACGCCAGTTTGGCGTATCTGAGTCGGTGGAGGTACGAAGGGCAAGGACAGGAGATTAGGTGGGGTGATTGAGATGGGCTGAATGTTTTCGGTTGGGGGAGTGTAGATAGAATGAGCGGCGCGACCTGGGTGATGACGACTCGTCAGGGTGTTTTTTCCTCTACTCATAGCCTCCCTTGACGCGTTCCATAATCTCGTCCCAGCGGCATCCGGCAGCAACGCCAAACGCCCTCGCCGTACAGCCGCTCCAGACGACTCTTGACCGTGCTCTTGACTCATCCAGATCCCCCACCAGCCCACGCCTCTTCCCGTACCGGAAGCACCGCGTACGCCTCGACACTCGACACCGCGCATGACGACAGTGGGAAAGCGCACGATCCGTCTGCAGTCTGCACCGACGATGCCCAAGGCGGGCATCTGATTGGCACGTTGCCGACTGGCGGTGAAAATTGGCAGAAAGGCGTCGCGATTCATCTGCGTAGCCACGAGTAGTCTGACGACTTTACATTCCTCGCGCCTGCCAGTACCCTTGCCTCGCAACGCGTCTGAAGCTCGATTGAACTGACTGGCGCCTGGTGTTGCCTGTTGGATTCCTGCTCTCGCCTGCGTTCTGTGCACCCGGTTCCTCGTGCCCCGCACCAGTCGGTCAAAAGAAGCGCGTCATATTCCCAAAACTTCTCCGGCGCACTCGCCCGCTCCCGAGCCATAAACTTAGCCCGCCGGAAGCTCAGCTTACACCACCATGGGTCCACCTACTGTTGTCAACACGCCTGGGTTGGCGTCGTTTCTCAAGTCTTTGAGAGGCACACCCGTTGAGTCATCAATCGAGCACCTCATATCGTGAGCCTCCACCGCGCAACCCACAGACATCCTGCTGACGCAAAAAGGCTCCTCAAGCGTCGCCAAATCCGCAACTCCAGGCCATGCGCAATCGCGACCACGCAGCTTCTGCGCCGCGTCATACAAGAGTTCAAGGGAAGAGATGTGAGCAAGCTCATTCGGCGCATCAAAGAGGTCGGCCAGCGCTTGACGAGCGCGCAGCCTCGCGAGATGGTGGTCGGCAACATTGTGCGGCGAGTGCTGGGATTGGTCAGGGAGGTCGCTGAGGAGGAAGAGGATGTGACTGCCATGAGCGATGCTGGTGCCAGCACGCCAGCTCAGGCTGCGTACCACGATTCGATGCAGCGCCCAGCCTACAACTCGACCATGTCGACTTACACGCCGCTCAAGAATGGCATCCAGCCCATGGACCTCAGCATACACACGGATGATTCCATGGAGCAGCCGCGGCCTCCTCTTCTGACCTCGCACACTTCGTACGCTGTGCCGGGTGCTCCCATGGTTGGTTCTCTGTTTGGGCTATTCTCTCAGCCCGCGACGCCCTACCCCAACTCCCCTACGGCTACGCCACCCGGCTACGCCTCGCCAGGCGGCAAGGGTCTTACTGCGCAGAATCTGGCTGGGCTTCCCGACTCGTCGTCCAAGACGGATATCAAGGCCGAAGTGCTGGAAGGCATCAACGAGCTGCTGGACGAGCTGGACCAGGTGGACGAGCAGATTGCCGAATACGCGCTGCAGCATATCCATTCCGACGAGATTATCCTGACACACACTTCGTCGATGACGGTGCAAAAGTTTCTTCTTACTGCGGCGAAGAAGCGCAAGTTTACCGTCATCCACGCCGAAGCGTACCCCAATGACAGCGACAACACGCACGCGACGGTTCTGACGGGCCGCAAGCTCGAGACGGACGAGGAGTACGACTCGGACGAGCGTTTCAAGCCACTTACGGCAGCCGGCATCACGGTTATTCTGATTCCCGAGTCGGCGGTGTTCGCCATCATGTCACGCGTCAACAAGGTGATATTGGCAACACACACGGTGCTGGCCAACGGCGGGCTGGTCGCGGCCGTGGGAGCGCGCACCATTGCACAGGCGGCCAAGATGCACCAGACGCCGGTGGTGGTGGTCAGCGGCGTGTACAAGCTGTCGCCGGTGTACCCGTTCGACGTGGACGAACTGATTGAGTATGGCGATGCGGGTGCGGTGGTGCCGTATGCGGACGGCGAGTTTGTCGACAAGATTGATGTGGTGAATCCGCTCTTCGACTACGTCCCGGCTGATCTGGTGGATTTGTACATTACGAACTTGGGAGGCCATGCCCCGAGCTATTTGTACCGTATTGTCGCGGATCACTATCGGGCGGAGGATGTGAATTTGTAGGTAGAGGAATTAAGAGTGATTGGCTTGGGATGAAACTATTTGAGCGTGCGTGTTAGGGTGCTAGGTGGTCTGGAAAGGCGGCCAACTTGCGATTGATAATGAACGAGAGATGACTGATTGGGATCAAGCAAAGGAGACGTCAGAATCAAATCAAAAGGAATAACTTGGAAACACCGTCCGCAGATAGTCAGCGAATTTTATATATGTACGAGCTGCAAGGATGAGCTCCACATGGACCGATATCGATAGCTGCAAGTGGGGAAGCAAAACCCCACCACCACCACCACCAACACCCTCACACCACGACATCATACATCACGACAGGACGAAAAAAAAAATGGGCGCGCCCCTGTCCGCCACAGTCGCCTCCCTGCAACGCGAAATCAGCGCGTGCGAGCGCCAACTCGAACTCTTACGCGCCCAGCTCGCCGACGCCGAAGCCGCGGCCGCCGCCTCGGCCTCGTACACCGAGCACGACGACGCGCTGCTCTCGTCGGCCATCGACGGCGGCTTCCCCGTCGAATGGCAGGGCGAGACGATGGCTGCGCTGGCGCCGCCGCACACGCACACACACACACATGCGCACACGCACAACACTGCCGCCGCCTCGTCTGGCGACGACGACGACAACGCGCCCACGACGACGACGCCCTGGCCGCTCAGCGCAGAAGAGTACAGGCGCTACGGCCGGCAGCTCATCATGCCCGAGGTGGGACTGCGGGGGCAGCAGCGGCTGCGCGCGGCGCGGGTGCTGGTCGTCGGCGCGGGCGGGCTCGGCTGCCCTGCTGCGGCGTATCTGGCGGGGGCGGGGGTGGGCGCGCTGGGCTTGGTGGACGGCGACACGGTCGAGGAGTCGAATCTGCACCGGCAGATTCTGCATAGTTCGCTGAAGGTGGGCATGGGGAAGGTGGAGAGCGCGGTGGCGAGCTTGAGAGCGTGGGTTTGGCTGTCTCTTTCTCAAGCAGAAAGACTTCAATGGCTGTGCTAGGTAACTAACGCTCATTCATTCATCAGACTCAACCCCCTCGTCCGCTACCACACCCACCGGCACCGCCTCGCGCCGTCCAACGCCCTCGCCCTCGTCGCCGACTACGACGTCGTGCTCGACTGCACCGACACGCCCGCGTCGCGCTACCTCATCTCCGACGCCTGCGTGCTGCAGCGCAAGCCCTTAGTCTCAGCCTCAGCCCTCCGCACCGAAGGGCAGCTGATGGTGCTGAACAGTCCGGCGCGGGCGCCCGGCGACCCCACTGGCGGCGGGCCCTGCTACCGGTGCGTGTTCCCGCGGCCGCCGCCGCCAGAGACGGTCGTCAGCTGCGGCGAGGGCGGGATCCTTGGCCCGGTGGTGGGCGTGATGGGCGTGCTGCAAGCCCTCGAAACGATCAAGCTCATTGCGAGCGGCGGGCTGGAAACCGATCTCTCATCCACCGCAACACCAACAACGCCGCCACCCACCCCCCCAAACCCGCCCGCAAAGCCGTCCCTCCTCCTCTTCTCCAGCACCGCGCACCCCCCCTTCCGCAGCGTGACGCTGCGCGCGCGCAAGCCGACCTGCGCGACCTGCTCGGCGCAAGCGACCATCACGCCCGCAGCGCTAACCTCGGGTTCGCTGGACTACGTGCAGTTCTGCGGCTTAAGCTTGCCGATCAGCACGCTGGCGGCGGACGAGCGCCTCGCCCCCGCCGAGTACGCCGCCGCGGTGCGCGAGCGCCGCCCCCATGTCTTGCTGGATGTGAGGGAGCGGGTGCAGTTTGAGCTAGCGCATTTGCGGGGCAGCGTCAATGTGCCGTGGTCTGTTTTGGGGGGTGTGGTGGTGGGGGGGAAGGGGATGGGGGTGGGTGGTGGGTTGGGGAGTGGGGAGGGGAAGATGGGCGGGCTGGGGGGTGGCGGAGAGAGAGATAGGGAGCAAAAGGAAAACAACAACGAGCCAGCCTGGCTGCAAAACCTCCGCGCCCTGCCGACCAGCACGCCGATCGTAGTGGCCTGCCGCCTGGGCAACGACTCGCAGCTTGCGGTGCGCAAGTTGCAGGCGCTGGGGCTGGGAGGGGGAGGGGGTGGGGTGGGTAGGGAAGAAGAAGGGATGGAAGGGGTTGAGGGTGCGAGTGAGTGTGAAAATAGCAGTGATGGGCCAGATGGGGATGGAGAGGGAGAGGGCAGACGGCGCATAGTCGATTTGCGCGGAGGCTTGAGCGCGTGGCGCCGAGATGTCGATGCCGGGTTTCCTGATTATTGAGGTGGATGGATGGATGGATGGGGTGGGGGAGGCTGGGAGAGACGGGGCTTCGTCGCCTGCAAACACCACACATACTGCAAGCAGGAGAGAAAACGCTGCCTCCTCGATCATACATTCCTCGAAAAAAGCCCGCATCCCAGGCCGTATATGTGGGTATACTTGAAATACTCCCAACAGCAGCAGCAGCACCACCACCACCACCACCACACCCACCAACACTCTCTCCTCCCCTCCCCTCCCCCCACTACAGCGCAAACCGCGTCCGCACCTTCTCACTGCCCGCCTTCCACTGCCACTCCTGCCCACTAGCGCGCTGGATGCCCTTATCGATCCTGCGCAGCTTGAGCGTGAAGCGCGGCCCCAGCTCCTGCAGGCCGGCCTTGATGTCCTCGACGCCGGCAATGGGCTTGCCGTCGGTGCCCACGACGCTCTTTTCCGTCGCGCGCTTGTCGCGGAAGACGTAGCGGTGGCGGCGCACGAAGATGTAGTCGCGCTGGTTGTCTGTCGTGCGTGCGTGTTAGTTATTGTGTGTGTGTGTGGGAGGGAAAGGGAGGGGGAGAAAACTCACGCAGCGTGACGACCTGCCGGCCCTGCAGCTCTGGCTGGGGCGGGAAAATCGTGCGGAACAGATGCGCCGTCAGCAGACCCAGCGGCGTGCGGAAGTTATTGAGGATTAGCTCGGGGTAGTGGTTGGTGGGGTTGCCATGGCCGGGCAGCTTGGCGCCCTCGACCCAGTTGCTGATGCTGAAGTGGAACATGGGGCCGTCAGGCAAATGGACGACGTCGAGGCCGCTCGGCCGCTTCTGGTCCTCGTTCAGCACAACGACGGTCGTGTACTCGCGGTTGGCGGCGAATTTGGAGATTTCCTTGATGCTGAACTTGTGGCCGAAGCGGTGCGCGCTGCGCCGCACGTACGTGCTGTTGGGGAAGAGGCCGCACACGAGCTCGGCTTCCTTGTGCAGCGTGCTGTTGATGTTGGTCGTGACGAGGACTTTGGGCGGCAGCGTGGGCGCGGTGAATAGCGAAGGGAATTTCTCGGCCAAAGAGTCGGGCGTCAGCTTCAGGTTCGTGCTCATTGTCGAGCCCGAGGGGCTGGAGGCGCGTTGGTCTCGCCGAGGCGCGTCGCCGTCTGCTGCCTTCTTCTTCTTTGCCGCCTGTTTCCGTGCCTGCGCCTTGGTGTCCGCGTCCTCGTCGTCGGAGCCGGCGTCCGACTCGTCGTCGAGCATGCTGTCGTGGTCGTCCTCGTCCTCGTCCAACATGCTGTCGCGGTCCTCGTCGTCGTCCTCACTCCCCTCCTCCTCCGCCGCCTCCTCTTCCTCCTTCTTCGCCGCCTCCTCCGCAGCCAGCCTCTGCCGCTTCAGCCTCTCCACATCCACCGCCATGTTCAGTATGTCCTCGTCATCCGAGCCCACCGCGTCCCACGTGCGCTTCTTGTCAATGGTGGCGGGCACATTGCGCGCCAGCCGCTCCGCCTTGGCCTCGGGGTTCTTTTCCTCCTCGCGCTTGCGGCGGAACCGCTCGTCGCGCTTGATGCTGTCGCGGGCCTTTTTCTGCTTCAGGTGGAAGTCCTGGCGCTTGTACTTGTTGTTCGTCTTAAAGGGCAGCGCGTGCTTGGACGACAGCTGCTGCTTGGAGGAGCCCATGGTGGAATGCGGGGTAGGGGTCTCGGGCCCGGGTGCCGTCAAGGGTTGCGACTTTGGTTTGAGGGCGGAGTAATGGCAGAGACTGTTTGCGACGGCGTCGCTATGGGCGGTGGTGCAGGCCCGCCGCCGCAGATCGGCGAAACTTTTTTCGGCGGCCGGGCTCCGAGCGGCGAAGTTTAGCCGGGCGGTCAGGGCAGACGTCAGACGCAAACGGAGCAAACACATTAAATCACGCACGTGACACGATCAAGCCGGACCACAACCCGCGCTAACCGCATCGGGCAACCGCGAGGAAGAAGGCACTGGACCCGGCTCCAGGGGCGCACGTCCACCGCCGCATCCTTCGAGAATCGAGGCGCCTGGGCCTGCGCCCCGAGCGCGCGGCGCAGGAATGGTGATCGTCGGCCCCGGCGTAGGGGATCCCGGGCGAGGGGACGCGACGAAGGATTGCGAGGCGAGCGAGGGAGGGCTCGCAGGGCGCCGGCAGCCTCGCCTCGGGCTGCGGAATCAGTCGCGCATCCCGCCGGCCCTGCCACCGTCTTGCATGCTTCCGGCGAGCCTGGTCGTCGGCGCCGATGCTGGCAGCGCTGATCGCGGCGCCTGGACTGCCCTGGACAGGACTGGACGAGACTCGGGTGGAGTGGACGTTTGTGGGCGAGTCGCTGGGGCTGTGGCTGTGGCTGTGACCGAGGCCGTTTTTGTGGCCTGCCATGTTGCTGCTGCTGTTGCTGCTGCGGCGCCTCGTTGCGCTGGCTGGGTGGCAGGGCGGGCCTGTGCTGTGTTTGTCCGTGCGTGTGCGTGCGCGCGGCCTGGCGGTTACTGAGAATCACTGGACGGATTAGATACGGAGGAGTGGGAATCAATCTATTGAATGTTTCCAACGTCGACGGAGCGGACATGTCCGGCAGGTGGACGGCCTGAAGGACGCCTCAACACATCGTTTTCGTATCTGTATGGGATATGGAGCGGATAGCTTGGCGCGGCGCGGTGTGCACGCGCAGGCACGGGACCGGAAGACATGGGCCGGGGCCGTGGTATGTGGTGACACGGAACGCCTGTGTATGGGAGTGACACGGAGATTGGGGTTGACTGAAGTGGGATAAACGCTGGGATTGGATTTACCCGCAGCGGCTGCGGTGGATGAAGCCCGTGACGTTTTTCGTTGTACGAAGTCTGTACATACATCCGCAAGCCATGGCAGTTTCCTTCTCTTTCTTCCGTGTCTCGCATGAGCCTCCAGCAAAAAGAAACGTAACGAAACCTGCAGCCGTTCACGCGTCTCAAACACCTCCTTCATGCGTGCATGCAAGACCCGGGAACTAGGCCCTAGCGTCGAGTGGCGCATGCAAGGGCCAGGGGCACGCAGCAGAGCCGCGGAGGCTCTTACCTCTTCCTCACACAGCCGATCAATGTCAATGTAATGTCATCGGCAACGCCGGAGCGTGCAGACTCCGCGAGCGGCAAGAATCGGCAGGGAAGTAGTTGGTAGTAGCAGACGGATGGAAGCGCGGAGGCGGATGGGCGGAGCGAGTTATCGCGAGCAGGCGAGCAGACGAGCAAGGCAGGTCGAGTCGGGGCGGTGTGCGATGCGGAAGAGTGGGAGATTGGAAAAGGTGACGAATCGAAGAGTCGGCAGATGGAGAGCGACGAGAGTTAATTTGCGCTGTGGCAAGGGACGACGAGTCGACGTGGTTGCGGTGAAGGGTGGCGAAAAAAAATGACGACGGCGGCAGATGGGCAAACACTTGCCTGTCCGAGGGAGGGTTCGCGAGATGCAGCGTTCGTAGAGTTTGCAAAGCAGAAAGAAACAGTTGCAGGCATCATCCTCGCCCGCCATCATCACCCCCAAACCACCATCTACAACCACAACCACCTAACCACCACCGTCTCCCCACCCAGATCATCTCACTCGCTCACATCGCTCGCATCGCTCGCACATACCTCCCCGCTGCGACCACCCCACGCCCCTCGCGCCGAATCACCACACGTGCGACGCAGCCCCGAGCGTCCCGGCCTCCACCCACTCCGCGCCGCCGCCCAAGCCTACCAGCCACTCGTTCTGCCACCCACGTCCGCTTTCCCGGCACCTGACACACCATGCATGCGTGCATGACGATGTGATCTGTAGTACGCGCGAAGCGAGCGAGCTGCAAGCTGCAGCACTAGAAGCCATGTGCTGGCTGGTGCTGCTTTCCATCTCTCCACCACCTCGCGCACAAATAGAGTGATCGTCTATCGACATGACACGGTCTCGGCTTCCCATCGGCATCGACTGCAATGGCCCATCCTCCAAAGTCAATCCCAGGGTCTCGTTTCCCGTTGCTACGATCCTTGGCCCGAGTTTAGACTTTCATTTTCGCGAATTCTTCTTCGTTTCTCCGCGATCGCCATGTCCGTGTGGTCCGTCCCAACAGAATGAATTGCGAAGGCGATCGAGCGATCGTTGTGCGTGCTGTAAGTCGTGCCGTGCGTTTGAGTCGGATGGAGGGTCCGATGGGAGAAGTGTCTTTGCCATTTTTGCTTGTAGCGTTTAGTGTAACTCACAAATTCACATCACCATAATCATAGTGCTTCAAAATTGCAAAAAACCGCAAAAGGGGGAATCATTAAAGGCAGTCAGCCCACTACTCAAGAAGGTAAAAAGCAAGAACAAGAAGTTAAAAAACAAACAAAAAACGAACCACACCCGTCGATTAAACGGATGGGCGCAGGAAAAGAAGAACAACAAAGCCAGAAAAAAGCGGAGAAAAAAAAAAATCCAACCATCCACCCGCAGGACCATGTTGCCTTGCCACCCAAACCAGACCCGACCAGAGACCAGCAGCAGCAACCCAGAAGAACAGTCCAAAAGCCAGACCCAAAACCAACCCAGACAGATAGCAACAATCAAACCAATCAAAACCAAACAATCGTTTCAATCGTTCATCCAAGACCCAGACAAGACAGTCCCCCAATCTTTGATTTTCCCGGCCTTTCCCTTCCCAAACAAATCCCAAATTTTTTTTGGCCCTCCTTTTCCTTTATATCCCATCATGCCATCGTGTTGTAATACGTCGCGAAAACCCCTTCCGGAATGAGACGATCCCGGGAGTAGCAATAGCAAGCAAGCAGCAGGCGTGAGACAAGCCTTGCAGCAAAATCATAAAAACACAGCTGACCAGGCATCGTGAGACGCACTTGCCCGGCCGCAGAACGGAAGTAAAGTAAGGAGAGCGGCGCCGACCGAGGCGTGAGACGAGTCCTGGTGGGCCGAAACGATGTGCGGGATGAAAAACTGAATCCGGAGACCGAGGATGCGTCGTGCGCTGGATGGACGACGGACAAACGTATGGGGCCGCGGGTATAGTGGTTGCGGAAAACGGCGAATTGAAGAGATTCGGAACGAGCAGAACGACGACGCGGTAATTGTACAGGGGATATTTTTGGTGTGGCAGCGGAAATCGAAACAGAGAAAAAAACGCGTCGACAACTAGTTTGTGCAAGAATCAGAGGGCGTGCGCACTGCGCCGGGCAGCCGTGTGTCGCCGGAGAGGAGTTCGTAGTAGGCTGTAGAGTATTATTGATTTCCGACGGACGAAAATGTGGCTGAGTCGACTAGTGCGAAGACTTGGCGCCGAGGTCATCCTGCAGTAGTGAGCTTCCCGATCGAGTGTTAGGGTAGACGACAACAACTTACCATGTGGTTAACCATGGCGACGAACAGGTCGAAGAACAGCTTGCCGCCAGCCTCCATCTCGTTTTGCATGGTGCCGCTGCGCTTGAACGTGTGGCGCGAGCGGATGATCAGCGCGAGGTAGTGCGCGCGCAGCTTGGAGTCGGTGTCGGGGGTGTTGGCGTATGCGTAGCGCGCCGACGTCAGGATCGTCGAGCATTGAATGCCAGACTGCAGGCCCTGCTTGCGGAGAGCGAGGCGCTTGAGCTCGTCGAGGCCGTACTTTTCGGCGATGCACTAGGAAATTAGTTAGTGGGATGATGGGATGGTGGGATATGGCGGGGAGTACATACGTAGATAACAGTGTCCTTGAGGATGGGCACGCCGCAGCCATTGATGAAGACAGTCGACTCGGCAGCGCCGCGGCCCTTGTTCGAGTCCTCCAGGGTCCAAGTGTTGCGCTTGCGGTCGTGCTCCAGCTTGGGGTAGTAGTCGCCCTTGTAGAGGTACTCGAGGATGGACGAGAAGATTTCGGGCTCCTCCTCGGGCAGATCGATGCGCCTGGAGGTGGGCTCGAAGAATTGACCGCGGCAGAGGGCAGAGAAGAAGGGCGAGTGGCAGAGGACGTCCTCGTGTGCGGCGAACAGGCGCTGCTCGCGGCCGACGGCGATGGTGATGATGGCCGAGGTCATGCTGTTACTTTGAGAGGTCAGTAATGGAAAATCAAGTCACGGACAGGCTGGGCTTACGGGCTCTGGGTGCTGGATCGGGAGGTGGTATCCTGGCGGGGAGTGCGACTGATGGACATCTTCCGCTTGGGAGGGTCCTTGGCGACGCGGCTCTTGGAGGAGACGGACTCGGCTCGCCTTCTGCTTCCGAACATGATGTGCTATGTAGTTGACTTGGAAGAAAGTAGTGCTGCCAGAAGAAGCAAGAGGGTATCACGGGTATCCTTATAAGCAAAGAAAGCAAGTCACTTTTTTAAATCCGAACGCAGCCGAAAGACAATATAAGAAAGGGGACGGTGCGAAGAATGTGGGCGGCAGAGAAAGGGCCGCAGCTTGATCCTAAATAGGCGGGCGAGACGACGCTCGACCATCGTGGCCTGGTGGTCCGAGCAGGGAAGGAGCACGAGGGTGGGTCGCGACTTCTTGCTCGAGGTGGATCAGTGGGCACGGGCGTTTGGGGAGGAGCGACGGCGCCAAGCGCCGATAGTAGCTTCCTTCCAAGAGAGAGACACCCGTTGCACCGTCGCGCGCGCCATCAGGTGCCCAGCTACCCAGAACTCTCACTGCAAGCCCTGCAAAACCTGCGACAAACCCGTCCGTCTGCATGAACTCCCTCTGTCCCCTCGGCCTGCGGTGTGCGCAATGCAACAGGCGGTCTACGCGAAAAATTTGCGGCCAACCCTCGCGCGCATCCCTCGATCGGCGTCTCTTGCCCACCCGGCTCTAGCGCCTCGTGACTCCCGCCCGGCCAGCCACGCGCCAAGCTCTTCCACCTCATCCTCCCATCACCGCCTTGCCTCCGCCCATATCCATCCCTAACCCTTCCGTTCCCTTTAATCTCAAGCGAGTCAAGAACGATGCCCGTCCTCCGTGCTCTCCGTCCATGCTCCCGACCTCCCCGTGGCCCCCGTGCCCACCCGGCCCGACGGACCCTCGTGATTGTCCTGATTGTCGCGCACAGCGCAGCACCAGCTCGACGACAGTCTGGCGATCCGCGCGTCCGCGCCGCCGGGATAACCGGGGCGACGTTGGCAGTGGCTGGCTACGAGGCCCTCACCGCTGGGCGATCCGCGACCATGGCAGGATGGGCTGCTGCGTTGGCGGCTGCGCGCGCGCGGCGGCCCACGCGTGGACGTGGCAGCTGCGGCCTGCCATCATCATGTCAAATGTCTTGCGACGACCCCGGCCGCGCATCGTACGGGAGGGAAAAATCTGCTTAGGTGCCGCGGGTATATGAAGAAGCGGTCGGTCGGGGGGAGCGTGCGCGAGCAAGGCATTGGCTGGATTTGATCGAGGCGTTTGTGTGCAGAGTTCGAGAAGAGTTCGTCGGATCTGCTCGGTTGGCGACAAAGATAGCAACTCGGTATCCACACGTGACGGCCAAGCTTTGGTGCCAAATGCAGCCTGACATCAGCCAACGATCAGGCAGAGCTCAGGCCTCAGGCACCCAGCGCTACTGCATCGAACGCCCACGGAACCTCTCTCCTTTCCCCACCCCCAGCCAGCCCTACGCAATGACTTGAAACACCTGCACCTTTGTCTGTTTCAGCCCGCTCGTGAAAAACACTACCTTGTCTTGCATTGCAAATTCTATCCTCTGTCTCTGTGTGTGCGTGTGTTTGAGGCGCCCTACCTTCGCCCTGCAAAAACCCCTCATGGTCTCGTGTTGGGTTTTGGGCCGCCAGTCTCTTGACCCCTCAAACTCTTGACCGCCACGATTCATCCTTGTACCCGCCGTGAGGCGAGGCAGGCGAGGCGAGGCGAGACGGGACGAGACGTGACTCTAACCGCTTCTATGACGCAAGTGATGTGCTGCGCTGCGTATGCGCCACACATTGGGTAGTAGTTATAGCTACCTAAGGGGTAGTTGTGTTCTACACTGCGTCTCAACTCTATCTGCTCTGCCACTCTGCTGCGCCTCGCTGCAAGTGGTTAGAGGGAAAGTAGATCGAGCAATATAGTGCACGTACACCAATAACAGCATGGCGGTGAAGAGAGGTCCAAGCATCGCAGGAGTACAAAGGCATTTAAGTACAAACTATATTATTGCCTAGGGTCAGCCAGCCAGGTATGCCGGCAACCTTAAAGCTATGTAGGAAGCTAGGTAGGAAGCTAATATGTCTTACGCATAAACAGCACTGATTCAAAATATTAATATAACGTATATAACTTACTAACCACTCATCCAGCACTGAAATCAGATTTGTCCATGAATATTTAAATCTGAAGCAACCTACTACTCCTCACTTCTACAGAAGACTATGCGTTACGGCTTTATACTATTTTCCCCTTAAGAAGGATAAATTAAAAATTAAAAAACTAACACCAACTAAAACATAAATAAATATTAACGTCCGTCACTATTAACCAAGATTCACCGTGAAGCGAGATAGTGATACTTATACGGAGTAGAAGAAGAGACACAGCTAGATATATAGAGACTATACATACTCTAAGACCTTTTTACCTATGCTTGGAACTCGGGCTAGGAGCCGGGCAAGAAGTGCTCTGTACGGACTGCTTGTATCGTCCCCTCTCTCGACCCCACTCAACACGACCTCCCTCATATTAAATCAAATCTCGCTGCCTACTGAAAGACAGGAACAGCACCCATTAACGAAACACATACCAATATCTCATTCATTTCCTTTCCTTTCTTCCATTTCTTCCTTTCCTATCCCTTTTGCTATTTATTCTACCTACAAGCGCACCGCGCAGGCACGTAGCCAGCCAGCCATTTGGGTGAGAGCGAGACATTACTATGCTGCAGGCAGTCATTCGTACCTGCAGCAGCTGCAGTCAGCAAAGCAGGGCAACACCGCCACCGCCACCCGCCGCAATCGTTATCGCAGATAGCCAGCCCAACCCAGCCAAGCCAAGCCCGCTCGTACTCGATCACGAACCCAACCAACCAACCAACCAGCCAATCCCATCCCTTGTCGTTCAAAGACAGACAACTCCGCCAGCATGCATGCATACCCGCGCGATCCGCTACCCGCCCTCCCGCATCGCACCCCACACGCCTAAATCAACCTCAACCTCACCACCCACTCTACCACTCCGCCCCCTCCGCCCATGCCCTTCCCACCTCCCTTGCAATCCCCAGCCTCAACACCCCACACACATCCCTCCCCTTCGCACCACCCTGAACCCCCCTCCGCCAATCCCATCCCCTCTTCGCGTCCAACGCTCCCTCTGAGCGATCGACCAGCACGCCGCTCCCCTCAGTCGTGCTCCCACCAATCATGCTAAAACTGCTCGAAACAGACTTCTTCAGCAGCGCCGACGATGACGCCGTGGGCGCCGCACCTCCGCCGTGCACCTGTCCCAGCGTCGCTTGCAAGTGCTCCTCGCACTGCGCGTAGACGAGCGACGGTGCCGTCTGCAGATCCTCGACTGCCTGAGACAGAGTTGCCAGGTTCACGAGCGAGAGCAGCCTCTTTGGCTGGTTGACAAATGGCAGGGTCTCGCCGAGCAGCGTCAGCAGGCCGTCAACCTGCACGATGGCGTCGGCTGATGGGTCATACAGTCCGCCACGGATGCTGTCGGCTGCGCTGTTGACGACGGCGACGAGCGCGGCCGCAGCCTGGCGCTTGCGCTCGACGGGACGGTGCGCAACCTTGCCCTCGGCGGAATTCACTTCCTCGTCGCGTAGATCGTAAAACTTGCGCAGCGTCGCGTATCCGCTCAGGTACATGGACAGCAAGTGCGCGGCGTCGAGATCCGTCCGGGACAACTGCGAGAGAGTCTGCTTGGGCTTGTCGATGAGGGAGCGCAGTCGGTCGTCGAGGTCCGCTTTCGGGGGATAAGCCATCGAATGGATAAGGCAGAGCGAGATGAGCAGGTCGAGGACGTGGCGAATCTTCTTCGAGTTGTGGGCGCGGGCGTAGTAGAAGAGGGCGGAGCCGTAGTTGTACGAATTCTCGGCCAAAGACGTGGCGTAACGCTACTCTGATTAGCAGGCTGAACGGAATGAATCAGAAAAACGTACCTCCGCGATGATGTTCGCGTGCTCAACGAGTCCAAGGCTGTTGCACACATCCAAAATCTTGTCCACTCGCTCGGCCGAACTGAGCGACAAACGGTCCAACAACTGACTAATCCTGTCCTTGGCAGTATCCGCATGATCCAAACGACCCAGAACTTGAATGGCAAGCTCCCAGCCTTCGGACCCTTGAACCTGAGTCTTACCGAAAAGCAATTCGGCATACTGCTCAAGAAGGTCGTCCTTGGCGATGCCTTGCTTGTGGCCCTGACCAAAGCTCAGGACCATGAGATCGCTCTGGTCAAAGCCCTTCATGAGATCCTTGGACGTATCTCCCAACCAGCCACCAGTGCTAGCCACTTCGACAACAGCGGTCGTGGCCATCATGGACCAGCAACGAAGAATGTTCACCAGGCCCTCCATATTCTCTTCCATGACGCAGGCCAATGCAACTTCAACCGGGTTGTTGGTGTTGATGGTAAGACCAGGGTCGTCTTCGGCAAGAATTTTCGCGAGCGAAGCCCCAAGCCTCTGCCTGTAAGCCTGCTTCGGTGTGGCATCAGCAGTACGAGAACGGAGCGTCCGCCTGGCCATGGCGAAGCTGTTCTGAGGAGCATCTTCCTCGTCCTCTCCGTCCCACCAGGCCGTCATACAAATGACCGCTTCAAGCCAGTCAAACGAAGTCTGGAGAATTTCTTCAGGCTTGCCCAGAAGGAGATCATACAGAATCTGCAGGTTTTCATAAACAGCCCATGGAACCTGGCTCACGGCCCTGCGGCTCGCCGTGCTGAAGCTGTAGACATCTCCCTGGCTCGCACTCGCGTTGAAATAATCGTCAGTGCGCTGCCCCTCGCCTTCGGAGAAAATCCTAAGGTCTTCAATCGTAGACGCCACGGTGCGCCTGAATAGCATCCAATCGGAACCCTTGACATCCCAGTCGTCATTGTTGTAGGCGGGGCAAGACTCCAAAACCTCAATCGCTTGGTTAACGGCGCGGTTGACATTGACCAGTTGAGTACCGGAATATCCAGGGATCGGGTATCCATCCTCGAGAGCACTCTCTGCGACGCTGAAGTTTCCTCCCTTCAAAAAGGTAAGGGCATCCTCAAAACTACCCCGCATCACACTGGCAAAGATGGTATCCCAGTAGCCAGGACGAGATGAGTAGTTGCCACCCATGTTCTTGAACAGCTCAAAGTCGGGAGCGCTAGGGTCATGGTGAGAGGCCAACCAATCCAGAAGAACCTTGGGCATTGGGATTTCCCGACCAGTTGCAGTAGGACGACCAAACGATGAACTGAAAGCGGAGCGCTGTCCGCGGCTTGACAATGTGAGAGCATTCTTTTCGGCGGTAAGAGGAGGAGGGTGGTGCAATTGAAGCAACAAGCTCGTCACAAAGTCAACCTTGGCGAGGGGAGAATCGCTCTCTGCGGGTCCAACAATGTCGGTGACCGGCTTGTGTGGATGATTCCACAACTTTCCAAGCTCCCTGCAAGCTGCAGACAAAGCTTCCTCCGTCGCGTCTGACTCTCCAAGTGCGTTGAGAATGCGCTCCGTTTGAAGGATGAGTTTGTCATTCTCCCGAAGGGTGTTGACAGGTCGGATGGTGGTAGCTATGCTCTTCGCGATCCCTCCAATATCATACGTGTGATGATTTACGCCGAGCCGGGACTTGGCTGGCGAGCGGACCGGGCTTCCCACTGACGATGCCCTCGCATGCTTGTCGCGCACCGACTTCGTAGGCGAGACAGGCCGACTGGATTTGCGGGAGGCAGGTTTTCCACCAAAGTCTTCCATCGCTTCATCCTCCCGTTCCTCGCCTATCACTCCATTATCTCCCATGCCATCTCCCGTACCTCCGTTGTATTCCATGCGATCGTCTTCGTATGTGGATTGTGTATCTGCGTCCGGGCCGAAGTTGTCGTGATGGAATTGGCAGCCTGGGTCGTGCTCGTCTTCGAGGTAGGCTTCCTCGTCTTCAAAGAATGGCGGCTCGGGGCTGGTGCCGGGCATGTAGTAGTCGTTGGCAGACTTAGACCTGTTCTCGACCGGAGGGTTGTAGAAACCGCCGGCAGACTGCGACCTGTTCAAGACGGGAATGCCGCTTCCGCGACCTCTGGAGGCGCCGGCGTATGTAGACATGGAGCGGCCTCGCTGCGATGGAGTGCCAAACGGGCGGGATTGTGAACGCGAAGGTGTCGGGCTACCGTAGTTCTGCGATCCGCCGAAAACAGACGAGCGCGGCGGCGGGCCGGAGGGGGTCGTGGAGCGCGAGGTGCGGTTTGTGCGGGGCGTGCCGCCGGTGGAGCGATTTGTATTTGTGCGCGACAACGGGCCCGGGCCAGCTGGAGTCGTGGTTGGAAAGCCGTGGCCGCCTGAGCGTCGCTTTGCGGCCGAACCTGGAGTCGAGGGTGCAGAAGGTGGGCGGTAGCCGTGGGGCCACGTCTGGCCGTAGTTGGTGTAGCCCTTGCCGAAAGGGTCTCTGGAAAAAGACATTCTCGAGAGGTACGAGCCTTCGGGTCGCTTCTTCTCGGGCGTTGGGGGACGGAAGCGATGGCGATGGTTCAAGCAGCTGCAGCGGCGTCGGAGGTCGTCCTCGTCCTCGGCCTGGGAGCCGGTGGATTTCTTGTGGGAGTGGGTGTGTGTGTGAGTGTGGCCATGGTTGAGGCTGTGAACGTGGAATGGGCTCCGTTCCATTGCGCGCGCGCGTCACTGCGGTGACTGACTGAATCTGGGGAACAAACAAAGAAGCTGCGACCAGCAACGCGCGCTCCTTCCGCCGTGAAAGCGGCTCATCACGTGCGGTCGAAACCGCGATCGTCACGCGCCCATGACTCGCGCGGTACCCTGCTGGTGGTGATACAGAATGTACTTCTACTATGCCATTACATCTATCCTCCCTATCCCACGTCCATCTCTACCCCACGTAACTATTCACTATCTGCCCCTGCGCGCTCAGCCCCGTCCCCGCGTCGTTAATCATCAGCCCTTGCCTGCCCATGAAATACGCATACCGATCCACCCACGCCAAATTGTCCAACCACGGAATCACCTGCTTCAAGAATGCCTGGACTTGCTGCTCATTGCCAGTCGTGCAGCCAAACTCCGTCACCCACAACTGCTTCCCCCCGGTAACGTCGTGTGCTTCCCCAACGTGGTTGTAAAAGTCCTGGATGCCGGACTGTTGCGAACAATCGCCGTACCAGTGAATCGGCACAAAGTCAATATGGCAACCCGTGCAGCTGTTCACAAAGGAAGTGTACCACTGGAAGCCCATTGGTGCTCCTCCGTTGGTCACGGCCGGTGCGCCCAGCTTGACCCTTCCGGCGAATGGCTCCATGTATTGCTTCCACACCCTGACGGCAGTCTGAACGTCCATGCAAGATCCACCACCTTCGCATCCATCAGGCTCGTTGAAGCCGAGGACAGCATCGGCACCATAGTTTTGAATTGCATTGTTGACGTTGGAGACCCACACGCTAGTGAGGTCAGAGGCGCCGCTCCAAAGCATGGGCACAAAGGTCAAGGCAGGGTTGTATCCAGTGCTGTATCCGGGGGAGTACGGCGAGGAATACCAGTTGTAAGCCCAGTTGACCTTGCTGCTCTGACCGGAAAGCGAGAAGAAGTCGGTGTAGTTTGGTTCGTTGTAGGAAAGACCACGCTTGCCGCTGGATTTGGTGGGGGTTGGTCCTGAACTGGATGTGGATGTCCTTGTAGTGGATGAAGTTGTGGATGTGGAGGTTGCGGAGGAAGTCGTGGACGAAGTCGTGGGATAGGACGAGGTCGAAGTGGAGGTCGTAGATACCGAAGTCGATGTCGGGCCCCTCATAGACGTGGTAGGTGCTGAACAGTACGCTCCAAGTCCCACCTGAGAGCAAATTGCAGACCCGGTGAATGCGGTCGTGTAATACTGCCCATTCGAAGCATACTTGGCGCTACACTGACATGGCGCGCCAGTTGCTGTGGGTGCTGCAGTGGTTGCTGGTACCGAACAGTACGCTCCCAATCCCACTTGAGAGCACATGGAAGAACCAGTAAACGCCGTCGTTAAATACTGGCCGTTCGAGGCATACCTCGCCGAGCATACGCATTGAGGTCCGGGTGCCGCAGTAGTCGCAGGTGCAGCTGAGCAGTAGGCTCCCAGTCCTACCTGAGAGCACATTGCAGATCCGGTGAAAGCTGTCGTGTAGTATTGGCCATTTGAAGCATACTTTGCCGAGCACTGGCACTGGGAACCGGAAGCTGCATTCGGAGCTGCAGTTGTCGTAGGCACAGAGCAGTACGATGCTAGTCCCACAGCTGAGCAGGACGCACTACCGGTAATCGTCGTGGTATACCGTTGGCTGTTCTGGACATATTGGCCAGTGCACTGGCATGGTGCGGTTGTAGCGGCTTCCGCGCCGGCCAAAAGAAAAGCAAAGAGATAGAAAGGCAGCATCTCGACTGCACTGCTGCTAAACAGCTGGTAAGGAATGTGGGGGTAAAAAATGAATGTGGTAAGGACGGAGGGGAAACCCCTAAGGACTGTAGAGACCGGAGGACGAGGAGACGCAAGTGCTGAACTACAACTTCAATGACCACGACGGCCTTATATTGCACCCGACCAAATTGGTCTTGGCCATTGACTCGCAGTGGAAATCCAGATCTCGAACGTCCCAAGGGGCTGGTAGGCGGAGATCCCGGCGCTAGGAAAGCCCCACGATGCGGCTGAGAAGAAGCGATAGATAACCTACCACGCGATGCCAAATCCGTGTGGTAGGATCTGCGCCAACAGCACGAGGCGCATGTGGGAGCCCTGAAATCATCTCCTTACATGGAAACCACGTGGGATGGATATATAATGGTTAGCCGCTAGTGCCTATTCACGTTTAGCTGTTTCGATTTTTGACGGTCGGGATCCGCCACCTATTTCCCATTAGAGCTGAAGAAAGAGCCATGCCCGTTTGATTCAGTTATGGCGCTTCATGAACGCCATTTTCCATCACGATGATCTTGGCGTGAAAGGGGTGGAGGCTCAGCTGGGTTACGAAAAACTGACCGGCTGTCTCCGGTTCAGATTCCATCATCACCATCGTGGAGTAGAATGGAAGTTTGCAGAATCTCTTATTCAATCGCTCGGAGGCAACCCGTGTTTAAAGGACTTTGTTTCGTCTTGGTCAGAATCTTCAGAGTCAAAGACTATCTGGCGAACTCGTTCGCTGAAACGGCCCGATATCTCAGCTGAACTCAACGACTGCACTTCGTCACCGAGACGCAATTAAGCCTTGAAATTTTGTATATATCGAGGATCTATTCTCTCTGCCTGAAGTTATGTGCACATCAATCCACATATTCACAAGATTAATACACTCAACTCACTTCTTACTTCCCTTCATTAGGCCCTCCAATCCATGATGGGTTCGTCTGCAGTACGAGCCCGCGATCCTGCTTATACTCCGCCACGAGGCGGTTCAACCACGTGCCCAGCCGCAGCGCAGCCTTGCTAACCTGCAGCTCCACAATGGGATACGCCCCGACAGAGTATCCGCTCGTCGCCAGGTCAGTTGCGTTGTAGTTTTGTGAGTATGTGTAGTCGCATGTCCAAGAGTTGCTATCGCGCGCCCAGGCCAGCGCGCACTCGATCGGCGTTGCTGGATCCGTACACGCCAACCACGAGGCCGTCGGCTCGAAAAAGAGGTCTTTCTTGATCCGGGGGAGCAGGTTGGTGGAGAAGAATGGCGAGATGGTGGTGTTGGAGAAGCGCGTCACCCCCGCATCCTGGTAGATTATCCAGCCGTCCCACACCTATGATTGTCAGTTGTTGCTTTGGTAGGATCCCAGCTGACTCACCGCGTGCAGTTCCGTTGAAACGTTGTTGAAGATAACCTTGAAGTTATTGCCCCCCGCCGCGATGCCGCTGGCGTGCAGCGGCTGCGCAATGTCGCCCAAGAAATGCGTGACCCATTTTAGCGCGTACGAGCAGGTCAGGTTGGCGCCAGCTGTGTAGCTGCCCGCCTCGACTTCCGCGATGCATTCGCGCAGGATCTCGGTCTGGTTTGCAATGGCCGACACAATGCAGCCGCCCTTGCTGCAGTCGCGGTTGTAGTAGACGTTGCAATATGCCGGTGGCTGTAAGAATTAGTGATGTGTTATCTTCGGCAGCCAAGAACATACATCATCAGCAGAATCGATCCAGTGCCACTGGTACGAGAAAGCTCCCTCGTCCGTATGGGCGTACGCATCGGCCCATGCCGCCGCGTTGCCTATGGACCCGTTGTACTGCGGTTCGAGGATCTGCCCAAGTACGTTCGCCGCGTGTGGAGTCAGGAACGTTTCGGCTGTGTAGCCGATCTGCTGGTGGACGTCGGTATTCCAGGCCGAGACGGAGACGGTAAGGAGGCTGCCCAAGAGAAGGGTACGCGGTAGCATCTTGATTAGGGCAAGGGACGCGAACGGCGAGGAGGGATGCGGACGGTGTGTAGACGGGCGATCTGGGCGTTTATGAGGCTCAGCCGGGTGCCATGGTGCAGGATGCAGATTGCGGCGTCGTGGATGCTTATCATCGGGAGCTGGCGATGGTGGGGAAGCTTCAAACCACCTGCTGATCCGAGACAAGCTTGTGGAGGTTATCGATAAGGTTTTCGTAAGACAATCTCATCTCTGTCTGTCATCGGCTGTCCTTTGACCTTCCGATCCATCGTATTTCATCAGCTCGGCGCCTGGACATTTAACTGAAGCCAAATACATTTGGAAGCGGAGAGAGATTGGAGACCGTGTTCCTCGAAGATGAGCCTCGCACCCATGCCATAGCCTCCGTTCTTGGCGTCCTGCATGTTTCGTTACTTTCTGAAGGATCAAGAATTTGAATCCGCTTACCCGGATCGTGGAGAGATGTGACGCCCCTTACCATCAAGAGAGATCTACCTTCTAGCGAGACAGGCAAGGATACAAGCAGACCCTATGGAACTCCTTCTAGCTACAAGCCTGAATTCTGGATATGAGCAAGAAGATCTTACAACACACATACCACAAACATCTGTACGGTATTTTGCTTCCACTCCATATGGGGATTATCGTCGTGTTGGGTGATGAATCTCGCTTGACGGTGATGGACGCTGTAAAGATTCTGTGGCGTGAGAATTTCCCAAAACGTTCGGAGGCTCGGCTGAGAGAACATGTCCGATCATTCCCGCTGAAACCACCAACATCTCGGAATCGGACGACTTGAGCTTAAGTACTGCGTTTTAAACGGCCGATTCTTTTTAACAGCCGATCAGGTAAACAGCCATTGACCAATCATAAAGCTAAACGAAGCTTAAAGAGACCATCTCGACGCTGTACGAGACTTCTCCTCATGCTGAACCGAAAATCGTAGGCCTTCCAGCCAACCTTCTCGACCACGATACTCCGGAGAAGATGGTAGAGACGGTGGAGCGCGAGTTTGGCGGAAAGCTGCACATCCTTTTCGACAATGCGGCTTATGACGAGATGCGTCCGATTGGCAAGCTGATGCCGAATACGTCCATAGATCCCTGACTGTGAATATCCAGACCCTGCTCTTGACTCTTGTATGTGGACATTTTCTTCAGGAGGACTCTGTTCCAGCCGAATTCGAAGACTGTGAATATTTCGGCGGAGCTTACCAGAGGCCACCTATCCCACCAGTGAGTCTTGCCTCTGAATCTCCATACACAGGGGATTGGTCCTTTAGAAAGTCATCTCAACTTCAGATCTACCGCTAACCTCACAGTTCATTCGGTCTTTTCGCCGCTACCAAAGCCGCCATGGAATCACTGACGCGAACGTGGGCCGACGTCTTCGGCAAGCAGGAGGGCGTGCTGTTCTTGGTGGTAATGGTGGTGGGTGGGGCGTCGGGGTCTGTATAGTTCATCAGTGTAGCGTGTTCATGCTATACGAGTATGTTTGGTAATGAGGCTCGAAAGTAGCAGCGAAAAATGGTGGTGTACGCGCAAGCGCAGCTCCTCCGTCTCAGCGCGACGTGCGCGCGCAACTTCCAGGTACGGGGGCGGGACCTCCGACGCGCTGCTCGGCGAGGACATCTCTTCGACGTCGTCGTCATCCAAATCGACTTCACTGATTACCGCGTCGGGATCGACGTCGGTGACGACGAAGCTGTTGGGGTTGTTGGCGCGAATGGGGGAGCTGTTCAGGTTTTGTAACCTTTCATGAGCCGTAAATTCTCTTGGAGCCTTGTCCTTCTCTCCGGCAAAGTTCTTTGGAATATTGCAAACACGTTCGCTCATCTGGTTACGAATATCTTGAAGCCGCATAGATTTCGGCTCAGTAACATTTCAACAGGGTTGGAAAGTTCACCCCGTCGGCATGTTGAGTCAAGAATGTTGTCCCTGTCGATTTCGCTGAAAAGTCTTGCTGATTCTCTAGTTGTAAACATACAGCGCTCGAACGCGTCCGGAAAACGAAGAAAATGGTATCATGAATGGATGCGCCCCGGATCCTAGAACTTGTAAACCATGTCCTTTGTGTAACCGAGCTGCTCCAGGACACTGCCCTGCTTGCTGCTAAAACCCCCCGACTTCGCGAGCGCCGCCTCCATCGCCGGCGGCCCGCACAGGAAGATCTTCGTATTCCTGCCATGCGCGTCTCCAATCGTCTCCTGCAGGAACTCCTTCGTAACATGGCCCTTGCGATGCGGCGAGCCCTCAGCCGGGTTACTGACGGTGTAGTGGACGTCGAAGCGCGAAGGATACTGCCGAGCAAACGCATCGAGCTCCTTCTTCAGGAGAATGTCCTCGTCCGAGTTGTTACCGAACACGAGCGTGATCTTGGTCTTGTCTTCCGGGTTCTTGAGGATGCCTTGGATCAGCTGGTACATGGGCGTTATGCCAGCGCCGCCCGCGATCATGGTGATGTGCGGGTACTGGTTCGGCTTCCAGGCGTAGCCGCGGATCGCGGCCATGAAGGTTAGGGTCTGCCCTGGGGTCAAGGAGTGCAGGTATCCGGAGCCCTTGCCTTGGGGGTAGCGCTTGACGAGGAGGTCGAGATGGCCTTGCTCATCTGCGTGGTGTAAGCTTATGCTACGAGACGAGCAGCACAGGAAATCAAACCTGAATGACTGACTGGCGTGTATGGTCGAACTGTGGGAAGGAATCCGCCTTGCGGCCAGGACAGCGTCAAAACCGAGGCTGCCAGGTATGTTAGAAAAAACTTCGGTTCCTGTTAGGGTTGGATACTCACAAGTCAACGCCAGTCCTGAATGGTCTCCAGCATTGGGTAACTTAAATCTCAAAAGCTTCGTGTTGTGGTTGACTTCCTGCACACTATCTAGCGCCAGACGCCTCGGACCCAAAGAGCCAAATGTAGCTTGCGACATAGTACGACTGCCGGAGCCAAAAGAGCTATAGCAGACGTACAGGGCACCCGCTCCGATGCCAGCAATACCCAGTGCGCCGAAGCTGGAGATCTTAGGGCGAGTTGTTGTGGGGGAAATCTTGTTGAAAGCCATTTTCTTTAACAATACAGAGGAACTGACTGGGAGTTTTGTAGGATGACTGCAATGCAGGGCTTCTGCTTATATCTCACGGCTTGCTGCACGAGCCAGCGTGTTGGTGGTCGCGCTAACCGGTTCGGGTCGGCCCTCGGCCGAACGTCCAACCACCCCGAATGTCCACTGCTGACCGCGCTGCCACATGGCTGTCGCACTGTTTGCTATTCTGGGAAGTGGAGTGGCGTGTCTCGGAGAATACTTGGTTTCAGCTCTCCTGGCGATGTCACGGGCTTTGCGTGGCCTGGTGATCGGTCGGCATCGGTGCTTGTCGGGCGCAGAGAGGCCCGCACGGAGCATGATGTCGAGCTGTTGAGCTTCGTAGTGCCGACGTTTGGTGGGTATCAGTGATCTTTCTTTGGGGCCATGACTTGTAATATTCGTCGGCGCGAAGTGAGATTTACTGTCTTGCGAGGCGATGATGCTTGTAAGGGGTATATGTGCTCTAAGCACTTCTCACCCATACCTAGGACTTAGACTTGGAGCCGGGCAGGGAGTACCCTTAGGAACTGCTGGTATCGTTTTCTGTCTCGCTAGACGGTGAATCTCGGTTGGCGGCGATGGACGTTACTGTAAGTTCGAGGCTGTAACTGTGCGATCCGATGATGTTGTTCCCGCCGTACGAAGTAAGAAACGTGGGGTTGAGTTGGGGGCGGAGGATTCACATCGTTGGTGCCGATCTACCTCGGGGACCGAGGCCACCGAAGGCCGAGCACTCGCTAATCTCTATCCACGAAAGCGACGACGACTTACGCTGTCACTGACAAGTTAGTCTTTCATGTTATGTCAAAACGCACATCTCTGCTGATCAACAGGGTCTGAATTTTTCGTGGCAATGAAAGGTGAGTGTTTTTACTTTCATTGAATTTGATCCAATCTGAAAGGATTATTTCCTCCTGCATCAGCCCCCAACATTGCACGCAGTTTCTACCCAATCTACCGCCAAATTTTGCCCTCTTAGACCCTGAAGTCTTTCACTGCATCGTGACGTGCCATCTAGAGCAAATGGTGACTCTCGACAAAGCCCCATCCCTCTCTCAACTCGGTCTGAAGGACAATCGTGCCATAGCGGATTCCCAATTGTTGACTGTGGAAGTCGCGCGCATTCTTGAGGCCTGAATTGTCGCCGGGGAATACGAAGATCCACTTGGTCTCGATGGCACAGTGGACGCGGAAGGAAGAGCCGACCAAGGCAAGCTGGGTGCAGAGGTAGTTGATGATGCGCTTCTGTTCCTCTGGCGGAATGTTGGCCTTGCTCACCGCGACATGGTGGCAGCAGTTAGGCTGAGGATCGTACGGGCTGTCTATGTGGATGTCAGTTTGTGATGTTGCGTGTTTCACTTGGTGAGAAGCACTTACAAGTCTCAGAAGCCATGATGGTGGTTGAGCTTTTACACCCTGGAGCCGGGAGAGGAGTGGTTGAAAGTAGAAACTTGAGGCTGTAGACCTCGCCGGCGAGGAGGATGGTTGACGCGGTCGCGGCGTGATAGATTGGTCTCGAGGGGTTGTTGTTGTCAAGAGAATGCGTGCGGAGAGGATTAGGGTGTCCTTAAATGTCAATTGGTAGGTAGGTACTCAGTTACCCGCGTGTTTAAACAGGAGTGGCGGGTTGCGTCATACTTGTGAGCAAGTGAATACCACCTAATAGTACAATAACAATAGGGGGGTAGCGCAAACGGTCGAGTCCGGTGCCGTGAGCAGTTGATTGTAGGTTTGACCCCATGAGACGGCAATGTACCACTGACGATGCCGCCGCATCAAGGCAACCTCCACCTTGAAATGCATGATAAAAATATTAGTATATAAGGCCGGGATGCTGTTTGTTCTGTAACCAGAGCACCGTTGAAAGCATATCCTCCCGTTCTTAGTGGTTTACTGGTTTGAGCCGAAGGGGTGACGCACCCCGTGAGTGTGTTGCACCTCAACTGCTGCCTACTCTTCTTTTTGCAAGTTCGATTCCCGGTTAGGCCAATTCGTTTTTGCTTATATTTTCTTTTTGATGTCCTTAGGTATACCATGTTTTTCACAACGGCTTGAGTTCTCTCTGCCCATCTATCAATATCGATCTGTCTCATTCGATGATATCCACAACTCTCCCTCCAATGGCATTGTTTTCAAAGTATATGCGTAGAGCCGCGAACTGCAATGATCCTATCCCCGTATTAGATGTCAAGTTGAACCGAAAGGAGTTTATCTGCTCAGCTTAGCCACCCGTGTAAAGATCCTCTTTCTTTTGTCGTGCCCTCTGCATGATGAGCTGCCTCCGGGATATCCTAGTACATTGCTTGACTACCATCGGCGAGTTGCCGTAACAGTATAAAGACACGGGCCGCAGTTTCTGGGGCAACTTGGCGCTTCTTCTATCCATTGTCGCCCTTTGTCGTTCTCGCTTCCTTGCGTATTCCGACGTCAAGAAACCATCACGCCACTACCCGGACCTTGTATCTTTGCTTTCAGGCCTGGTGTTGATTTCTAGCCCTTTCGCAGCTTCCGTTCCACATACTTTCCGAGCTCCTGCATGAAGCTTAACGGCCAGTCGCAGCCACAGGCGTTTCCCCATGGCACCTTCGCGTCATGTTCTTCCCGCTCTTTGCATTCGCCGCTGTACGAATTACTGTCGATTATAATCACAGCGCTCATGTCGAATGCCCTTTATATCGCATGCAACATCGCGATCGAGGACGTCATCCACAGAGCCAGCTCCGGCGTTGTTGTCTGGAATGGCGTGGGCGGGCTGATCAATGCGGCAGCGTCAACAGTGCGAGCAACCAGCCAGACCACATTCAGCGTCAATATCACTGGCCGTCAGGTAGGTAAGCAAGCACAAAATGCTCGCGATCCAACTCCCAAAGAAACCTCAGACCCCCTCACCCACCCAACATACGTCTCTCTCTTAACCACGCACCCAAACCAGACCATAACAATGCCCATCTACCCCACCCTAGCCACGCTCCTAGTCTTCAACCTCACGCGCTCCCTCATCGCAACCATCTGTTCCTTCTCCAACTACAATGCTGCCTCCGCTCTCGCAATCTCCTGGGACGGCGCTTTCGAAACCCGCGAGGGCCTCCGCTCAGCCCTGGTGTGTCAAAGGCGAACCTCCAACTTTGGCGTGCCATGACGCTCTCCTGCTCACCCACTACTTAGCTACATACCCCGCGAACAGGCATACCTTTACCCTCGCTTACCCTCGCTTACCATTTCAGACCCCGATTCCCCACGTCAGAACGTCCATCCCTCTCCACATATTCTTCTCCTCTTCTTCTCGCGCTTCAATGGCGCAACTTGGTCCCATCATTCAGATCCTTTTCTCTCTTCGGCAATTCCACCTTCCCACCATTGCACACTGCACAGTCGCGCAAGGCCCCAAGACCTGAGTCAAGAAACGAGGCATGTTTCACTTCATCTCTCACTCTGATGGCACCGAGACTGACATTTTCTTCAGCGATGATTCATTTCTTCCGCTACAAGTGCATTCCCGAGGATTCGATGAGAGCCTGCACGAATTCTGTGGTAGATCCTGACACTTATGAGGCGGAGCATTGAAACAACAAGTTCCAGGAATGGGACGAAGATTGGCGTGCCAAGGCCATGGCCATGCCCATGGAGACAACCGCTTTCGCCTCGTGGAAGTGGTTTCCTGCCTTCGTCAGTCACATCGTCACTTCCTTCGACGGTTTAGCTTTCCTTCAGAATCTTCGCCGCGAGCTCCTGTTCATTGGAAGGACGGATGGACGCCAGGGCCGTTCCTGGAACCAGGCTGAGACGGCTTTCACCGTGTACAAGGACGAGTGGATGCCGGTCCTGGCGTTGGATGTCCAGGAGAAATCCCGGAGAGCCCTTCGCCCGCCCAACGCGTTTTCCGAGGGTGCCGGGATCGAGTGCCTGCGCACCGAACATCAACGGTGCGTAGCACTGAGGGATGCAGTAGCGGCTATCAACGTTCCAACGCAGGCCGAGATCGACGCTTTTGATGGCAACTTCAGGATTTAGTTTTCCATCAACGGAAGCTGCTGATGAAAGTTGCTGAACTCCCTTGCTTCAAAGTCCGGCAGATTGCGGACAGCTTCCTGTGCATACCGGATCATCTGTGAGCTGATCGAGAGGTGAAGATTTTGGCCCCATGAAGGCCCTGCGACGGACTTTTCTTCGTCCGCCAAGAGATCCTATATCTCATTAATATCGGCGGGAAGCGCATCAGGACCGTCTTCAATGGTCCTCGAAGCGAGCGAGGCCAATTTGATCTGGACGACGTACATCCTGGCGAGACGGACGCAGTCCTTCAGCCGGAGCAGTTCGACGAACTCACCGACATCTTCCTGAATGTTCGTGACGGCTGCATTTGATGGCGCAACAACCTTCACCTTCAAGCCAGCAAGAGCCGCAGCCACGGTGATGGCAGCAAGGAGCCGTGACTTCCCACCAGACCCTCTTTTCGGTGTCGGGGTTGGACGGAAGACAAGCCGCATGCGGTGGGCAGCTGCGGCCAGCGCTGAAGTTTCAGTATCACAATGGATGGCAGGAAGCAGCAGCCGTGGACCTGCCTGCCTCTCTCAGGTTGCGAGTCGCGTAAAGGAAGGTGAAAACAGCATTGAAGTGAAAGACATTTGGTAGGTAATACGTGGCGTGGCATGTGGTGCTCCTTCCCATTTTGCTCACCTTTCTGCCTACGCGTGACTTCGTCCATTGCCCGCCCCCTCTAATTCTCTTTCACAACGCCCTCCTTCCTTCCTCTTTGGTATTACGCCACGCACGTTGCAACTATAAAACCCCTCCATTCTCTCCATCTCCATCCTCCTTCTTCTCTTTCCGCAACCTCTCATCATCTTTTTTCTTTAGCAACCCCAACTCCCCTACAGCAGTGAACAACTGCAGCTCTTTGCCTTGGCCTTCCTGGCTGGGCCTTCAAGCACCGCCTCCGGCTTTCCCCATTACCACAGCTGCACCTTTGCAGCGAACAGCTGCATTCACGACTTCACTTCCTACGACGGCGCAGACATCATGGAGGCGCATCTCAAGCCACAGTCCTATCAGGCCGGAAGGGCCGGGTAAGTCCTCACTTCACCTCAACACAAACGACTGAATAATCGCTGACATCTGTAGCGTCTACATCTTCCGCAGAAGGCGCAGCCCTATCCTCGCCCTCCCGCTGCCGAGACCCAGACCCGACCTGTCTGCTTTCAGTAACCCCATCCACCTGGAATACCCCGGCGTGACAAGCTTTGTGAATGCAAGTGAGGCTGGCTTCTCTTCAGAAGGTTGGAGTGCTAAGCCTGGCATTATGAACACCAAGACCAAGCTGGAAAAGGGAGGTACTGTACACTCTCCTGGACATTCGATTAGGCTGCACAACACTAACGTTTTAATAGGACGTATCCACTTCTTCCGGTTCTTTCAACTCTCCAAGGAGTCAAAGAGAGCCTGCGGCAATTCTTACTATGACGCTCAGAGCCCTCAGCAACAAGAGACAGACGAAATCCTTGGCAAATTGGAGACTAACTTACGGACCCAAATCATGGCAATGCCTCTCAGAAATACCCCATTCAAGCGTTGGTCCTGGTTCGCCCAGTACATAACCCATTCCATCACCTCTTTTGATGGTATGGCTTTCCTGTGCAACCTTCGTCAAGAACTCTTCATCATCGGATCCACCAACGGATGCCAATGTGCCTCATGGAAGCAGGCCTGTCAAGCCTTCATGAGATACAAGGCTGAGTGGCTTGAATCGCTCGATGAAGAGATCCAGGCCAAGAAGCAGAGAGTAAGGACGCCACCTCCTGCTTTCGCCGAGTACATCGGTAGGAGATCACTACAGAGAGAACGTGATCATTGCATTGCTTTGAGGGATGACGTGATGACAATTGTTGTCCCAACCCAGGAAGAGATTAATGAGTTTGATGGCAATGAGCGGATGCAGCCATACTTTTCCGAACTCAGCGATGATGAGGAGGAAGAATTCCTCGTCAGATTGTTAGGTCCTGACGAAAGGGCGTCGTTCTGGAAACCTCGTGAGTCTTTTATCAAATTTCGTCAAGAAACGTGCTGATGAATAATCTCCCAGTCACCCCGACCGTCCCCCTCAAGGCCAATTGGAAACATGAGCAAATGAAGACCCTCATGTGCAAGATCTGGACGACCGCCTGCCGCTCCAGTTGGATTAACTGCCTCGGACCCCGGGCCTACAACGATAACCCCAAGGAGCAGGATCCCCTTTCACGCGGCCCCCGCGTACCAGAGTCCAAGCAGACCGTTCATACCGACGTCATGGAGACCGCCGCCAACATCGCGAAGCAAATCGATGGGTTCCCACCGTCCATGGACCAGGTGCAGGTGACCAAGTTCGTCGGGGGCCCGCGCAAAAAGCGCTCTGCGCCCTTTGATCCTAATCAAGCGGACGATGTGCCGGTTATCAGGCGGCGCATCGAATAAGCATTTCTTTTCTTGTTCTGGAATTTTGGATTTGGTTTTTATTGGCACAGCCTTTTGCGTGGTTCTGGCTCTTGGCTTAGTTGATGGCTTCTGAGTTTTCACGATGATTCCAGATTTTCTTATGGTGGCTTTGGCTTTCCATGATGGCCCCGAGCAATGGGCTCAAGATTGTGGCTTTTGGCAGCGGGGACGGATAATTTGACCGCCCTTCTTGGATATTTTGACCGCCCCACGTGATATCTAACCCGAGCGATTTCGTGTCTTATACTACCTAGTTTATGCCTTTATCTTCTACTAAGCCTGCTACTACTACGCTATTTGTTCCCGCATGCTTTTCCTAAACGTTTTCCGTAAATTTAACTTTACTGCGCTTGGTTATATTATTTAGAAGTGTAGTACGGATTAGTAGGTAGAGTTAGGTCACATGTTTGTGTTACCTACTTCCTGTCGGTTGCCGTAGAGTAACCAATCCATTTCTTCTTTTCTGCCGAATACTGCCGAAGCTGGTAGGCGGAAAGAGGGTGGTCAAAATATCCAAAGGGGGCGGTCAAATTATCCGGCGCCTTTGGCAGCGGCCTTTTCGATTAATGGTTGGGTGGATAATGGTTTTGGATTATCAAGGGCCTCTTTCAAAGTTGCAGTAATTCATTGAAGGCTCCACCAAAAGCTTTTGACCTATAGCCTGTTTGAAGTGTGGGAAATGCACTGGCAGCACTACACCCACTTAAGACTACTATTTCCTCTCTGCAGAGGCATTCATCTCATAAATGGTAACGTACTGCCTCCGCTCATCCTTACCCGTACTCAACTCCTGTATTTGCAATCGGCTTCAACGATGAGAAGTGAAGAGATTAGAATGCAAAAAAGATAGGCATATTCCTATGACGCGCTCAGAGGGGCCTGATCAGTAAACATGCATGGATACGAGATGCGTGCGGCAGTTTCCTCACGCAATCGCCTGGAGATTTCTCCTCACATGAGCTCAGCTTGCTCTGATTTGGGAAACATGAAGTATAATGCTATTAGAATAGAACAGCAAATAAGTGGTTTAAAGAGATCACGAAAATTAATATAGTGGTCCATCCGGGTCGGGGGCCAGCGCAGCTAATCACCACTTATCGATAAGACATTTCATGGTGACGTCAAGATTATTCTGTTGCGCGTTGCGCGCATTCATCCATCTGCCGGGCCTGGGCGCGGAGGGCCTGCCTCATCGCGTGGTTCATGACGTCTGAGAGAGCGAGGGGTGGTTATGTCATTCATCCGCTTTGTCCAGAGTGGAATTCGACAGCCTTCAAAACCCTGACCCCGACTTCACGTCTCCGCGCTTTACTCTCCGCACAACCACACACTCACCTACATCCCTAGCTCCTAATCCTACCTTTACGACTTTGATACCCCGGATTCGCTTCTCTTTCATCAATATGGCTATGTCACAGGCGGCTATGCTGGCCGAGAAAGCTATCGGTCATGACGACAACAACGTCACCGCTCAGGACGTCACGAACCCTGCGAACGATCCCAGCTATGCCGACAACAGCGACAAGATGAAGGCGCTGGCCTGGATGGGCAAGAACAAGGTCGAGATGGGTTAGTTTCAGCTTTGTTGGCCTGCAATGCGTGTCCAAATCGCTGACTTGTATTGCGCAGTCGAGGTCCCGAAGCCCAAGATCATGGAGGATCGCGACGTCATTCTTAAGATCACCGGTAGCACCGTTTGCGGCAGTGACCTGCATCTCCTGCACGGTTCGTACAGAGTTTTCAACGGAGGGAATGCGTGGCTGACTGAGGGTAGGCACTGTCGTGGAGCTCCAGAAGGGCGATATCCTTGGCCACGAGTTCTGCGGTATCGTTGATGAGATGGGCCCAGCCGTCAAGGGCCTCAAGAAGGGCGACAGAGTTGTCGCATCTTTCCAAATTGCTTGCGGAGACGTACGTACCCAATTCCTTTGGCTCAATCAGCAAAGAGGACAGAACGCTAACTTTACCTTCGCAGTGCTTCTACTGTAACCAGAAGCTCTCCTCGCAATGCGAGAAGACCAACTCCAACACCATTGAGAACGCCATGTACGGCGGCAGGACAGCCGGCATGTTCGGCTACAGCCACTTCACTGGCGGCTTTGCCGGTGGCCAGGCCGAATACACACGCGTTCCCTACGGTGACGTGAACCTGCTGAAGCTGCCAGACGACGTGCCGGACGAGAAGGGTCTCTACCTGAGCGACGTGCTCTCGACGTCTTGGAACTGCGTCGTCGACACTGGCGTCTCAGAGGGTGACGTCGTAGCCATTTGGGGCGCGGGTCCGATCGGCCAGATGTGCATCGACTTCTCTTTCATCAACGGCGCCAAGCGTGTCATTGTGATCGACAGCAACTGGCGCCTCGACTTCATCAAGGAGCGGTACCCCAAGGCTGAAGTTCTGGACTACAGCAAGCTGGGCAAGGGCGAGAGCGTGACGAGCAAGTTGAAGGAGATGGTCGACAACCGCGGCCCGGACGTAGCGCTTGAATGCGTCGCGGGTGAGTACGCCAAGGGTTGGGCCCACTACTTCGAGATGATGCTGGGCATGGAGACCGACACGAGCGAGATCATCAACGAGATGATCACGTCGGTGCGCAACTTTGGTCGCTGCGGTATTACTGGTGTCTACGTCGGCTTCGTACGTTGATCTATTCGTCCACGTGTGTGATGCATTACTGACTGGTCTCGCAGACGAACCACTTCAACATTGGTTCCCTGATGGAGCGTGGCATCCGCTTGATTGGTAACGGACAGGCGCCGGTGCACCTGTACTGGGAGAAGCTGTTGGGCATGATCCAGAGCGGCGAGATCGACCCGTTGAAGATGGTCACGCACCGCGTCGACGTGGCGGACCTGGATAAGGTTTACTACAAGTTCGAGGCCAAGGAGGACGGTATGCAGAAGGTGTTTGTGCAGACGCGCTTCTCGGCGCCGCCTTGTGCGGGTGCGCCTGCGCTGAAGAGGTATTAGAAGTTGGATTGAGAGGAGTGACGGATGATGAGACGAAATTGATGCAGTGATGAATGTATATAGTTGAGGCGCAGTCAGGCCATCAAGGTGTCGGTAATTCGTACTGATGTGAATAATATCAAATAATCTGTACACTGATGTCCGGATGCTTTTTGCAAATACTTGTATTCTACGGAGTAGTTAGTAGCAGAAAACAAAAGCAAGAAGCATTAATTCAATAGCGTACCATGAAACGCTTTCAGAGAGTATGTCGATCCCGCTCTTCCCCTATTGTACTTTTGGCTGTATACCAGGATCCAACGCAGTAGCGAACGCACTGGCATCGGATGAGTGTACGTCCGGAACCGTGAGAGAATCATTAGCGATAGTTATCACAAACGCATCGACATGACAAGCGCGACTCTCTCCACAAAAGCAAACGTCGCGAGGGCGGATCGACGCAGCCCAGACCGCCATCAGGCACTGCCGGGCCTGGGGCCGCCCACTCGGCCGCCAGTCCGCGAGCTAAGCTTTGAGGCTGAGCAGTTTGGGCGTCGATCGCGATTCTGGCCGTGCGACTGACGTAGCGGGCAGGTCCCTCCTTCCGTACTGTACATCTCCTTCCCGACGCGCCCCGTGCCGTCCCAGCGGTGTTTTGTCATGGCGCCGATGCACTTGGTACGCCTGAAGGCTCTACCTTTACCTCTACCCACTACGAAACATACGGGGCGCAAGCTTTGCGTTCTGCTCGATTCTTCCTGAGGCCGTCGCTCGCGATACTGCACGGTTGACGCCGAAAAACACGACCAGACTACCACCACACCCTTTATGCTTGGCGGCTATGTCGTTTCCTGCGTGGATATCGGGCAAGAAACATGAGCCGGCAGACCGGCAGAGCGAGCTTTTCACGAGAGGCCGCGTGCCCAACGCGCAGAAGCCGAAGAGCAGGCCGCCGGACAGTTTGCGCGATAAGGTGGGCTTCCTGCATGGGACTTTGCCAAAGTACACGGGGCCGTATAGCGTGAGTACCTATCCCGATCCATCCGTCTGTGTCGCGTCTCTGGAAGGGGAAGAAAAAAGAGTTCGGGCTAACAGCGCCTACTAGGTCGGTATGATGGACATCGAGGTCCCCGCCGCGCATCCCCAGAACTTCTCTCATATTACCCGACACAAACAGCACATCCTGCGCCTCGAAACCGTCCTCATGGCCGTCTACTACCCGGCTGCGTTCGGCGCCGGCGCGGGCAAAGACCCGGGAGGGCACAAGAAGTGGTCGCGTGCGACGTGGCTGCCACGGCCGCGCGTGCGCGTCGCTCGCGGCTATGGCAAGTTCTCTGGGCTTGGCGAAGCCGCGGTCCCCTGGTTTGGTGCGACGACCATGTTCACCAAGATCCCTGCCTATAGGAATGCTCCTCCGGCACAGCATTGGGCGCCGCATGAGCGGGCGGAAGACGGTGGGGCGAGGGTTAAGAATGAGAAGGGCGAGCCACCGGAGGGAGAGGATGCGGAGCCCACGTTTCCGCTGCTCATTTTCAGCCATGGCTTGGGAGGCAATCGGACGGCGTACTCGAGCGTGTGCGGCGAATTTGCGAGCTACGGCTTTGTGGTGTGCGCTCTGGAGCACCGGGATGGATCCGGGCCGCGCACGTATGTCAATCATCCGCTCAGAGGGCCCTGCATCACGACGGACTGCAGCAGCGACGACACAGATGGCGATTGCGCGGTGGATCACACGCAGAAGCAGCGCGAGCGCGGCTACGATCGCGTTGACTACGTCTTCCCCAAGGACAACCCCATCGACACGAACCCCAACAATACGAAAGGTGTAGACCGCGAGCTGCGCTCCGCACAAATTGCCCTCCGCCAGGCCGAAATCGAAGAAGCGCTCGCCGTACTCCGCGAGATCGCAGCGGGTGACGGCGCAGCGGTCGCAGCGCGCAACATGCGCAGGAAAGGCTACGTTGGTGCGAGCTCGCGCGGGCTGGACGGCGTGGAGTGGGAGATGTGGAAGGGGCGCTTCCACACTGATCAGGTCACCATGGTGGGGCACAGTTTCGGGGCCGCGACGACGGTCGAGATACTGCGCGATGGAAAGCGGTTTGACTGGTGCTCGCAGGGCATTATTTACGATATCTGGGGCGCGGCGGTGGCGCCGGGGCCGCCGCTCCCGGGGGACGAGAAGTGCGAGGTATTGGACGCGGGTGAGGTGTGGACTGAATGCGACGATGAGAGCAGTGTGAAGGAGGAGAACAGTGATACGGCGCTGCGGGACACGAACAGCAGCAAGGCGGGCTCTTCGCGAAGCAACAGCAAAAGTAACGACAACAGCGGGAACGATTGCAACGATGACAACGGCGCCAACGGCGACCCCCAGCACCACATCCGCGCCCCGCTCCTCGGCATCAACAGCGAAGCCTTCATGTATTGGCCCTCGAACTTCCGGGCCGCAACCTCCCTCATCCACGAAACTCTCACATTAGGCCACTGCCCCGCCTACCTCCTCACGCTGCGCGGCACCGTGCACGTCTCGCAGTCGGACTTTTCGATCCTGTACCCGAACACGTGCGCGCTGCTCCTGAAAATGACAGCGAACCCACGGCGCGCCATGGACCTGAACATCAACGCGTCGCTGGAGTTCTTAGCGCAAGTGGCAGCGCCGGCACGAGCACGCGTGTTTGCGCGCGCGTTGGGGGGCGAGCGAGAGAGGATCCTGGCTGTGCCGGAGGTTGGCGAGGTGCCGGATGTGCGGAGGCCGGCGCAGAAGTGGGTCGGTGGACGATTGAGGGTCAGGCATGAGTTCCGCAGTCGGGTCGTGCCTGGGTTAGCGAGGAAGGTTAAGCGGAAGGCGGTGACGAGGGGCGAGGGCGGCGTCGAGGATGAGATCTGGATGCATGTTAGGGCTGGGGAGGGGGCGGTGCGGCGGTGGCGGAGGGCGAGGGGGTGGAGTGCTGAGGATGAGGGGAGGAGAGAGGAGGGTTACTCTGCTGATGTGGGTGTGGGTGGGAGTAGGGGTGCGGCTGGGGATGATACGGCACCGTCAACACCATCGACAAGGCCGGCGGCGCTGCCGCCTTGAGATGAGGCATGAGAGACGCTGAGAGGAATACACGCATACGCGCTTAATAGAACGGGCGGAAAGACCTATAGAGTAGGGTATTAATTGAAGTAAAACCAAAACAGTAGAAATACAAGGACAAACCAAACCAATCCCAAGCTTTTAATTTCCAGCATCTTAGCCATTCAGTCAGCCGATCCGTTACGAAAAAAGCGCCCTATTGCCTCCCACTGTATCAATAAGAATGCAGCAGAAAAGGAAAGGAAAGAAATCGTAGCACAGCTATGCAGTGCGTACATATATACCTCGGCGCATGTGCACCAGCCCAATCCCAGTCTTTAGATGGGTTCCAGGTAGGGGGCGTCTAGTTGAATTTGAGATAACAGACGATTTATCAACTCCCCACGTTATGTCAAGTCCTACCAGACCACGCGAGCGCGCCCTCTTAATCACCTTGGCGTACTCAACCTGCTGCTTCATTCTCCATCCTTCACTGTCTGCCAGAAGTATCTCCAAATACTCATCGTTGAAATAGAGCGGTAGGCCTTGAACCTTCCCAATCCCCTTAGGAATGGGCAAAAGCAATACCTAGAAATAGGCAGAAGCCTGGTTGCTGGAGAAACATCATACAAACTCTTTCGGACGTCGTGGTCCGTCAGTGGTTCCATGCAAACATACCGGGCGAGTGTGTCCTGTGAGGTTGGTGATGCCGATTGCATACAACGTCAGCTCTCTTGGATGTTTTTTTTTTTTTTTTCGAACATGCGAGACCACAGTGTACCCAACATCATATCTGTATCAACACCAAGCCAATTTATCATTCAGACACCCTCAACACCAACCACGAGCACCAACATACAGTCCATCAAGCACAAATGCCACAACGAAAGACAGCCACATCAATTATCTACATCTGCACAAAGCCAGCTAGAACAACGAGCTCTATCATCTACCGCAAAAGAGGTATCCCAACAAACGAAAACGAACGAGAGCACAGTATACACATGACAGCGCATTTGTAAAACGAAGGACGTTACCCTTGCGAAGCCAACCCCACCAGACTCCAGTAGTAGAAACAACACAGGAAAGAACAGTGCGAGATATGTAGCGCTCATGGCGTGGTTGGCAATGAGAAGGGATATAAGTCCGTTGAAGCGCGTATAGTGCACTAGGCCCGTCAATATCCATGGCGGCCTCCTTGTCCCTTTCTTCCGTCTCGTGGAGCTCTTGTTCACGTTCTCCGGCTAGAGCGTCCGCTTGAACCGTAGCTATGGCACCGCTCGTGTGGTGCACGAAGTGTTGAGATGACTGCCTCAACGAGTAAGCAGCAATGCAGAACGAGTTGCAGCCATCAGTCTGGTTCTGTGCTAAATGAGCATGCCCAGATGGCTTGAGTCGAACACTGGCTCGTCCCGTTGGGCTTAGCGGCAATGGTGCTCGCTACATCCCACGCCATTGAGACCATAGCTCTCCGAATAGAAATTGCTGCCCTCAGCAGAAACCTCGCCATACAAAAGAGATGAGGTGGGATGGTAATTAGTATCATATGTCGGTATATTTGTTTGTTTCTTTCCAATTCTCCGGTGTCGTAGTTCTCCGGTATCGTTTGGGAGGGCACTGGTTCGCTGAACTCCCAGCTACTCGGTCCTGCTTGACCAGGGCTTGACTGCCGTTGTTGGGCACTAGAAACCCTCGATGATAGCAGCACGCAGTGCGTAATTGACATCTGAGCGTCTAAAGCCAGGACCGCGGCCAATGCAGACACAACGCTTGATGAGGCCTAGAATACGTCAGTCACAGCTCGTGGCCAATACTACGTTACGAGTGACTTACTGTTGACCAATCTTTGCACATCAATCGTAACAACCTCGCGCCTTTCCTTGCGCCCGATAGCATCACCAAAGGTCACACCGTCCATCCCCATATCCACAGCGTTTGCCAAATTGCCTGGCTGGTTGTCCCCCAACCACGCCAAGTCCAAATCATAGAAGCGATCCCAGCCGTCGTACGCCGTGGGGTCAATGACAGGCAAATCCGCGATGCTGACGTTGCTGACAGTTGCTGCCGGACTAGCTTGCTGCTGTGGATGCTTCTGCTGGTCCAACCCCAGCATTAGATGGTTTGGCGCATCCTGATCCAGTGATTCGTCCAGAACCGCAATCTCAGCATCCGGGTGTACGTTGTTCGCGGCCTCATCAGCCTGACGAGCAATGAACTCGAGCGTGCGCACGGCTGCTTCGGCAAAAGAAGCCTGCGCGTCTATGTGCACGCCTAGCTCGGCCAGGTAGCCTTCGACGTCGTGACAGTCAAACCACTCGCCTTCGTAACCCCGCAGATCTTCTTGTAACTCCCTCGCCCACCCGTAGCTGCTGATACCGTCGTCAGAGGGCGGTGTCATTACCGAGCTCGTGGATGCGGTGCTCGTCGTCGTGTTTGTCGTCGAGCTGCTGCTACTCTCCGTGCGTCTTTTCCCTTGCTGTTGAATTTGTGTTTTTGTGGCCCACGGTCCCATGCGGAGATACGAGTCACACGTTTGTGGCACCATGTTGCCGTAAACATCGCGTTTGGGGTAGTGCGTACCCGCACCGCCTAGATGCAGGAAGGGTGATCTGACAAATTCCAGCGGCTCCAACACGGATTGTTGCAGGATTGCCCGGAATTGACCGATCAGCTCTTCGCGGGTGCTGTAGTGTCGACACAGGCGGAACACGCGCAGGAAAGCGGATGGCCGAAGATTCGCAGTAGATAACAGATGGAACGATCGCTCGAGGCATGCTCGCTGAAGTCGCCGCGCAAAGGTTGTCTCTTGGAATGAGTAGGTAAAGGGAATTCGCAGGGGATTATCCTTTGTGGGCAGAAAGCTGATTTTTGGCTCGGATAAAAAATTCATTGACAAGGGCGGTGTTGTGATAGTCAAGGCGTTGTTTGTGTTGTCAATGTCCTCGTTTCCGTAGCTGACTTGTGGATCGAGTTCGCCAGGCATCGGGTTGCTCAGAGCCGTAACATCCAAGGGGTTGTTGGGAAAGGGAAAGGATGGGAAAACCGAGGACTGGAATTGACGTTCTGGAATGCTTGTCTCCGTAGGCATCATCCCCATCGCTGTAGGAAATCCAAACCCTGAATAGTAGTCGGTCGCAGCCCCCGCTTGACCTGCCGCATCAGGCTCCATCCTGAAATAGCCCCAGCCAACATGGCGACTTCTGTCCGATGAGGTATGGTCCGAGGCCTGTCTGGCTCGTACAATGTCTTCATAAACATTACGGCTAGACAGTTCCAGCTCCAGTGGTTCAGTGTGCGGTGTGGCATTAGTTTGAGGCGTGGGGTCGACCGAGACCTGCTCGCATTCCTCTTCTTCAACCTCGCCAACCTTCTTAGCAGTCTCGGCCAAGTGAACAATTTGGTCGGTGGTTGAACGCAACTCCGACGCTAATTGCGGCCTGAAAGAGAAGATGTCCGAAGCGAGAGCGTGCTCATTGAACCGGAGGAAGGACGAGCTCATGCTTTCGATGATGGATTGCAATTGTCCAACTTGCTTTTGCAAGGTCGTAATGGTCGTCTCTTTTCGCTGCCGATACGCTCTTTGGGCGAGTCGAATCTGCGTGCGGCGACGCTGCGGAATGGTTAGCGGGCGTCATCGTGTGACTTGAATCCACGAGACCAGTTACGAGAACGAAAACGAAAGGAAGTTATAAGCGCTCTCTAAAGAGCATAGACCGGTTATTGGAGCAAACTTCCCAAAAGAAACATTCATCGCTGATTGGGACGGTATGTAGGCAAGGATTATTGATTACTCACATCGGCAGCGGTCTCATCCTGGGTGTCCACTTTGGGCCTACCCCTTTGCTTTTTGCCTCTAGGAGTTGATTCGCTTGTGGAGGAGGATTTCCTGGCCCGCTTTTTCATTGGGCGTTCATCGTTCTCGGAAATCATGATGACTTTTGCAGCAACTCTAAAGCTCGTGAGGCTTACACAACGGAGCTGTTCCCGCGCTTATTATCAGATGTACAATTTGGCTAAGCTCTTTTTCAAGAGACGATCGGCCTGCGTCGTTGCTCGCCTTTGCTTATGTGGCGTGCTTCAGACGTTGATGCAAAAATAGACACTGTTGAATGTCCTGATCAGCGACCAACCGGCAGATCGCCGAAGACCAGAAGCTTGGTTGACCTTGATGTGGATACTGGAGGAGATAAGCAACGCGGTCAAGCCGGCGCGATGGTTGAGATGCTGAATGTAACAATAGGAGGCGAAGTCGTATATGCGAGAAATCAAAAGCAGAAGACGGATGACGATCAAGACTGTTGATGGTTGGAGCGTGCGGCCTGCCGAAGGTCCTTGCGTTGGATGCCGTCGAGCCGCGGATGGTAATCGAATCCTTGATGATGGTGGTGGATGGGGTGGAATGGGGATGGTTCTCGCATGCGTTCAGTAATCAGAAAAGCCGGTCTTACTGCGGTGAGACTACGGCTAGGGCTTAGCGTGCACGCCTTCTACGTGGGTCCTAATTGGTTAATCTGAACACTGCGTAAATGCTCGTGGCGCGTGGCGGATGGGCAGACCTCTACATGATCTTTTGGAGGTTTCATGTAGGCTGGTGCTGTATGCGGGGTTTCAGACTGGAGATTGCTGTGTTTATACTATTGTATTTCCCGGACGTGGATGCCATCGTTAGTACGGAGTATGGTTTCCTGCATTTAAGTGCGTCTGTTGATGTTGATGTCTACCTTAAGTTGAAGATCCAACTGCTGTACCACAATTAATCCTCATCTTGCGTTTCCTCTCCACTGCCCTCATCTTCGGTTTCTGTTTCTTCTGTCTCCTCGCGAACAAGAGGAACAAATCTGAAATCCACAAAGCTGACCTGCCCGTTATCTACCTCTATCATGAACTGTAGACTGAGAACTCCCTGGTCATCGCCACGTATGCTGACCTTTGTCGCCACAGCCATTGCACGGGCCGCAGCCTTGATCAAGGAGAAACGATAAGTATGCGTGACACGACGGCCGACTTGAAATGTCTCCAGCAGCGTTGTTTCGGGAGGGGCAGTAGATGGCTGACGTTCCTGTCCATCCCAAGGTCTTGTGTTGTCTGGCTTGCTAAATTCCACGACTGTACTGCCAAGAGAGCCTTCTGCACTCAATGAGAAGAATGGAGCCATTGGACTTGCTCTCAACGTGAGCTTCTCTGGACTTGTGCTGGCCAATTCGGTGATGGCATCATAGAGAAAGGAACTACGCATGATGATTTTCATTGCCAATTCATCACGCGCAAAAGGAATGTCTTCTTCCTCAGCATCGTCCAGTTCATAGGTTGTCAAGTCGCAGGTTGTAGTAACACCAGTCTCTTCCAAGATGATTTTTAACGGAGAGCCAGGTGCGTCGTAGGAGAAACGGCACACCGATGTCATGCCCAACACACGGTTATCAAAGGCATTCGTGGGACCGGTAGTGAGCGTGGATCGGGAGGCCGGATCGCTGAGACCGAAAATTTGGAGGGTTTCGAGAAGCGCAGGAAGGGATATGGTAAACGGCGGAAGGTCGACAGTCCCGTCGTCATTTTGGGCATCAAACGGGGAATCGGGACGAGGTGCGTGATACTGAAAGGTGGTAAAGAGGGATTTGTCGAGGAATGCGAAACCTGGTAGGATTAGTTATGTATAAAGCGGCATCTTGCCTTAAATACCTTGCATGACCCGATAGTCCTCAACGCTGAAGCGTAGTCCATCCTTGTTGATTTGGACGCGTGCCTTGGACGCGAAGCTGATGCATCGCAGAAGTATGAACAACTGGCGTGCCGAGCTTGAAACTGCGCTGAATACTGGAGGATCCTCCGCCATTGTTATTCACCTAATGTTCGGTCGCGCTTCGTCTCAGTATCAAGTGAAGCAAGTGTTGCCGTGTTTTACTATTGCATGTCCCAGCTTAATTGTACACGAGGTCCGTTGGCGCCTGCTGAAGGAGAGGTAGGAAATTAGACGTAAACTCCGACCGCGCAAATCATGTAGACTGCTCCGAATCTATTGTTGTTAGTAGTGTACGAGGATGCGAGGGCGAGGTAATTACCCAAAGGCCAGCGACGCGGGAACACCGAGAGTGGGCAGCGTGATCAGCGAACGGTCTGAGAGGTGTTAGCAGACGTCGAGCAGATGGTATAAGTGCTGCTTACTGAGGCCGAAGATGCCAGACAAGATAAAGGCTGCGCGGTAATGTCAGTAGAACCCCTCAATGTGGCTCCAACAAGCATACCAATGAACAGCAACGAAAAGCCGACAGTGAATTGGGCGTTTTTGGCGACGGTCGGGTAGTAGGGATTGCCGGAAGCAGCCTCCCAGACGTCGAGCAGGGGCGAAGGTGAAGACATGGGCGCAAACAAGGAACGTAGCAGTGAGTGGGCGTTGAAGAGACCTACCTCACTATGTTGCGATAGGCCACCTTTGGTGTTGAGCTCAGGACGCCAGGGTACGCGCGGCTACTTCCGGATAACGCCAAGCGGGTCTGCGCTAGGCTAGCGGGCACGGGGTTTGAGTAAGCAAGTATCAATCTTCAGCTCTGTGTTGTTGCGCAGGCTTCTTTTTGCTTGCTACTCAGTCTAGGACTCTATTTATCCCCTAGTAACTGCATACATATCGTACGAGTAGAAGCGATGTAGAGCCGCTTTCTTGCCGTGCTTGCCTTCATTCCTGATCATAAGAGGCCCGTGCTTATATTACAAACATTTCAGTTGCGCCCGGGTCCGTGGAACTTGGACCTCCAGGATCGTCACAACCGCCTCACCTTTCCAGCGCATCGAGCACTCTCATTGTTCGCCCTCCGCCTTCGAACGACCAGGCTTCTGCAACCTGAGCCTCACTCGTGCATGACCGTCGCCACCGCTTAAGGCAAACGGTCATTGGCCTGGATGCCCGATAGCTCAAATCGTCTTCGATCTCCTCGTCAACGTCGCATTGTCTTCCGCTTCTCACCTTCGCCATGTCCAACAACCAAATCGCTCGCCGCGGCGCCAACAAGAAGGACAGCTACAAACCAAAGATCGTCACAACTGTCGGCGCGAAACCCGCTTGTCTTGTCAATGCGTCGGTGACGTACGTCGGCAACGACCAGATCTATGCTTTCGGTGGATTCGATCAATACACTGATGAAGGCGAGCTTCTCTGCTGCGATGCGATCACAGGCTCTAACCGTCCTTAGTCTATAATCACGTCCTCCGTCTCAACTTGCAAACGCGCCAGTGGAACCTCGTTGACAACTATGGCGACATTCCAGGCGTGCGCATGGGTATGTTAAAATGCTAACAAAGGATTTCGGTCACTGACGAGAATAGGTCACACTGCAAGTCTCTGGCAAGGCGACAAACTTCTCGTCTTTGGCGGTGAAAATGAGCACCGGACCTACCTCTCCGATGTCATCATCTTCGATCTAAAGTCCGCCCACTGGACCCAACCCGATATCCATGGGATTCCCCCAAAGGGTCGTGCGCGCCACTCCGCTGTCATCTATGATGACAAGCTTTTCATTCTCGGCGGAATGAGCGGCCACGAGAATTATGTACTCGACGACATCAGCTACCTCGACCTAAAGAACTGGACTTGGTCTCGGACGTGGAGATTCGTGCCTCGTTATGATCACACCACTTGGGTCTGGGACGGCAAGATTTGGGTCTTTGGTGGAATGGGTGAAGATATGGAAAAGACGAGTGAGATTTGGTGGCTCGATATCCGTGGCAGCCCTGCCTTTGAAATGATGGCGTACGGTATGAACAAAGCCTCAACAGGCAGAGGCCGGGAATCTAACGGGCCGAGTTGGAGAGTGCCGCTTACTACCGGGACTACAGGATATGCGGCGAACTCGAGCAGCGTTCAGTCTCAGCCGATAACCACGAACAACAGATCGATGTTCGCTCCAGGAGCTATTTCGTCGCTGAAGTTTGTCGCGAGCCAAAATCTACCTACACAGGCTCTGGGCAACCACTTTCACGTCTTCACTTCTGGTCAACTAGTCGATTTCGTCACCCCGGCCACGGTCATGTCTTCGTGCGACATCAGCTTGTCCACCCTGGACCTCGACACATTGCGCTGGCACAAGCTCGCCGATGGCAAAGACATGTTCCCGCAGAATTATCGCTGGCACTACTGCACGCTGAACGAAGATGGAACGCACGCGTGGCTGCTCGGCTGCCCTACCGACCCCGCCGCGAACGGCGATTCTAATGGAGAGTACCTCAGTGACGTGTTGCCCATCGATTTGACAAGATTCGGTCTCCTTGGCAATGCTCTGACCTCTGCAACTCGTGCAGACACTAGCAAGATGCCTCCTTCGGACGCAAATGGCAATCCGATGCTCTCAGGAATCGGAGCTGATTTGGCCCGGACCTTTGACCAAGCTCCCGAGACTGGCAGTGGAGCAGACTTTATCGTCACAGGACTCCTCGAGGAGGATAGTGACGACGATGATTTTGCATCTGTAGCCGAGGAGAACGTTTCTCAGGAGAGTGCGCAGATCCACGTGCATAAGATGATTCTCCAAGCACGCTGGCCGCACTTTGCTAGGATGTACAACTCGAAGATGCTGGAATTCCATCAAAAGAAGATGCATATCCCGGAGCCCTATAGTACCGTGCGGGCTTTCTTATACTATCTGTATACTGACAGCATCAACCCACATGGCAATCAGGGCCCGTGCCTCACCGACGTCGCCGGTATGCTAGTCATGGCTAACATTTACGTCATGCCGCGTCTGCGCATCCTGTGCGTCAATAGACTCCACAAGGAACTTGACGTCGAGCATGCCGCCATCATTTGGGAGCGTGCGAACACGGCTGGAGAGAACTGGCTGAAGGACCGCGCAGCCGACTTTTGTATGACGTACTGGGGCCGCATCGTCCGCACGAAAGGATTTAGAAGCCTACCGAAACGCAGCCTACTGGATCTTTGTGAAGAGATTGACGATCTTGGTCGCATCCTCAGCGGTGAAGAGCTGGAGGGTCTCGGTGCCTTGAAGTACGGTTACCGTGATTCTCGAAAGCGTAGTTTGGGCGGTGCCGGTCTCGCAACAGGCGAAGATGCCGATGAAGGTGAGGAGGTTGAGGAAGAGGGAATGGAGCTGACTTGAGCTCTACACGATCTCGTTATCGTCTTATTCTGGTCTCGTTCTGGTCTCGTTTTAATCCTACAGGTATTGCGTTATGGTCTGAAAGTCAATGGGTATAGGCGTTCGCGGCTGGAAGGTATGAGGGGGATGGAGACTGGGTGAAGACGAGGAATTTCTTAGTTTTTCGAGGATTTAGCATGGGCAGGTAGGGCTGAGTCAAAGGCGTTGTTCGGATGGGAGGATGCAAGGGTACGCAGAGCAATGTATGGTCTGGACTGGCGAAAATGGCTTGACAAATGCAGGGACGGGGAGTTTCTTCAGGGGTGGGATATCCGGATGATTTAGTAGCCGTCTGTCTGGCTCTAGACGACGCACCAGGGATAATTTTCTCTCCCGTACGAGCTTAAGATGGAGCATCTCAGAGCTTCTTTCGAGATGATTGCTTGGCAGATGCACATTCAGGTACCGCGGCTAAGCCGGGCTCCGGGTAAATGCGACGCGCAAGGCAAAGTGTGGGGCACCCCTCCCCCTCCTTTATCCAACGTCACCCCCGCGCTCTGCCCCACGACGCGGTCCACAGGCGGAAAAATTGACGCCCTCAGCCGACCAATCGCGGAACTTGTCGACAGAGCCCTCTGGAGCAGGCCGTGTTGCCATCGTGACGCTGCGAGCTTTTCCATGGATCCGGCCTCAGGGGGCCACTGGGCGACGCGCGCAAGCCTTGTCATACCCTCCATGACAGCTCACGCAGCACCTCTTCCCTAGCTGCATTTATCCTCTTAACTTGCTTGCCGCTGCTGCTCTCTCCTCTTACCCCTCTCATCTCATCGCTCATCCCTCTTCTCTTGTCGCTTGCTTCTATCCCCTTTGAGTCCTGATCTGCAAGAGCTTCAGAGCTTATCAAGAGCTACCTAGCTGTGCCTATCATGTCTTCCGCCGTGTCTGCTGAAACGCCCACCAAGCCCAACATTGGCGTCTACACGAACCCGGAGCACCACCTCTGGGTCGCCGAGGCCCATCCGAGCTTGGATGATGTGAAGAAGGGCGAGGGCCTCAAGGAGGGAGAGGTCACTGTTGCGGTCAAGAGCACTGGCATTTGCGGGTACGCTGCTGTTATCTTGAGTTAATTACAACTGAGCATCGAGCTGACCTATCTACAGCTCCGACGTCCACTTCTGGCATGCCGGCTGCATCGGTCCCATGATTGTCAAGGACACGCACATCCTCGGCCACGAGTCCGCAGGCACCGTGATCGCGACCTCGCCAACAGTGACGCACCTGAAGCCGGGCGACCACGTAGCCATTGAGCCCAACATCCCCTGCCACAAGTGCGAGCCCTGCCTTACAGGACGGTACAACGGGTGCGAAAACGTGGACTTTCTGTCGACACCTCCGGTGCCGGGTCTGCTCCGCCGCTACGTCAACCACCCAGCCATGTGGTGCCACAAGATCCCGCAAGACATGAGCTTTGAAGACGGGTCGATGCTGGAGCCGCTGAGTGTTGCTCTGGCAGGGATCCAGCGTGCGCACGTGCAGCTCGGCGACCCGGTGCTGGTGTGCGGCGCTGGGCCTATTGGGCTCGTGACGCTGCTGTGCTGCAAGGCAGCGGGGGCGGAGCCGCTATGCATCACGGACATTGACGAGGGGCGACTGAAGTTCGCCGAGGAGCTGGTACCAGGCGTACGCACGCACAAGGTTGAGTTCGGGCACAGCGCCGAGGACTTTGCGAGTCTGGTGCGCGGCAAGATGGACGACAACGAAGCGGCCGTCGTGCTCGAGTGCACCGGCGTCGAGAGCAGCATTGCGGGCGCGATCCAGGCCACCAAGTTCGGCGGCAAGGTCTTCGTCATTGGCGTCGGTAAGAGCGAGATGAAGATCCCGTTTATGCGCCTCAGTACCCGTGAGGTCGACTTGCAGTTCCAGTACCGCTACGCCAACACGTGGCCGCGCGCTATTCGTCTTGTCAAGTCTGGCGTCATTGACTTGAAGAAGCTGGTCACTCATCGCTATAACCTCGAGGATGCGATTGAGGCGTTCAAGACGGCCGCTGATCCCAAGACTGGGGCTATCAAGGTCCAGATTCAGAGTTTGGAGCCTTAGGCTAGCCGTGCCTGGTTGATGAGAGACGATGGATGATGATTTATGACGAAAGAGTAGACGGTTGTATTGGTTGTTGATAGACTGGTACTTTCGGAATATAGAACTTCTCACTGCGAAGTGTTCATCAATGCTGGCTATGACTAGACGCCAACACGCGTTTTTGCCTTTATTGATCTGAATAGCATGATACTACACTGACGTTGATGAAAAGGAAGCAGGATGAAAACAGTAGTCAACTCATCTAATTCAACAGCATCCTACAACCCTCACCGACCAGCTAGAATTTCCTTGGTAGGCTTCTCTTTATACTTGAAGGAACCAATCCATGGTGCGAACCATAGTTGCTGAGAGGTCGAGGCGAAGCTAACCCCAGAGCACGTTCAATGAACTTGGCCTTTGATATTATGAAGACTGTGGCTAATAGTATACTCCTAAGATCCCATCCAGTTAATCATCCCCCGGTCCTGCCCGGTCTCTGCCCCAGTGCATTATCCCATCAACCACGCACACGCACTTTATCTTTGGCAGGTAGCTGGTCCAACATAGACGGCAGATACATCGCGCCAACTAGCTGTGAAGCGAGTAAGCCTGTGCGGTTCCTGGCTCACTGAGGCAAGCTTGGACGTGGTAGCGGATCAGGGAATCATTTGATGATAAAGGATATTGAAGCAGAGGACGCAGTAGCTGGTAGTTTGGATGGAGTAACGTCCGTCACCGTGAAGCGAGAGCCACCGGATAGCGAGACAAAGGACGATACAAACAGTCCCTAAATTATTCCTTGCCTAGCCCACAGCGTCCTAGGTATGGGTGAAAGACCTTAGAGCACACACAGACTCTACACTACACATCGTAGCTAGGCCTCTTCTGCTACTCCGTACAAGTATCACTATCTCGCTTCGCGGTGACTGACGACAGTGGTTGTTGGTGGGACCTTAGGATAACGAAGTTTAGTGTCACTCGTTTAGGCGCTTCACTGAGTATTCTTGAGACCAAGGGAGTGTTCTGTGCCTAGGCAAGTATAGAAATTCACCTAAAGTACACATACAAATACAGCCAAAACTGACCGCTTACACCCAGTCTCCACCGTCCACCCCTAACCCTGTATTGTATCTAAGTCCAAGCCCATACTATCAACCTCAATCCCGTGTTGCCATGCTCCTGCTTACTTACTCTCGCTTCTCTTCAGGGTTCGGGTGAGGTCTGCGTGGCGGTTTACGCGCGGCGTGTTAAGGGCTGTAGATAGTGGGCTGGAGCTTGCGTGCAGCATATGGTGTTTGGGAGGGGTTTGAGGAATCATGCTCACCGGTCGGGGGTTGCTGGGCATTCGCTGGTGTGGGGATGGATGAGAAGTACATAGGTGCTCATCGACTTGGATACATTGACGAGGTAGGTGAGGATGCCCTCCGGGTCAGTCTTGCGCTTCCAATGTCTGATGGGAGATTCCTTGACAACGTGCGAACAGGTGGACATGCATCCTGCCATCGAGCTGAGGTAGACTCACACTTCGAGCAATGTTGATGTTGATCTCGTGTCCGAGAATGCTAAGGAATAGATTAGCCCAAGCAGTGTCCAGAGCTCGCGGTGCAGGCGGCCCCCATCTTGGCACGAGAACGCAAACTCTATCGCCGGCCCCCAAAAGGATTCATCACCAGAAACCGGGAGTCAAACGCGTCTCTCTGCGCTTGGCAAGAAAAACCAAACCAAAAAAAATCTTTTGCGGCTATGCTCTGGCCCGTTTCTTTTCATGCACGCGTCGAACGAGGCGGGCTTGGCTTGCGATTTTGCGATGCCCGCCTCAAAGTTTTTGCTTGCTAGTGATAATAATGATCCGACTTAAGGATACCATCACGTTAACTGGAAACGGATTGCGGGGTCTCCCCCCACCTGAAACATCGATTAATTTCTGAGACATATAAGTTTCATATGGAAAGATTCGCGTACGACTTACAACATATCAATATCATGCCTAATGAAACAGCGCTGAGACACGCCCTCGCAAACTCGAGAATGCTAAGAGTCTGAGTTTTCATTGTTTGACAGCGGTTGTCGCTGTTTGTTGTTACAAGGGCAGCAAAACTCTCAACAGCATAGCAAGCCTCACAAACTGTAACGAGAGCAATCCACTAAATGAATATAAATCAAACTCACTCGTTTCCACACCTGCGAATACCCTGCCTCTCAAGCCTTGAGGCGACCAGCTGCTGCCACTCTTCACTCTCCAAGTACGCCACGACAGCGTTCGCGCTCTCATCGGCCGGAAACACAAGATAGTGGACCCAAACGATATCGCCATCGACGAGTAGCATCATGACGCGCTTGAGCAGCTTGACCTTGCCCCACGTGAAGACGGGCAGGCGCATCCTCTCGATGAAGGCAGACCCCTTGTCGCTCAACAGCGCGTACGGCAAGCCCAGCCTCTCGCGCAGCGCCCGCTGCTGCTCCGTGCTCTGCGTGCTCAAGCCGAAGATGCGGTTCACGCCCTTTCCCTGCAGGTCTGCCACCGCGTCGCGGAAGGAGCAGGCTTGGGGGGTGCAGCCGCGCGCGCCGGGGATCGCGTCCCACGCTTTGCAGATGTGCTCGCCCAGCGCCCCCATGCGCGCGTAGCAGAAGAGTACGGTCACGCCTGGTAGTGACGAGAGGTCCACGGTTTCTTCCGACGTCGATGTCAGTGCGATGGATGACACTTTGGGCTCGCCTATTTTTAGGTGATCGCATGCTCCGTCGTCGCGGGGATTGGGGAGGTTGGGCGGTAGCTTTTCGCCTTCGGGGTAGGCTATGTCTGTTAAACGTGAGTTTAAGGTGGAGGTTAAGTCATCACAGACCGGACATGTCATCGTCGGAGCTGTCAATGTAGGTGGTGTTTGGTGACTTCATTTTGCTGCTTGTAAGTGAGCGTTATTCTTCGTCTGTTTGGTGGATTGCTCCATCTCAATTAGCAGCATAGCCGCCTTTAAGCTGTTGGCGTGAACACGCAGCCGTCATGCTGTCTCGCATGGCAATGGACGAAAGCGTACGGGAAGAAAGAGGTTGAGACAGGTGGATAGCTTCGACGCGTACGAGTCATTGGCGACTTATATAAGCAGTGGAGCAGCTGTCCCCGCGATGACGTATAACGACGCGCGCAATCATGCGAGGGAAGGCGTCAGCGTGTAATCATTGGCAAGTGATTGGTGGCCGGCACCCCAATGCCCGCATGCACTGCTCATCGAAGCTGCGCAGCTGGATATAGATAACCCCACTCCCCCTCTCTGTGCTGCCGCTTACGTTTCTCCTCTCCTCCAAGCTCTTAATGCCCGCGTTGCGCTTTCACCTCGCCTCTTTCACCCGTCTGTCTCTGAGACAAGCCCCGTTATCAGCACGCCCAACCACGCCAACTTCTTTCGCCCTTGCACGAGCTGCGTTCACAACTACGTCACGCGTCATGGCCCTCCAGGAATACAAGTTGAAGGACCTCACCTCCATCGACCTGAAAAACGGGCAGAAGCAGGAAGTCGAGGTTGAAGGCATTGAGAAGGGCAAGGTTTTGCTACTCAAGGTCAACGATGAGATTCATGCCACGAGCTCTAACTGCACGCACTACGGTGCGCCGCTGGTAAAAGGCGTCGTGACTGGCGACGGCAGACTCACTTGCCCTTGGCACGGAGGTATGTCTTGCCTAGTCATGCTTTGAGACAGCATAGCTCACTGACGTATCTAGCCTGCTTCAGCGTCGCAACCGGCGATGTCGAAGATGCACCGGCTCTGGACCCGCTTGCCAAGTTCGAGGTCATCCAAAAAGACGGTGCCGTTTACATCAAGGGAGATGAGGAGACAATCAAGGCTAGCCGGAGAAAGCTGGATTTCAGCTGCAAAGTCAAGACCGATGAGAAGGTGCTGGTCATTGGCGGGTAAGTGGAATGCCAGCTACCCCGCATTCTTACTGACATTCGTTAGTGGTTCCGGCACGATAGGTGCCATTGAGGGTCTGCGTGGCGGCGGCTACAAGGGACACATCACCGTCATCTCCCGTGAAGGCTACAAGCCGATTGATCGGACGAAGCTGTCCAAGGCTCTCATGGCAGATGTCTCAAAGGTCGCTTGGAGGCCTGACGGCTTCTACGAGGCTGCTTCTATTGACATTGTTTCCGACGAGGCCTCTAGCATAGACTTCTCAGCCAAGAAGGTTACGACTAGCTCTGGTAAGACTTATGACTATAGCAAACTGGTCCTGGCCTCCGGTGGTACGCCGAGGTGGCTGCCGATTGAGGGATTGAAGGGTGACTTGGGCAACGTCTTTGTCCTGCGCGCCATTCCCCACAGCAAAGGCATTGTTGATGCAGTTGGTGACAATGGTAAGAAGATTGTCGTCATCGGCAGCTCTTTCATCGGTATGGAAGTCGCCAACTGTCTGGCCAGCAAGAAGAACGACGTCACCGTGGTCGGTATGGAAAAGGCTCCTATGGACCGCATCATGGGCGAAAAGGTTGGCAACATCTTCCGCGGTCTACTCGAAAAGAATGGTGTCAAGTTTAGGATGGAAGCCTCGGTTGAAAAGGCTACGCCTTCCAAGAGCGATCCCTCGAAGGTTGGAGCTGTCCACCTGAAGGACGGAACTGTGTTGGAAGCCGACCTGGTCATCGAGGGTGTTGGCGTCAGGCCCTCGACTGATTACCTGAAGGAGAACTCGGCCATCCAACTGGAAAAGGACGACTCTATCAGCACGAATGAGAAATTCGAGGTCAAGGGCCTGAAGGATGTTTTTGCTATCGGCGACATTGCAACCTACCCGTACCACGGCCCTGGCGGCAATGGCTCACCCATCCGGATCGAGCACTGGAACGTAGCGCAGAACGCCGGCCGTTCCGTCGCCAACACCATCCGCAACCCGTCGGCACCTCCCAAGCCCTTCATCCCGGTGTTTTGGTCCGCGTTGGGTAGCCAGCTGCGGTACTGTGGCAACACGGTTGGTGGCTATGACGACGTGGTGCTGAAGGGCGAGCTGGAAAAGCCGAGCTTCGTGGCGTACTACACGCAAGGCGAGCAGGTTGTGGCCGTGGCCAGTATGATGAAGGATCCGTACATGACGCAGAGCGCCGAGCTGATGCGGCGCGGCAAGATGCCTTCCAAGAGTGAGCTGCAGAAAGGCGTCGATATTCTGGAAATTAGCGTACCGGCGGAGATCAAGATCTAAGTCCGCCGTTGACGGGTAATGATGGGTCATGAGTGTATGTAATAACAAATCTCCGGGGAAGCAGTGGCTCTAATGGTCGAAGCCGGTAAATGAAAACAATACCTTTTCCTTTCCATTATCTTTCTCCATCAACCTGCGTTAAGAGTACACTATAGACCAAGTTCACCGCTCTCATCGTTAGTGCAGCACTTATCGCTCCGATTCCTGAAGGATTTCTCGATAGGCGGTCCTTGAGCGGAGACAATATTGGCAAGTCCGGAAGTACGCACTACGCACGAGCATACTACGACGGCATGTCATGTATGCCATGGCCAGGGAACCAGCTCCGATGTAATGGCGGCGTACCGAGGAAGAAAGAAGCATGATGCAAGGACGACGTGAGGCATCCGACAGGCAGGCAGCGGCAATATCAGGCAGACGGTATCAGGCAGACTGGTGCTAGGTAGACAGACCGGAGCTAGGTAGGCCATCCGGAGCTAGACAGACCGGCAGTCGCAGGTCAGCAGGGAAGAGAGGGAAGCAAGCTGGCGCGGCGCGGCACGACGCCCGTGCGGCTTTTTCCAGAACCTGGCAATACGGTTTCTAGGCGCGCCACGGGCACTCTGCGTCGTGGACGGGGTGAGAGGGAAAGAGGGGAAGGGAGGGGCGAATAGGAGGGAGAGAGGCACACGGTCTTTGCGGTCTCGACGCGAGGATGAGGGATGACGTATGAGGGCGAGATGGGAGGGAGGGGGCCTGAGGGTGGAAGGTCGAGGGATGTTTTGATATACGCGCGAGAAGAGAGATGACGGCGGGGTTATTTTTTTGTAGTGCGGAGGGGCAGCGAAGACGGTCCAATGGAAAGGCAATAACGAGCCGTTGGTTGACAAGCGCTAGGGGCGAGATTGCTGCAAGTCCGCTCGGGACGAGCCGCAGGGCGAGCAGATTGAGATTGGGTTTGGGTCACGTGGGGGGAGTAGTATAGTACCAAGGAGAGAGGTAGGACTCTAGGAGAGTTGGGATCGCCGGCACACACAAAAAAGCAAAAAGGCGTGAAACGGGGGGGCTTGTTGGGCACGTGGAGGATGGGACAGGGCGGAAATGAACGGCAAAGTAGTATAGGCGCTCAGAAATGCAATCTCATGTTTGAGCGGCGCCCCCTGAAATTCATGGGCGGGCGGCGCGAGATTAGCTAGTGTGCGCGCGAAGGCTGTGGCAGGCACCACGCGCGCGGCCCCGAAACGAGCGTGCCAAACACCCTCTTCCCCTTCCAACCCAAAGGAAAAGAGAAGAGAGCAAGAGGAACCTTTGTCGCGCGTCTCTGCCCGGCCCCGCCCACTTTCTCACTAACCACCAATCCACTTCAGCCCACGCTCCACTTTTCGCCAAGCCCAAGGCGGGCACCAGACAACGCGATCGCCTCGTCCAACCCATGTGAAAGCCCCAAGCGGCCGCTCCCTCTCCTTGCACCACCCTCCAGACTTACATCCCACACCCTTCCTGCATCGCATCGCATCCCGGTCTGCAGCGAGTCCCTGTCGCCCGCCGATTCCCCGACCGCTGCTGACGAGCAATGTCTTCGGCAGCCGTCCAGCACTCGAACCCGCCGCTTCATTCGTCGTCAAAGTACCAGTGTTACTCGCAGCCCCAACAGGGCTCGCCCTCGTCCCAGCGGAGACCGTCGAGGAGCGGAAATGAGCAGCTCACACCGCAACAACTCATAGTCGACCGCGAAGATCCCACCGCCCGCCGCCGCGCCCCGGAGCCCCAGCCCGCCCCGAACCACAGCAGATCCGCCACCGCCGTCGGCGTTCCACCCATGGGGTCCAACCTGCCCAGGGAAGACAGCACCGTCATCAACCGCCTCGTCGTCGCAGACCCCCAGGAAGCCATGGCCCGCGAGCAGGCCCGCATGGCCGAGGCGCGCCCTGCCCCCACCGGCACCGATGTCACCCCGATAACTGGCCTGGGTCTGGTTGGAAGCGAGGGCGTCAACGATGGCGGACGCGGAGCCGGAAAGAGCAGGCAGGACCACTCGCAGAGCAAGCCCCGGAGAGAGACCAAGTTCGGAGAGTACATTCTAGGCCAGACGCTGGGCGAGGGCGAGTTTGGCAAGGTCAAAATGGGCTGGAAGAAGGAAGGCGGTGTTCAGGTCGCCATCAAGCTCATCCGGAGAGAGGTCCTAGGCTCCAACCCCAGCCGCTTGCCCAAAATCTACCGAGAGATATCGATTCTGCGCGGCCTGCAACACCCCAACATTGTGCGCCTGCACGAAATGGTCGAGACCGAGCGGCATATCGGCATCATCTTGGAATACGCGTCGGGCGGAGAGCTGTTCGACTACATTCTAAACCACCGGTACCTCAAGGACCAGTCGGCGCGCCGGCTGTTTGCCCAATTGGTTTCGGGCGTTGGATATTTGCACAAAAAGGGCATTGTGCATCGTGATCTCAAGCTTGAGAACCTCCTGCTGGATCGCAACAAGAACATCATCATCACCGACTTTGGCTTTGCCAACACTTTTGACCCTCACGACGAGCTTGGAGACGAGATCGAGTATAACCTTGGAAATAAGGACTATGTGAAGAAGATGGGCCTGGAAACGCTCCGCGACGACGGACACCGCCGCGGAGATCTCATGCAGACGAGCTGCGGTAGTCCGTGTTACGCGGCGCCGGAGCTAGTGGTTAGTGACTCGTTGTACACCGGAAGAAAGGTGGACGTGTGGAGTTGCGGTGTCATTTTGGTGAGTGTTGACGGCCTCTCGTCAATCCGCCGATGCTAACCGCACCAGTATGCTATGCTCGCAGGCTACCTTCCGTTCGACGACGACCCCGCCAACCCCGAGGGTGACAACATTAATTTGCTTTATAAGTATATTGTATCGACGCCGCTGACCTTCCCCGAATATGTCACCCCGCACGCGCGCGACCTCCTGAAGCGCATCCTCGTCCCTGACCCACGCAAGCGCGCGGACCTGTTTGAGGTCGCGAGACACAGTTGGTTGAGCGAATATGCGCACGTCGTTGGCTTCATTACGAGCAGCACCACTACGTCTAGCGATATTGCCAACACCACTGTCCCTGCAGGTAAGAGATCACTGTCCTTGGAACTTTTGCCCAGCACAGGCTGGTATCAGCGTCGCTTGCGACCCCTATTCAGCCTGCGCCTTTTCCGGTTCACCAAACGAAAGTATACTGTGACTAACACACGCGTCGACACAGAGGATCCCTACGAAGTCCCTCAACTCGCCCGCAGCGCGTCCGTCCGGGAGCCCAGCAAGCCGCATTCCGTCGTTGCGCCCGTCGGAGGCCTCACCCAGAAGCATGGCGGCATCGACCAGGCCGAGCAGGCAGAAAAGCGCGGCCAACGCGATGCCAAGCGCAGGACCGTCCAGGTGGAATACGTGGCGCCGCATACACAGACACAGAGAGGAGAATCGCCGTCGTCAGGGCCGTCGGCGTCTTCGGGCGCACGTGCGCGCCAGGAGGGCCCTGTGGAGGTTGTTCCGGATTCGTACAGTTCGTCCAGGAGTCAGCGTCCTTCAACTGGCCAGACGGGACCGCCGTTGACCCGTCCGGGCAGAGATGCCCAGCGCTCGGCATCAGACATGCCATTCAGCAGCACCCCCATTACCCCCTCGGCAAGGCCCTCTACGGGTGGCACCATGGGTTCCCGGCTGCCGTCGCGTGGAAATTCGTATGGTCAACCTGCGGCCGCTACGGTTGCAGCTACCAACGTGCAGGGCCGCTTCTCGCAACCCAAGGGCAAGCAGTACGTCATTTCGGCGCCGATGCCCCAGGAGCAGGTGCAACCAGAGTCCATCGGAAGGCCCAGCACGCAGAGACTACCATCCAGCTACCAGCAGACGGCGCCGGTGGATGGACAACCAAGCCATCCCCAGCGTCCGGGTGCTCACAAGCGGTCCAACACGGTTGGAAGCATATTCAGAGCCGGGTCGCTGTTCGGTGGAAAGTCACACGACGGCCAGAAGCAAAAGTCATATCCTCCGGTCAGTATGTCCGGATCCATTCCCAATGAAGGAGACCACAGGCGGTCTACGGAATCTTCACGCCGCCCTTCGTTTAGCTTCAGTCGGAAGAACAGCGAGGCACCTTCTCGGAGCGAGAACAGGCAATCGCGCCGCTTCTCGTTGCTTCCGGCATCATTTTCGATGAGGAGCTTCGGCGGCAGCCAACGGGAACCGCCGCCAGGCTCATCGCACTCGAACGAGAACCGTCGCTCGGGTACGCAGCAGAGCCAGCGCCGCGGCAACGTTCCTCGGGCGCAGATGGCGTTTGGACGGGGAGAGAGCCCGTCACCCAGCCAGAGCACGACAGCCAGTACGCTGCCCATCAGCGGAAACGGCGACCTGGACCGGCGCCGCACAGCAGACACGGCGCCGCGCGGCAGCAACCGAGTGCCATCGTCGGCTCCGCCGCAACAAACACACTTCCCGACGTCGGCGCCGCAGTACGGCCACTACGACGAGGGGACAGGGCAGTACTACGGCGACGCAATCGGCGGCCCCAACCCCAACGCGTTCTACGGCGGCGGCGGGGCCAGCGGGTCGGATGTGTCGTCGCAAAATGGTGGCGGGGGGACGCTGGGCCAGCAGCAGCAGCTGGCGTACAGGCAACAGCAGCAGTTACAGCAGCAGCAGTACGCGCAGCAGGGCTTCGACAGCAGTACCGAGCAGGTGTCGGAGCCGAGCGGTGGGACCGGGACCGGAAAGCGCACGATGCTGCAGAAGAATCGGCGGTTTGCGGACGCGTACGAGGATCAGCGGCATGCGGGGTCGTCGGGGGCGGCGAAGAGGGCGATGGATTGGTTTAGGAGAAGGGGGAAGGCGAGGGCCGGTGAGGGCCGGTGAGGGAGGTGTGCGATGTGTGATGGGGTTGGGCTCTGATGAGTTGGGTGTGAGGGGGTGGGTTTAATACTGTAGGCTTTGGCTGTGGCTGTGGTTGTTGTGGCGTGGAGTGAGATTCGGAAGACACTCGCGACTCTATCGAGTCGAGACCAGAAAGGCGTGGAGCAGAGTGGAGTGTAGCCAAGAGTAGTGTGTGCCACCGCCGCTGCTACTAAGAGCGTGCGGAGTTGTTGTTTCTCTTTTCCTTTCCACACATTTCCCTTTCCCTTAAACTTTAAACACTTTTTTTACTACTCCTCCGTTTTCTCTTTCTCTTTTTCTCTTTTTTTTTAAAGCTCTTACTCTTACTGTTGTTGTTTTTTGCTCGCCTTGGGTTGGGTCGGCTTGGGTGCTTGGATGGGTTGAATTTCACACTTTGGCCCTGGGGACTGCTGCTGCTGCTGCTACTATGCTGCTACTACTACTATGCTATGCTATGCTGCTGCTAAGGCTGCTATGCTGCTAGCCTGCTATTATGCTGTTGCGGCTGCTAATTGCGGCTAATTGCGGCTGTTATTGTGGCTGTTAAGGCTGTTGCGGAGATTACTACTACCACTACTACTACACTACTACTACCTACTTATACTATACTGTTAAGTACGATGCTGAGGACTGTGGTTGTTGAGGTTGGTGTTTTGGGCTGGTGTGTGTGCTGGGATTGAGTGAGTTGAGGACTTGTTGGGGAGTGAGGTTGGGGAGTGATGGTGGTGCTGGTGGAAGGTAAATAGAAGGAGGGGGGAGAAGGGGTTTCGTTTTCTTGGCTATGCTAGGTACGTAGTTTTTAATACGTGGTTGTGTGTGTGTGTTTGTTTGTGTGTTTTCTCTTTTCTCGTTCCTGGGGGGTTGGTTGGTGGGAGTAGGAGCTAGAGGTGCGAGAGGTATGGTTGTTTACGTAGACGGACGCGGGTGGGGGATTTGGGTCCCTCTGACTCTGACTCTAGTACGTTGTGCTCTTCTTCTTCCTGGCCAGGTTGATGGGAGTGGTTCCTGAGGGATTGGGTATGGGTAGGAGTGCCTAGAGGGGTTTTCTGTTCTCGTTCCTCTTACTGTGTCGTCTGCTCTTTCGCCTGGTTGTCTGCTTGTCTACCTGCTTATTTGTCGATAGGCAGCCTTTGAGTTTTCCTGCTGCCTGTCTTACCTCTTTTGCTTCTGGGCATTTAGGTCTTGGGTGCGGTGCTGTGGTTGACTACCTAGGTCAAAGGCCAATGACGATGATGATGATGCTGTGAGATCCCTCCCTCACTTTCCTGCTCCCTACAGCCACTTACTACCGCTCTCACGTAATTGCTGCTCTTGCCATGGTCATATTCCTTGCCGTTATGAGGTAGCCACCAGGCAGTGAGCGAGCAAACGGGCAAGGCGCCGGAGCGAGCACGCAGGTGATGGCGTGTGTGGTGGAGAGGCATAGAGGCGGCGTACTATGGCGCTAGTAGTATATCTACCTGCCTATCCGAGCCATTGCTCCAGCGCCGCCAAAGCCAGCAGTAACAACAGCTCCAGTCATCGTCACGCGCTGCGTGCATTCCTTCGCCTCGGTCCCCGATCCTGGCACCGGGGATTTCATCACCACGTGGCACGGGCAGACGCACAGCAGGCATGGGAAAAAGGTGGCGCGCGAGTGGAATGTTCGGTGCAGAGTTCTTGAGGTGTGGTCGGGTGAGACGAGAGGCCAGCCAGCCCAAGCAACCCCGCCTTTTTCACGTGCTCCAGTACCACCACCGTGAACAACGTCTCGAGAAAGTGGACCGTTGGGTCCTCAACCTGCCTGCCGCCCTGGGCCCCGTCGATGATGATGCAAATCCCTCTGCAGTTGTGGAGTCTCCACGCCGTATGTCCCGCGTTGGTGAGTAGGTACAGAATGATTTGGGTGTGGTTGAGCGGCGCCGTCTCCTCTCCCGTCTCTCCACCTCTCCTCGTCTCCTCCTTCTTCCGGGAGCGGCATTTTCGCCGCCAAGCCCATGTGTCCGCCGCCGCATTCTCCCTGCTCTCGCTTATGCATGCGCCGTGCCGTTCGTCTGCTGCTCTTGGCTAGATCAGCGAGCCTTGTGCCTGTGCCTGGGCCCGCGGCGTCATCCCGCAGAGCGGGACAGACGCCATTGTGCGGGGGAGATGCACGCCCTTTCTCGTGTGAGCGCTGAGGCTGAACATCTATAAATTGCTGGCTTTCCTCTCTGACTTTTTTT